ATTTAAGGAAAAGAGAGGTCATAGAGCTAACCTGAAGATATAATAAGTGCCTGAGCAGTGTAGTTGAGGTTTGCCTTCGCCCATGGGAACACACGAACCGCACCTAACTGTTAAAGAAAGCTAGCCGAGCTCAGTTTATGTTTCAATTCATATATTATACACATATCATAAACAATGTGATTCTCTACTCGCTGAGTCTAATCACCATTACTTGACAAGAACCAAAAAAAAAAAAAACAGATTACAGAAGTCACAAAATACATTTTTAGAGTCACAGTGAGTTTATTAAGCAATGAACAACATAAGATTATTGAGTACTTTGTTCGAAGCTAAGATCAAAATGTGACTCTACATGGTGAGTCTAAATCACCATTGCTCATTTAAGATGTCAATTTTGAACAATGTGTAGCCACGACTTGCACAAAATCACCAAATGAAGGGTAAATTTCAAAGATCAAATAAAGTTTGGGAAAGTGATAACAAAATCTGGGAGATGAATGAGGAGAAAAGGCCTCTGCTTTAGTTCACACGAGGGAGGGGAACAATTAGATAAGAGCTAACTCAATTATAATCTCTGATTGCTTAAACATAACGATCTGAGGAATGAGATGAAAAAGATTACCGTGGGAATCGCACTAGCCACGGCGGCGACGGCGGCTGCTTTAGCTCCGGCAAGAGCTCCGGCTGCACAATCATTCAAAAAAAAAAAATACCCAAAATCAAAATTTGGTGAGATTTGAAAGAATATTCAGGAAAAAGAGAAGACGAAAAGACAGACACCTTGACTGGAAGTTTCCGCTCGCCTGATCTTATCATTCTCGTCCGGAGATGCGACGACGAAGAGGTTCTGCTGCCTCCGGTTACCCATTTCCGACCGGTTTTCCATCAGATTGTTGCGACTGATTTTTCAATTTTCAGGAGAGAGAGAGAGAGAGAGAGACGGGTCGCGATTTGCTCGTTAGAAAATTCGATGAAAAATTACAGGAAGAAATAAATCCTTTTGGGCCCAAAACAATGACGCGCCCACAGTTTTTATATAGAAAACCTCTATCGAAATTTTGTAATAAAAATAATAATTTAGCGTATCTTAGGCGTATTATACTTTGTATCATTTTTCATTTTCAAAACGTATATTGAAAATGTTGGTGCAAAACGTCACAAGTTGTCGCATATACTGTACTGTACTATGGAATTTCTTTGACTATCTCTTGTCAACGGTTAATAATTTATCCTGTTGTTAATTTTTTTTCTCCTTCCCAGTCAAAACAACGTTTAACTAACACATTCAATGCAATTTTATTTGTTCTTTTGTGATGAACTTTCCCAATTCAACATAGTTTTACTTTTAATACTGGATTTATTTCCTTCCTTCATCACAATAGATTTTTTTCCAGTTTGGCTATAAGGAATCATAGTAATTCCATGGTTTATTGATTAACAACAAAACTCTCAAGTCGGCTGAATCTATGTAGAACTTAAAAGTTTTCAAACACCCTTAATTATTGAATTACAGAGATTAATTAGAGCATTCAAATACATGAGTTGGAGTCAAGGACAACGACGATTCTGGCCAGGTCCTCCGAAGAAGAAAACGGGCTCTGACATATAGGTTTCTCGGTAAAGCTTAGTAGAATAGCAATCGTACTCATCAGCGTACTCGTTCGTACGCCCGGGATACTTTATCTGCAAGGAATAGTCTTTGATCCTAACGTTGGTGTGGAAAGATGCGTCGCCCCAGAGATAATATGCCCATTGTCCACTTCCCATTCCTGTGCTTGTGTGTGGCTTCTTCTTCACGTTAGGGCTAAAAACTTCTCCTCCCCACTGCACTGCGGTGGCGCTGTGTTTGAGGGTATCGAAGAGTTTCCCCGGCCAGTACCCCATCACGGTGTCTCCGAAAGTCAACCACCAGTTCTCGCTATTTGGATCCTGCAAACACGTACGGTCGAGGCTGAAACATGATCCAGTATACACATAACATGTATATCGTATATAAAATGTTACCAGGAACATGCTAGCGGAGATGTAATATTGTTCACTCGAGGTAGTCGAAATGGGTTCTACGGCTGCACCTAGGGCGTATTTAGTACTTGTTTGCACAAAACCGGAGCATAAGAGGTTAACGCAGCCTGTTGTAGCGTATGAATCTGACTGCATGCAACCCAAAATAGAAACAAAAAGTGTAGTTTCCAAATTCATCATTCATCCAAAAGTGGTTAATTAATCAGTCATGTTACTTACAGTCCAGTAGGTGAAGAGACGTGTGCGGGAGTCCCCGAAAACGCTTGGATTCACCTGAAATAGTTTTATGGCGGTCGGTTTAGGGTTTGCTTCTAACGCAAGCTATAGTACTTTTCTAGGGATTGGAAAACGTACCATCCAACCAGCTTCGATGGTCTCGAAATCGGCGGAGAGGCCACTAAGGAGCCATATCTGGGAAGAGCTTGAGTCCTGAGGCTGAACTCTTGGAGGGTTCCATACATTTATGTCGGATTGAGCGCCAATATAATTGTACCCTAGGGCTATAAGTATAGCGTCCTACATATCAACAACACGGAAGGTTTTGATTTTCTGGTCAGTTATGAGTCTATGACAATAGTAGTAACGAAAAAACTTTATTTATTCAACATCTTAAACTTTGCATACCGATCGGTCCTTTGAAAGTGGTAGGCGTCGGCGTTGCTGTTCAGCTGTTAAATTGAATTTGGCCTTGTGTTGAAGAGCGGTGTCGAGAGCGTTGTATCTGCGAGTAGTTTTCATTCCAAAACGAGACGGTGAAGAGGCTCTGCTTATGTCTTCTCTACTGACTCTACGAACCGGTATTGTCCCTATGGGACAGTGTCCAGATTTGGACCAAATCTGAGACGTTATCGGCTTTAAAGTACCGTTCTTTGGAGCAGTGGTCTTCGTTGTACCAAACGCCACACTCGGTTTCATCTGCATGCATAAATGTACAATGGGTAAGGACAAAGCGAGAGAAAAGATAGAACCGATATGTATTGTAACTTTTCACGTATAGCTTAATTACCTGAATCTTGTGGTTTCTTAAGGCGGGATGATCAAAAGCATGTTGTTTGTGGATATCTACACAATCTATTATATCTCCATCTTCGCTCTACAAATAAAATACAATCGATTTTGGGAACTCAGAAACCAAAAAAAATTATACACAAGAAACAATATATTTGCATTCGGATTCCATATACCTTGATGGTCTTTAACGCTGGCTTATTTAGAGTCTTCAGTTTTCTATCGATATCTAAAGAAACTTTCCCATAAGCTTCACTGTAAAAGCAACAGAAAATCGCAAAGGTTAAGAACAATCTCATCTTCGTCTTATTTTTTCAAATTTCAAAAGAATGGATTTAGGATATGGAGTAGTTACATCTCGAAGCCTCCTCCTACTTATAGATGGAGTTATGTGGGTGTGATTGGCACTTGCTATTAAAGTTGACATATCAAAAAATAAAATCTACAGCTCAAATATATAACCAATCATGTTGTATAATTTGTTTTAGAAACCATATCAAAAGTGCCACAGTAAAATTTCTAAAGCCGGTGCAAAACGTCATGAAATTACTGTGACTACAATTTTCCCTAAAAGTTTTTGTTTGTTTTTGCTTCAGTAACTACAATTTTCCCTAAATTTTTTTGTGTGTTTTTGCTTTAAAGTCGGTGCAAAACGTCATGAAATTAACAAATGTATATGGATTCTCCTTTGACTATCTTTGTTAACGGTTAATATTTTCATTTGGTTAATTTTTTCCTTCTCAGACTCTCAGTCAAAGCAAATTTTAACCAAACACATTAAATGTGGTCTATTTTATCTTGTCTCGATATGCATATAAAGCACGTGTCGTCCGAATGAAGATGGTTTTTCTATGTCCCCATTGGAGTTTCTTCCTTCATCAAAAAAGAATTCAAATGCCATGTATTAGAATACTTAATCTCAAAATAAAACTTCAGAAAATACAAACTAAATCATGATAATAATATTTACCATGCTAATTAACTATGAAGACATGCTCTTAGCATAATGCTACGAATCAAAAGATTAGTTGACTCAACTTAGTGGTCCGATTCGTCCGAACATGTTAAGGAGGGGAACAATTAGATAAGAGCTAACTCAGTTATAATATCTGATTCCTTAACATAACGATCTGAGGAATGAGAGACGGGTCGCGATTTGCTCGTTAAAATTTCGATGAAATTATTGGAAGAAATAAATCCTTTAGGGCCCAAAACACGCCCACAATTTTTTGGTATTATTTTGATATATAGAATACCTCTATCCAAATTTGTAATAAAAATAAAAAGTTGCGTTAAAAAATAATTTATCTTAGGCGTATTATACTTGTATCATTTTCATTTTCAAAACGTATAAATATAATTCACGTATAAAACCTCTCTGTCTTTTAGTTCATCTCTCACAAGTGTTACAAAAGAATAAGATTAAATTAAACAGTTAATACACAACAATTGAATTAAGGGATCTCATAGGTACAGATTAAAAATCCATCTGCAGATTTGGCAAAACGCTTGTTCAATTCTTTGAGCATAATCTTCATATCTTTTTTTTTTTTTTTTTTTTTACTTTTGGGATTTTTTGCTTTTGGTTCAAAACTTCACTAGTATGGAATTTCCTTTGACTATGTTTGTTAACGGTTTAATCATTTATCCTGTTGTGTATTTATTTTCTCCTTCTCAGTCAAAAGTCAAAACAAAGTTTAACTAACATATTCAATGATATTTATTTTTTCTTTTGTAATGAACTTTCTCAATTCAACAACATATACAGTTTTACTTTTAATATTGGGATTCCTTCCTTCATCACAAAATAATTTTTCCAATTTGGCTAAGAAATCATAGTTCCATGGTCTATCGATTAACAACAAACATCGCCAACGAGTTGTTTGAACTCTCAAGTCGGTCGAATATATGTAGAACTTAAAGTTCATTATTCCTTAGTTTTAATTTTTGCTTTTTTTTAACATCAAGACAAATTACTTGAGACCACCACATTGTATTTTTGGTCATATATTCTTGAAAAATATGTGTCAAACACTATTATTTCTTCGAACACCCTTAACTATTGAATTACAGAGATTAATTAAAGCATTCAAATATATGAGTTGGGCGGTACAAAGGTTGGAGTCAAGGACAACGACGATTCTGGCCAGGTCCTCCGAAGTAGAAAAAGGGCTCTGCCTTATAGTTATCTCGGTGAAGCTTTGTAGAGTAACAATCGTACTCATCACCGTACTCGGTCGTACGCTCGGGATACTTGATCTGCAAGGAATAGTCTTGGATCCTAACGTTGGTGTGGAAAGAAGCCTCGCCGTAGAGATAAGATGCCCATTGTCCACTTCCCATTGCTGTTTTTGTGTGTGGCTTCTTCATCACGTTAGGGCTGTAAACTTCTCCACCCCACTGCACTGCGGTGGCGCTGTGTTTGAGGGTATCGAAGAGTTCCGGCGGCCAGTACCCCATCACGGTGTCTCCGAAAGTCAACCACCACTTCGCGCTATTTGGATCCTGCAAACACGTACGGTCGAGGATGAAACATGGCAGTACACATAACATGTGTATATGTATATCATATACAAAGTAGAAAATGTTACCAGGAATATGCTAACGGAGATGATATATTGTTCACTCGAGGTAGTCGAAATGGGTTCTATAGCTGCACCTAGAACGTATCTAGTACTTGTTTGCACAAAACCGGAGCATAAGAGGTTCATGCAGCCTGTTGTAGCGTATGAATCTGACTGCAACCCAAAATAGAAAAAAAAAAAGAGAGTGTAGTTTTCAAATTCACCATTTTCATCCAAAAGTGGTTAGTTAATTAGTCATGTTACTTACAGTCCAGTAGGTGTAGAGACGTGTGCGGGAGTCTCCGAAAACGCTTGGATTCACCTGAAATAGTTTTATGGCGGTCGGTTTAGGGTTTCCTTCTAACGCAAGCTATAGTACTTTTCTAGGGATGGGAAAACGTACCACCCAACCAGCTTCTACGGTCTCGAAATCGTCGGAGAGGCCACTAAGGAGCCAGATCTGGGAAGAGCTTGACTCCTGTGGCTCAACTCTTGGAGGGTTCCAAAGATTTATGTCGGATTTAGCGCCGATATAACTGTACCCTAGGGCTATAAGCATCGCATCCTACATCTCATCATCGAGGAAGGTTTTAATTTTCTGATCAGTTACGAGTCTATGACAATAGTCATAACAACAAAACTTTCTTTATTCAATTTCTTAGACTTTACATACCGATCGGTCCTTTGGGCGTGGTTGGCGTAGCATTTCAGCTGTTAAATTGAAATTGGCCTTGGCCTTGGCCTTGCGTTGAAGTGCGGTGCTGAGAGCGTTGTATCTTCGAGTAGTTTTCATTCCAAAACGAGACGGCGAAGAGGCTCTGCGTATGTCTTCTCTACTGACTCTACGAACCGGTATTGTCCCTATGGGACAGTTTCCAGATTTGGACCAAATCTGAGACGTTATCGGTTTTAAAGTACCGTTCTTTGGAGCAGTGGTCTTCGTTGTACCAAATGCCACACTCGGTTTCATCTGCATGCATAAATGTACAATGGGTAAGGACAAAGCGAGAGAAAAGATAGAACCGATATGTATTGAACTTTTCACGTATAGCTTAATTACCTGAATCTTGTGGTTTCTTAAGGCGGGATGATCAAAAGCATGTTGTTTGTGGATATCTATACAATCTATTATATCTCCATCTTGGCTCTACAATTATAATTACAATAGATTTTAGGAACTCAGAAACCAAAAAAACAAAAAAATGATACACAAGAAATAATATCTTTGCATTCGGATTCCATACCTTGATGGTCTTTAACGCTGGCTTATTTAGAGTCTTTAGTTTCATATCGATATCTAAAGAAACTTTCCCATAGGCTTCACTGTAAAAGTAACAGAAAATCGCAATGGTTAAGAACAATCTCATCTTCGTCTTATTTTTTCCTAAGTTAAAAGAATGGTTTTAGAATATGGAGTAGTTAAATCTCGAAGCCTACTACTTATATAGGTCGAGTGGGGTGTGATTGGTACTTGCTGTAAAAGCTGTACACATAAAAAAAAATCTACAGCTCAAATATTTAACCAATCATGTTGATCTAATTTTGTTTTAGAAACCATATCAAAATTTTCTTTCTTTTTTTTATGTACAGTAACCTTTTCTCTATCTTCCACGCCGTTGAAGTAATTTTTATTTTGCCTTCTATCTTTATTTTTCCTTTCAATTTATGTTACATATTTTATTTCCCATTCACTTTACCTATATACAGAAAAAATTAAAACTACATCCACCAATAAAGCCAGATAATATTTATTTAATATAAAATCTTAAAGGATCCAGGATTTCTTTCTTAATTTTATTTCTTTCTTATCATTTTTTAAATAGAAAAAATATATTCTTTATAATATGTATAAGAATGAAATTAGTAGATAAATATCCATATAGATATATCTATATTCGCATTTTTAATTTTTCAATTGTTTTAAAAATGTAGAATGTAATAGCAATTGCGTATTGACTATATTTCAATATATGCAATTGATATTAGATTATATTAGAGAAAATTACAAAATCAAATGTTAATATTTTTTTTTTACATAGTTATGATAAACAGTTAAAAACATAGTTCAATTGAAAAAACGGAAATCTCATAGATACAAATTAAGAAGAAGAAAAACATGCTGATTGGGCAACCGTTTGGTCAGTTCTTTTTGCTATGAAACTCCTCTTTTTTTGGTCAAACAACCTTTACGTTTATGAAACTCCTCATATCAACATAATACATATGAATGCTCCAGTAACTACTAACTACAATATTCCCTAAACTCCAGCATGAAATTAACAAATGTATTTGGATTCTCCTTTGACTATCTTTGTTAACGGTTAATATCTTTATTTGGTTAATTTTTTCCTTCTCAGTCAAAGCAAATTTTAACTAAACACATTAAATGTGGCCTTCACAAAAGAATTGCCGAAGTTGGCTTCACAACTCCAATGGTCGTTGAATAATCAATAAATTACACCATATTTGCTAACAATTATATTTGTTTCTTTTTTCGGCTAAGCCAAAAATATTGAAACGGGCCGAGCCGGGCCATCCTACGAAAATGACAAATTATAATATCATGTGTCGTAGCCTAATGGTTTATATATTGGTTTAAAACCTTAAGCTGATTCAAGCCTTCATAATGCATACTGATATTGTTAAAAACAAAACAAAACTGTCAACCACATGTTTTGCGTACAGTAAAGGTTTGTATTGGATAATTTTACTTTGAAGTTGCAAATTCAAATGCCAAATATCAGAAAATACAAACTAAATCATGATAATAATATTTACTATGCTAATAACATAATGTTACGAATCAAAAGATTAGTTTGACTCAACTCAAGCGGTGGCCTTGATTAGTCTTTTAGTGGTCCGATTCGTCCGAACATGTTAGAAACAAGAGACTCTAGATGCCACAGAGGATGTAATAGGACGGCTTTGGAACCTAACCTTCTGCAGTTTTGGGAAACTTCCGCTTTCGAAAATGTCAAAGTTGAATTTACTGAAGATGGTCACAGGTCTAGGCGAAAGTCGTCACCTTTTTAAGCCCATCTTCTCCATTCATCTCTCTCCCGCTTCTACACAAGTTCTTAAGCTCTTTTGTGATCTCATCTTCCCACGATTGAAAGCTGGTTACTTTCTGTAAGTCTCTCTTTTTCTCTCTTCTACTTACCTTTTTTTCCTTTCTGGGAACACCAGAATCTCCGCCGGGTTTCTCGCTGTTTAATTTCTTGAAGTAGCTCTTGCTCTAGTTTTATTTTAGGAAGTTCAAAGCTTGGATATTTCCCCCGTTGATTGCTCCGAATTTTCGTCGATGATTACAAGAAATTGATTCGGCTTCTTAGTAATTTTCCGTGTGATTTTTAGGGCTTTCTATATTAAGGTGTTGGAAAAGAGTTGGATTTGGGCTATAGTTAATGATAATATAGTGTTTTTAGTTAATCAAATCTTCTGACTTTGGAATTCCCGAACTAATCTTGACGTTGGGCTACTTCTACTGATGCAGAGTGTGTACATTGCCATCAAATTTGATTGCGTGATGCTACTTTAGGAGTTTAAACAGAAGCTGAATCATAACGAGACGCCTCTTAATGGAAATTTCAAGTGTTAAGAGGATGCTGAGTAAGGTTGTTCAGTTGGAGGAAGGTAAAGAAACTGTAGCTACTGGTTTCAGGACAGGGCTAAATAAGGCGTTTCCATTCAAATTGCTACTTCTGCTTGGGTTTTTTCTAGCTTTCTCTGCTGCCTTCATCATCGTTAGTGTCTCCACCATCAAGTACTATGGAATCAACAGTGTAATGACCTCAGTCACTTCTAGCTTTGTGCCTTGCCGCGAGAGAACAAATGTTCTTGATAAATGGATAAAGCCTCCTCTACCTCTGATGCATAACATGAGCGACGAAGAACTTCTTTGGAGGGCGTCTTTCGTGCCTCAGAGAAAAGACTATCCCTTTAATAGGGTCCCCAAGATCGCGTTTATGTTCTTGACAATGGGTCCCTTGCCGCTTTCACCGCTTTGGGAGATGCTTCTCAAGGGCCATGAGAAGCACTACTCTGTTTACATCCATTCACAAGTTTTTCCTTCAGCCGAGTTTCCACCTTCCTCTGTTTTCTACCGGAGGCAGATACCAAGTCAGGTATTCTTAATCTACTTTGCAAGATTCTGTCTTGTTTCATTGCAAAGATCTGTTTATCTGATTATCTTCATCGTTGTGCTAGATTGCAGAATGGGGAAGAATGACAATGTGTGATGCAGAGAGGCGGCTTCTTGCAAATGCTCTGCTTGATATCTCAAACGAGTGGTTTGTTCTTCTCTCAGAGTCATGCATTCCCCTCTACAACTTCACAACTATCTACGGTTACATAGCCAATTCAAAGCACAGCTTCATGGGTTCGTTTGATGATCCGAGTCCCTATGGGAGAGGCCGCTACGATGGCAACATGTCCCCTGAAGTTTCCATAGACCAATGGAGAAAAGGGTCTCAATGGTTTGAAGTTAACCGGGAGCTTGCGGTTTCCATTGTCAAAGATACATTGTATTACCCTAAATTCAAAGAGTTCTGTACTCCCGCCTGTTACGTGGACGAGCACTATTTCCCAACAATGCTTTCTATTGAGAGACCAGCGGAATTGGCTAACCGGAGCGTGACTTGGGTCGACTGGTCGAGAGGTGGTCCACACCCGGCTACATTTGGACAAGCAGACATCAATGAGGAGTTCTTTGCGAGGATCTTGAAAGGTGACAACTGCACTTACAATGGAGATTACACATCCTTGTGTTATCTCTTTGCTAGGAAGTTTTCTCCGAGTGCTTTGGAGCCTTTGATTCAGATTGCTCCCAAGATTCTGAGTTTTTGAGTAGGTGATGACACTTGACAAAAGTCATGAAATTAACATCTATATAAAATGTATGTGGAATTAAGCTGAGACTGAAGGTATGTATCTTTTTTTTTTCTTTATGACAATCTAATTTTATACCAAAGCTGACACTAATTTCCACTTGTAATTTCACCAAAGTAATAAACAATACACTATCAGTTTGGCCATGTTATGTTAATTAAAAATATTGACCATATACAATTTTGGGGTATATGAAAACCATTGGCATATACCAAAGGTCCATTTATTATAAGTTTTATTTAATACAGAATGTAAAACAAGGTCCTTATCTATGGAGCAAGTAGAAAGAGAGAAACATGACGATGATGATGATTAATATTAATAGTGATATTAAGCTTTTTATTAATATTGGTCATCAGTTATTAGGAGTTTTATTTAATACAAAGGGTAGAACAAGCTCATAGAGCCCCTTATCTATGGAGCAAGCAGAAAAGAGGAAACATGAAGTTAAATGATCTTGATGGGGATAATGTGTTTCATGCATCTGCGAGCTTCTCGTTCTGGAAGGAGAGGCTTGAACGGAGGAGACCTTGGTTCTCATTGTCCTTGGTGTTAACATGTAAGAACTTCTTGTACCACTTGCCAGATGCTTTAAGGTCTCTATCAGCAGTGAGGTTGGCAAAATCAACGTAACTGAGTCCGAATCTGACTGTATAGCCTGCGCAAAACTCATAATTGTCTCCAAGGGACCATGCAAAGTATCCTTTCACGTTAACCTTCTTCTCCCTGAAAACAGGAACAATCATTAATTAAAGGCGCACGAATACGATCGATGATGATGATAAAGAACACTGGAAGAAGAAGAGTAGCGTTCACTCACTCGATGGCCTTACGGAGAAAGCAGAGATGACTGCAGAGATAATCAATCCGCTTGTAGTCGGCGACACTTTCGTCAAAGGTTTCGCTACCCGGGGTACTAATTCCTAATTATACCGTCATAACATTGAAAAATTACACAATAGTTCGTGGACCAACTTTGAAATATACACTGAACATGTATAGACGAAAGAGATGAGTATAGAACTCACCGTTCTCCGTGACATAGATTAAAGGGTTTCCGTATCTGTTTTTGAAGTGCTCCATTACGTCTAACATGCCTCTTGGTCGGTAAAAAGTGCCTTTAGCGTCGAACTGTCGAAAATGAAGCATATGTGTATTTATATAACGGAAGATTAATATGGATGTTACTAAATTTGCTTATGAAAAAGAATAGAGGTGGATCATGCGTACCGGTGGACCAGGGGCATTACCATATTCATCCTTAGCTACAAAATGAAATAATTGATGATGGTCACAAAAATATGTTGTAGTTAAAATTGCGGATAGATAATATATATGTAACTAATTGGAAACAAGAGTGGTACATGTGAGTTTTGCGCGTGAGTCCGTCATAGCAGTGAGTTGGCCCGGAGGACTTGGGCCAATGGCTTGAGCGTACTGAGTGACGTAATAGTTGAGACCAAGAAAATCATATGAACGATACACAAGCCTGGCTTCTGCTTCCGTGAAGTTTGGAAGCCGACTACCCACAAGTTGCCTCATGATGTCCGGGTATCTACCCTTTGTTAGCGGCTCCATGAACCTATGTATATACTTACATATTTTGATTATACGTATTAATGTTTAAAATCATTTCAATTTGAGATATATGTATGTATACCATCCAAAGAAGAATTCTTTGCTCCTCTCCGTTGCCTCTTTGCTGGCTTTACTTTCATTATATGGGAGAAACCATCTAGTTATCATCACAGGTCCAATCTTTCCTCCTTGGAACTGTGGTCACGCATACATACACATACAACGATGGTTAAATGAGAATTGCATTGCTTATTTTTACAAATGGAGAAGTTTTCACCTTGTATTTCTTTCTGTAAAGATCGACGACCGTGGCATGAGCAAGAAGCTGGTGATGTGCAACGATGTAGGGTTCTGTTGAAGAATTTCCGCCGTAACATCTTTTATCAACCCAAGGAGAACATCGACCGGGTGCATCTGTTCCCAATGCGTAGCCTCTCGTAGGCACTGTGAAGAGCTGGTTGATAGTGATCCAGTTCTTTACCCTACCACCGAATGCCTCGAAACACACATCCGCATAATTTTTGAAATCCTCTCTGTGCATATTATATAATCATTTCATTAAACGCAAGCTCAGATCTTTATGTATGTTGTCATCTTTCTTCATAATTTTAAAAATTAGGGCATCATAAATAACATACATGACTTGGCGGTCAAGAAAACCTTCATACTCATCTTGCAGTGTTTGAGGAAGGTCCCAGTGGAAGAGGGTAACGAAAGGCGTTATATTCCTTGCGAGGAGGGCGTCTATGAGACCGCTATAGTAATTAATCCCATCTTGGTTAATTCCCCTACTCCTCTTTCCTCCTGCTCATATATTTAAACAATTACAACCGAAGCAACACGATATATATATACATACATATATATGGATCAACAATGTGTACGTACTTGGAATGATTCTTGACCACGCAATGGATAGTCTATAGGCATTAACTCCAAGTTCTGCCATCACGTCAACATCTTTCTGCAGTTTATATATATACAAATTGCATGTCAATCCGTACGTAGTTGATAGTTAATTCAGTGACTTAACATATATATATAACTAACCTGCCAATGCTGGTATGAATCACAAGCAATGTCTCCATTCAGCAAATCGGGCCCTCCTTTCTCTGATAGTATACAAACAGTATATTACTATGAACGTATATATAGAGACATATAATGTATATGTATATATGTAAGCCTTTCTGTATATAGCAACCATGCAGACAACATATACCTGGGTATCGGTGAGTGAACGCATCCCAAACGTTAATGCCACGACCTCTGCCTCCTTCGATCTGAAATGAAAAGAAACAGCCATGCAACGTTGGATTTTGGTGTTTTTGAATGGTTTTTTACTCAAAAAAAATTGGGGTCTGACAACACAAATGTGTGGTTTGTTACGTGCCTGGTAAGCAGCAGATGCAACACCGAAAAAGAAGTCTTTTCCGAAACCGCCTCTGTTGAAACGATCAGTATTGTTACATTTGGTGTATGGTGGAGTGCCCTCTTCGCAAGTAATCTCTTGACCTTTGCAAGTCACTGCAGCTAATAGAAAAACCAAGGTGAGTCCAAGAAGCTTCTTCATGGTTAATCTGTAGATTTATGTTTTGGTTGTATGGAAACATTGTGCCAATCTAGGGTTTATATAGCCTTTGTAAACAAGAGTGGAGTATGCATTTTCTTGCCTTAGTGTCCTGATATTTTGGGAGAGGTTTGGGAGATGAATCCCGTGGCTTCAGCCTTCACTTACTGTAGCTCTTTTTTAAAAGCATACTGGGTCATTGTTCACTTTATACATATGAACTGTGAATGGTTGATTACTCTCATTTCTTGGAGTTAATTTGGTATATAGTATATTAATATATTATTATATGTATTTTGGTTACAAAAAAATAATATTATTAGCAAAAAACAATAGGTTAGATCGGCAAACATATGGGCGATGCGTTATTTAATTGAATTCAACATCGGAACCTCAATCTTTTCGTCTAAATTTCAAGTTCAACGTAAATATTCATTTTCTTCCCATCAAAACAAACTGAAATATTCATTGTAAAAACCAAATTTTTTATTTAAGTAAATTTTACATTTACTTTAAAATTTGTTGATGAAAAGAAAAAGGAATCGTTAAGTTATTTTGGATGATATTACATCAAATGTTGATATTTATATTTGTTGAAAAATCATCGAATTTACTAACAAACAAATAGTAGTTAGATTTTAACCTTAAAAACCTGGATTCATTGAAATTCGTTGTATTTTACAGATAACTGCGGAACTATAAGAGCACTTCAAGATTCAATGTTTGGATAAATTTCGGGTGTAATTTTTACAAAAGGTTGAAAACAAGCTTGTTAAATTAATATTCAATTTTTTAAAAATAATATTATTTGGAAACAGTAAAATAAATACAAAATTATTATCATAAAAATTACTAAAGAATTTCCAATGAAATTTTAAAATCATTAAATAAATAACTACATAAAAATGTTACCATCTTCAAAGTTTAATGATTTTTTCAAAATATTAAATAAAAATTTGTAATTATAGATTAAATAAAATTAAACCAAATAAACCTATAATTTCTAACGAAGTTGTTGACAAAACCAATATATATATATATATATATATATCGGTAATTTTAATGATACTTCATAAATATTTTAATAAATTACAAACATAATTTATTCGTCAAAATATTTTTACAAAATATCAACAATTAAAATCGATTTTTTTTTAGAATGTCAATAAACTTTTTGACGATTAAAATTGTCGAAACTCCATACCAAAAAAAAACTGATGTTTTCTTGTGTGAATTGATATATTAACTCATTGATAATTTAATTTTGTTTAAGAAATCTATAAAGGAGCGTGAACAATGGATTACCAAATAATTCCAATTTATAAAAAAAAATGAACATAAATAGTTACCAAAGGAGCGGGAGCAATCGAGCCAATTATGGCTAAAATCACTGGGGCCTGGGGGCACATCAAATCACTCTGTACGGTACCTTCCGTTTTATATTCACCCCTGACTTGAATGGCTACTAAAGATCACATTTTTGCAGATGATAAAGCACCTCCAAAAATTAATAAACGATTAAACAAAACCAAAATGTTGGTTGGTTTTTGTTTTCTTCTGTCTTTCGGAGAGTGACTCTCAGGTTTCATGTGATAAAGCACCAAGCGGCCAAAATTGATAGGATATGCGATGCCTGTGAGCGGTGAGGCTCGTGATAAATGTGGCCTTGGATTGGATCAATGTATTTTTCTTAACAAAAACATTGTTACTTTTAGATTGAACACTTGATAATATTTAACTAACTCCAAGTCCAAAGAATCTTGATGCATGTCGTTTTAAGTCAGCATTCACATTACGAATTATACTAAAACTTTCGAAGATTAATAGCGCTTGATTTGGCAGTACGTAGTGTGACAACTATGCTCTTGGTTGTTCCTTGTTCTGTAAGAAAAGACATATTACTGTAATATCATCAATCTTCTTAGATTTAAGCTTCTTCTTCCAAACAGCTTCAGCTGCTTCCGCCACCAATTTAGCGGCGGTAGATTGCTTTTTCCTGGAACTCCATACTAGTGATACAACTTCATCATTGCTAAGCATATCCCAAACCTGCGATTGCAATAATAAATACCAAAGGTTTTTTTTCATCAAACTTTTTGAAGTGAAAAAAAAAAATAGGTCCAAAATTTGAATCATATGTGCTTTTTACCCCGTCTGTAGCGAGTACAAGGAACTGGTCTTTATAAGTGATTTGGTGGTGGGAGATCTCAGGAACCGCAATAACCCCGTGGTCTTTGAGCCTGAAATCTCCAAAAGCTCTTGACATGGCTAATCCTGGTATGTCCTGGTGTGGTAGCCACACTCTTTGGCTGCACGGTTCTGTTTTCATCGCGAGAACACGACCTTTGCATGCCCTAATCCTCTCTGCTTCACCTGCGAACGCAAGAACTCCCCAAATAAGTATAATCAAACCTCTAATGATATAACCATCTCTTAGCCATGGAGAGTGTGAAAAAATCCATACTAGGAACATCAGGGGTTAGGTCCGATGTTAGCTGAACTGCGCTGATCTCACCATCTTCGGTCATTGTCCCCAAAACTGCCCTTGAATCACCGAGGTTCGCTATCATGAGGTCATCTCCCTAAAGCAAAGCACTCCATATAGTACATCATATAGACTTTGAATGGTGGCAGTGCACAGAACAAAAGCTTGGAGAAGAATGTACCTGAGTCATGGCAACAACAGCCGTGGAGCCACTGAAAGAGCAATCAAAGACTTGGAGAAGAAGCTCTCTATCAAGGATCCTGAAGGCAGAAAAACAAGCTTTTTCCCACTTGTGAGTTTCTTCTTCTTCTTCTTCTTCTTCTTCTTCTTCACAAACATGTGATTCTTGGTTTAGCTCCTTCTTTAGTGTTGACATAAGCAATGGCAATCTATTCCTCACCATTTTGCTCACCATGTGCCCATTTTTGCCGTGCCCATCAAACACTCCACACAGCTCTGCGTCACCTGTTTCATATGCCTACGGGATTTACCAATTAAACCATTTTTCTATTTAACTTTTAACACAAAAATGTAAATTCAACATATAGAAAATGATTTATTAGATTTCGATTTAACTGTTTGCTTACATTTGCATTTACTTTTTTCTGTATGTTTAGCGTTAATTTTCAAAATTATTAGCATCTTGAACAAAAATTAAAGTTATTAGCATCATTTTCTTTTACAATAACATAATTAAACACAAAGAAACACTTTACAAAAAGATTTTTTTTTTTTTTTGTCGACACTTTACAAAAAGATTTTAGTTTATAAGAAATGAATATAAATGACTTTCGAAGGCAATGAAAGGAACTCAAAAATAGTCGCATGTATATACAAACACACAAATTGATATTTGAATCAGTCAATGCAGATTGGTTATGACATGAAAGCATCTAATAAAAGAAAAAGCGTTACAACCCATAAATCCAAACGAATGTCTCATCCAAAAAGTAGATTATCTTCAAGATGAATGAACCCAAAAATAAAAATGTTCTTTCTGATGCGACTGTCTTATCCATATTAGGGAAACAAAAATTAGTTCTTCATCTATCCCCAAAACATTATTTTTGGCCATCTAAGTTCATGATTTCTAGAAAAAGAGGAGGAATATAGAAACAAGAAAATAGCAAAATAACAAGATGAACTACCAGATAAAGAATAGCATTATCTTGGTTAACCGCCTTGCTTCCTTGTACAGAGTAGACTGAACCGAGGCGGTGAACCGGAAGGTCGTAACCTAAACCGAACTCTTCGCCGCCATAACACACCACCGCATTTCCATCACCGTGCTCATTATCCTCGTGAATCTCCGATGAGGAAGACGGCAACGAGAAGCAATGTCCCATAATCTCACCAAAGTCACACCCAAAATTACTCGAAGAAGAGTATATATATATATATATTTTTTTTTAAAAAAATAACCTTTTTGTTAATCGGATCGCAGATCCTTAGAATTTGTTAAGCTTAATTAGACGAACGACCCGTTCAGAACATATATGGAAAGCCTTTTCTTCAAGCTGGAGCTGAGTAATTTAATGAACCATACAATATTGTATACTGAAATTCCATAGAAAAACATTATTACTGTTTACGTGGCACCAAGTTGAGTTGCAAATTTCAATGAAAGCAATTATTATATGATCATACATATACGTTGACTTTGTATTTAATACTATTGTGCTGATATAAATTATTTTGTCCAAGTTTCGCTTGAAAGGGCAAGTTCTGATCCTGGCACTAGTTTTGGCAAGGCATTATACTAATAATCATATACCCCTTATAAGAAAATGTTTGATGCGTGCTAGTACCGAATACTTTAATGATTAATATATCTTACATATAAATTATTGAAGAACTTTTGAGTCTATTTGATCCATAGTCATTATGCTTAGATTAATTTGAGTTTCCGGTATTATGGATTATGCATTTTCCCAAACGTATGAGAATTTGGTAAGGTTTACAACTTGGTCATATATCTATATTCTTAAGTATCTTTCGGTATCAAAATTGTTTTGACTAGTTAAGTGGCAGTTGTTTGGCCACGTAGCCCATTCCCCAAGAAAGTGGGTGTACATCAAATAGTTGTCGGTTATGGACCGGTTCGGCGTTGGTTCTATTCGGAAACAGAAAGAAAAGAACCACTTTGTTTACGAAACGCAGCCGTTTAAGACTAATTTGTATGTATGGGCCCATGTACGGGAACGTATAAACTTTGACAGTTTGACTCAAAAACACGCCTTGATCTGCTCCAATGGGAAAAGTCTTGATTTTTTTTTTTTTGCAATTACACCTACCTTCTTCGCATTTTCGCCCAACTTCTCTTCTCTCCTTAAAGTTTTCGCTTTAAAGTGCTAATCAAAACCCTAAACCCACAATCCATTCTCTTCCTCACGAGATTCGATCCCTCTCCCTCTCCCTCTCACTCTCTCTTTTTCCCTCTCTCTTGCAATTTGCTGATCGATTTAAAGTTGAAGCTATGGAGGCGACGGCGTTGTCAGCTGGATTTCGTCCCCTTTTGAAGCCTGAAGGTTACAGATTTCCGAGGTTAGGATTCTCTATTCGATTTGTTTTTGGTCGTTTTAGGGATTTACGATCGCGAATTGTTGCTGGAGCCTCGATTTGATTAGCCATGATAACCTGCGGATTGATTAGCTTAGCGACGATGATTTCAAAGGTAATCGAGAATTTCTAATTAGTTATCAATTGGTTTATTACGGCTGTGCAGGTCATGTTCTCAGAGAAATTCTCTGTCTTTGGCTCGATGCTCTTCGAAAGAGATATCTGGCGGATTCATCAAACCGAAACCTGAAGGGTCTATTGCGATCACGCACCGTGGATTGAGTTTCAAGACGAATGTTTTCGAGCAAGCCCATCCTCTGGCTGGAGACGTCTCCTATGAAGACGCGACGGCTAAAACAAGTTCTCATGCCGCAGAAGATAAGATCGGTGTCCTGCTTCTGAACTTAGGTGGCCCTGAAACCCTTAACGACGTGCAACCCTTCCTGTACAATCTGTTTGCAGACCCGGTGAGAATCTCTTCTTCGTTGTGATTCATGTTAGAGTTTTGAGTTTATAGCCAAATCTGGTTGCTGATTTTGGATTAAAAAAAACGTGCCATTGTTGCAGGATATTATACGGCTTCCCAGACCATTTCAGTTTCTCCAAGGGACTATAGCGAAATTCATATCTGTGGTTCGCGCCCCGAAATCGAAAGAAGGGTATGCTGCTATTGGTGGTGGCTCTCCTTTGCGTAAGATAACCGATGAGCAAGCAGATGCCATTCGGATGGCCTTGCAAGCAAAGGACATTGCTGCTAATGTCTATGTTGGAATGCGTTATTGGTTTCCATTCACTGAGGAGGCTGTTCAGCAGGTGATTCTACATTCTAATGATCTTTAGCTCTCAACTTAAACCATAATCAGAGGCTCCTTCTTCCCGGTTGTTTATAGAGCTGCTGCTTATCTCTGTGTCCTAGTTATGTTTATCTTATCAAGCTAATTACATTTAATCAGATCAAGAAGGACAAGATTACAAGACTTGTTGTACTGCCATTATACCCTCAGTATTCTATCTCCACGACGGGCTCAAGCATCCGCGTTCTCCAAGACTTATTCAGGTTTGTGTAAGCCACAAAGCATATTCATAGTGTATATTGTTTATTTGTTTTAAAAAAAAGTTATTAGTTGCATGAGCGGTTCTTAACACGAATTATCTATCATTCAGGAAAGATCCGTACCTGGCTGGAGTGCCAGTTGCTATAATACAGTCGTGGTACCAAAGGCGAGGCTATGTCAATTCCATGGCCGACCTCATTGAGAAGGAACTTCAAACTTTCTCTGATCCTAAGGAGGTACAGTTACTTCTCACTCTCTGGTCTTTCCCCTTCATTACACTTCCTAGTCCAAACACTGGTTAAATAGGTCCCTTCTCTGTATGCTTTAGGCTATGATATTCTTCAGTGCCCATGGTGTCCCAGTCAGCTACGTAGAGAACTCCGGAGACCCGTACCAGAAACAGATGGAAGAGTGTATTGACTTGATAATGGAAGAGCTGAAATTCCGAGGGGTTCAAAACGACCATATATTGGCATACCAGGTTTGCTCATATCATCCGTTATATAAAAGCTGCTTCGCACTACCTCTATATTGTCAAGCCCTCTTACTGATTCTTGCAAAAATCCTTTCTTTTTCAGAGTCGTGTTGGGCCTGTTCAATGGCTGAAGCCATACACGGACGAGGTTCTTGTTGACCTTGGTAAGAAAGGTGTTAAGAGTTTACTAGCCGTTCCAGTCAGGTGAGAAAACATCCCTTTAGCTCATTTTTGTGCTGTGAAAAAAAAGATAATTCCCAAGCTCCCGGAAGCTGTCTCTTTTGGTTCTATTGTTGACCATTTCGGCTTTCTCGATTTTCTTGGATATCAGTTTTGTGAGTGAGCACATTGAGACTCTTGAAGAGATAGACATGGAGTATAGGGAATTAGCTCTGGAGTCAGGGATAGAGAACTGGGGACGTGTCCCTGCGCTAGGTCTCACCGCGTCCTTCATCACCGACTTGGCTGATGCAGTGATTGAATCTCTTCCTTCAGCGGAAGCAATGTGGAAGCCAAGCGCGGTGGTCTCAGAAGACAGCGAGTCATCGGACGCTTTCAGTTACATTGTGAAGATGTTCTTCGGTTCGGTTCTAGCCTTCGCTCTGCTTCTATCCCCAAAGATGATCGATGCATTCCGGAACCATCTTATCTAGAAGAAACCTACTGAATATCTGATGAATAGTTGGGTTTTGTGTTCTTTTATTTTATTTCTTTTGGAGAAATTTCTTGGTCAAGTTTAATATATATAGTCCAATCTATTGAAGTACTAGCACACCAGCTATAATGAGCTGATGTGGGTGAGTAGTTCAATAGATTGGACTATATATACTAAATTTGACTAAGATAGGGAAATAATGAGAAGGGTATAAGTTCTTGGGAAGAGACAGGATTAGATGTATTTCAGATTTAAGATGCCTTTAGCTACAAACACAGTGCCTACGTTCCTCCTAGAGATGAGGAAAGGAAATATATAATAAATCTATAATGATTTTGGTTTCCAAATGCAATTGTGTACACAGAAAAAGCTACGTTCATTGCTAAAAAACAAAGATATAAGTCCAACCTCAACATTCAAAACGCTTTACAATATTTATCATTTCATATTTCCATACAAACAAAAACGAAAAAGAAGACATTAAACAAGACGATTATATACACACATGGCATAAGCAGCACATAGAAGCTCTGCAATTAGCTGTTTTGGATCCAGGACAGACAGTTCACGTGGAATCTGAATCCGGTTGTGTCTTGATTAGTCCTTTACGTGAGAGATTCTCAATGGAATTCGCAATAACTCTGGCGCTCGACTTCATGTACCCGCCTGCACAAAGTATCACATAACTAACTTATTTTGTCCAATTCATAACCAATCATGACTCGTATGTTTTGGTTATGTCAAATTCAAAAATCTCACCTGAAGTCAGCATCACGATAGGAATCTCTCTCTCCCTTGCAAATCTGAAGACTTTCTCGTCTCTACTCGTTATGCCATCGGGGCTTATCTGTGCACCAAGTTAAGAGACGACTGTAACTAAAGGAAGAAACTATATGATTCCGCTCAGATAGAACAGACAGAGAATCTCTGCAGTATATATAGCTTTACCTTTAGAAGCCCCAGAGGGTCCCCGTCTAAGATATCGGTACCAGCATTGTAAACTACCAACTCTGGCTCGAAGCTTCGTGACGCAACCTGAGTTTATATATCATCACCATCATAAGTTTCTCTCCTGAGAGACCACATGTGTTTTTCGAGGAACCAAGTTTCTAGCTTTCAGCTTCATAGCTACGGTTTTACATCCCATGCTCTCTTAGCTCATCTATCATCGCCAGGAAACAAGAGATTAAGAGAATGCATACCTCAAGGGCTTCATCTAGTTTCCTCAAATACTCATCCGTAGTGGTCCCGCTCTGATTTAGAGAAAGGAACAGACTTATTATGTGCACACAAAAAAAATCAGATTAATTCAAAAGATGATAAGCGAAAGAAGATAATATGCTTACCACCACCTCAACCTTCTGATCGATAAAAGTACTAGCTCTATAATCCTATAAAACAAAACAGAGCAGATTAATCAAAAGCCATTGACGAAACTTCACTAAAAGTTAAAGATGAATGGAAATGACATCTTACAAAAGGGTATATATCAGGGTTGTACATATCCAGAATGTAAACGCGACCTGAAGACAGAAAAAACACCATATTGAACACCGAAAATAAGACCAAGGATCATGAAAATCAAATAAAAAATAGTTTCTCATACTGTCATCGCCGAGATCTGTTTCGTGGCCATTCCCTTGATGAGCATCAAGATCTATTATCATAACCCTGCTCAAGTTTAACAAAAGTTCAAGAACAAATGGACTTAACACATTTGTGGGAGAAGGATGATGATTTACATAGCAAATGGAAACCATTAGAGAAAAAATATAATTGCCTTGAAATTCTTAGACGAAGAAACGCAAATTGAACACAGAGAGAAATATCAGCGAAAGCACAAAACCCGCCTCCTCTTTCGGCAGTACAATGATGAAAACCTCCTCCGATATTTATTGCCCATCCACGTTCTATTGCAAGTTTAGCTGCCAGGATCGTCCCACCGACCTGTCACACACCAGACTTTTGTAATCACTCCACAAATATAGAACAACAATCAAAGAGGTAATAAGTAAGGAAACAAATGATTCTTCTTGTACCTGCTTTCGGAATGGGTTTAGAACTTTCTGCTGCACAAGAAAATTCGGGAAAATAGAAACTGGTGGAACCTATGATTATACAAAACTCAAGAATCAAGTCAGATTATACAAAAGGATATTCACTTCTCATGTTAGTTTAAATTAAATCATATCACCTCGATTATCCTAGCGACAGTTGCACTGCTTTTCAAGCTGTTTAAGTAGTTCAACGAATGTACCTGAGTTACAGAATAACTCACAACCGTCAATACATTAGATCAATGGAGCCATATGGTTGATTGGCCACACGTGAATACATTCTAAAACCCATTCTAAAAGGCAAAGAAAACTTGATGCTATGTATAGTTCACTCATCTAAGAGAGGAGAAGCCAAGTACGTACCACTAAAAGATCACTGTTCGAAGCTTCTCGAGGCTCGACGATTGATTTCTTCTCCAAAAACCCATCAGAGATAAGGAACATACACACTCGACGCCACTTGGTGGAATCAAATGGATGCCTGCACATAATCAGATATCATCTTATTCAAAAAAAATATATATATATATATAAAATAAAAACCCCAACTTTCGAATTCCGCAGGTATTTAGACTCGAGTTATCATTACAACTTGCAACTCAAAGTACTTTCTCACACAAAAGAAGGCACAATCGTTCAGCAAATTCACAGAATTGGTCAACGGAGAGAAAAATTCCAAACCAAAACTGCAAGGATTGGGCCAAAAAAAAAAACTCACAATTTCTCAATCCCCATGAATGAGATGTCGTATTCCGATGAATAGATAATCGAAACCTGTTTGATCAAACATATTCGTGAGCTAATTTGTGGGCAACGCACGCACAAATCTGTAGAGTATAAAAAAAAATAAAAAATAGAAAACCTTTGAGAGAGGGACATCGAAGTAGAGTTTGCTGGAAAGAATTCGCTCTCGCCGGAGAGCTTCCGGGTGGGTCTCCATCGAAAACGACGACATTTCAGGTGATTGAAAGCAACGGTAGAGAAACTGGGATGCTTTGATGGCGCCAAACGTGAAGAGCAAGTAAACTGCTGAGTCACGAGTTAAATCGGTCCAGGTCGACACGACTTGGCTACTTTTCATAACTCTGTTCGAAAAAAACTGTGGATTTTGATTTGAAGCGGCGAGATATTTTCTGTTCTGTGAGAGAGATATTTGATCAAATATGAGACCAACTTTCCAGACGCGCGGAAGAAGGCGCGTTTTTATTACTTTCTCTTGGCCATTTCAATTTTTAAATTCATGTAAAAAGTCATCGCGACGACTTTTTTATCCATTTTTTTCTTTCTTTTTTATACTCTTTTGAATCAAATTTTGATTAGACCAGTAAGTAAGGAATCTCCTTCTTAAAATAATTTTGTTTAGACTAGTAAGTAAGGAATCTCCTTCTTAAAATAATTTTGATTAGAGGAGTAAGTAAGATTTATTTAATGACAGGCTGAATATACTATATATCTATCGAAAAAAAATAAGTCTAATTTGTAATTGTAAGACTTAGTTTTAAAGGTAAATAAAGACTGTCTATGTAACACTTTTTTTTTGTTAAAACTGTCTATCATTTTGTTGTTGTTAAAACTGTCTATGTAACATCGCACGTCAACCTTCTCTTATTAGACTCCCGCGAAAATTAGAAGAAATAAAAAATACAAAGTGTTCGAATAAATTTTTTTTTTTTGTAATTTCAACAATAATAATGTTACTATACTTTATGTGTAGCAGCATCATAGATTTCCTTATATTACGTGTGTATTTATAACCCCCATACATATATTTTTCTCAAGATATTGTTGTCGAAAAACACAAAGGGGTAAAAAAAAAGAATAAAAAATATTGATGGCTGAAAATGTAATTGAATGGTTTGTGCCATAATCATCATTCGGAATCAAACGTGTGTGATGCATGTAAATTTGAAGGTTGTTTGGATAAAAAAAAGATTGAAGAAATCACCATTTCCAAACCCATTTGCTTCTGAGGACATCAACGAAGGTCTTGCGATCATCATCATCTTTTACGATCTTCCTTTGATAGAAACCATCTCTCTTCGCTACCCAAATGCACTCGTCGCCTCCATCTCCGCACTGCCTCCGAAACCCTTCCTTGACAGAGAACACTGTCATCACGTCCTCGCTCGTTGTCCCGAACCCGCTACGAAACTGGCACCGGAACTCGGTTTTTTGGAACGGCCACATGTTCATTGTCGTGAACTTCCATATCCGTGACTGACTTGGCTTCAGCACGACCCACCCGAGGTCGTCCTCGTTCGACCAGCACCGCACGGCCAGCTTCGCTTTCCGGATATTAGAGACCCCCGAGATATCGTTCTTTAACTCTAGGCGACCTGCCGTGGTTGGTGCGGGTAACAATGCCGCGACCACGACCGCCACCGCCAAGAAGCACCACCGTTGGTTTCTCCCCATCTGAATTATTCGATCGCTCTGTCTTCCTAATTATTGATTTCGTCGAGTCTTGGGGCTTAAGGAACAAATTGGGACAGGTGACGATGTAACCGATATATATATATAAATGAATGTGAATTAAATGGCAATTAGACTGTTACTGTTGCTGTTTCTAAATTTAGATGTACTAGAAGCTACTTTTCATCTATTTTTGGAGGTAGAACAGAGTGCAAATCCCAAAAGTTGAAAAGTAAAATGTGCTGTTTCAGAAATTTTGACCTCAATCCCCGTCATCATACCCTTTGAGATTGTTTATCACATAGGTAGAAAAGACTTAGAACGTTATGTTTAATGAACGTTATATAATTTCTTTATAACCTGGTTTTGCAAATTTTTTTAATTATTTACAACGTTATTGATCAAATTTTCACGTTTGCATTATTACACCACCATCGTTTTGTCTTTTATATTGCTTCCATCAATTCACTTCTGCTTTCCACTGTTTCATTGATGACTCATATGCACTCAGCTATAATTCTATTCACAATATATAGAACAACAATATAATAGATCCGTTCTTTCTCATTTTCACTTTTCATAAAGTTACACATTGTTTAATTTTATTACCACGAATAACAACATAAAGAGACTAAAATCAGGACATTGTCTCTGTCTTCATAGTGATAAACATTACCAAATATTTGAATTAGCTCCAAGGTTTCTGGAGGACATCTTGTTGCACATACTCATCCCACCTCTCGTTACCGTACTTGTTACTAAAAAATTTGGTCTTCCAATGTCTCAAGTAGAGTCCGTCCTTCTTAACGACCCAAGTGCATTTGTCCCTGTCCCCACACTTCTCTTTCATATCCCACGAGGCGACTAGCTGCTTCTCCACGCGTCCGTACCCTGTATGGAAGTGGCAGTAGAAGAAGGTGTGGAAGAGCGACATGGCGAAGGACCAGTCCTTGTGCTGATCTGGCCAGTTTTCTCGCCACCCGAGATCGTTGTCGCGGGACCAGCATTGGTACACAAGCCTCCTGTACCGACCTGAGAGCTCGTTCCTGATCTCCAGTTGAAATCCATGGGAGTGAGTCACCATCATTATGGCGATTATAAGTATAAGAACAAAGTTCCCATCTAGGGTTTTGGGAATCTTTTTGGTTCCCATTTGTGTAATTATGTTCTTGTTCTTCTTCTTTATTTCTTGCTCACTCAATCTTTTTCCTTTGAATTTTGGGCATTGATAGCGTTTGTACAGAAACTACTATTTTTAGAAATGTAACGGCTAAGGTTTCAGTTATTGCCGCGGGTCAAGGGCAGGAACAAGTCATTCTTCTACATCCACATTTTTATCATTACTTTGTTGATTTTTTTTTAAAGAGTAAAATTGGCAAAAATATGTTGTTTTTAAGTTTGTAGTGAATGAATGGTCAAGTGTTTTAGTATTTGCACCCAATGACAAAATCTTAGAGAGTGATGATTAAACAAATAACAATGGAACTAGATTGTTTGTCTATTTTATTGCTGTTTTTTTTTCTTTGTGTAAATTTGCAAAACATAGATAGGTTTGTCTATTTCTGGACACGTCGGTACAGTTTTACCTTCATTTAACTGTGCGTGACTGAAATTAATGGAAAACGAATGGTTTGATATGACAAATGACAATCACTTGAGAAAGTCTTCAAAACTAAAAAAGGGTTGTTAAGTTGTATTATAACGGTATTCATGACACCATGTCTGAAAAATCATTAATCTGATCAACACAATTTATTTATGTAATTAGCTAAATACTTTGATAATTCAATAATAACGTATTAGTCAATATTACCGCCTAAGCATAAGCAAGCATACTAATTAGAGGGAGGCCTCAATAGGCAAAAGAAGAGAAATTTGAAATGTAAACAAAAAGCAACGCCGGCTATTATATACTTGAAAACTACCATCTTGAATAAATCCTACACTTAGTGGAAAGCCTCTAAGAGAACTTCCATGTAGTACTATAAATAAACACATAAACATAATTAAGTCTAAGGATCTTAACATTAACCTAAAGTATGGTGACTCTAGATCTTTCCTTCACCCTAGTTTTTCTATTGGCAATCTTATTCACAGTTGCTGGAGCCAACAACAACAGAAAACTCCTGCAAACTTCCACTAACTATAAGCCGCTTTATTCTCCTCCTCCTCCTCCTCCTCCATCGCCGGTATATCGACCTCCACCTCCGGTTACTCTTCCTCCTCCTACTCCGATTTATTCTCCTCCTCCAACTCCGATCTATCCATCTTCGAAAGCTCTTCCTCCTCCTCAAGCTCACAGCGCCTTCTACTACAGGAAATCTCCTCCACCTCCCTCCGGAAAACCTTGGTGGTGGTTGTTGTGAGGCGGTAAGAAGTGGCTCAGGACAAGTGCATTACCGTTTTCTTAACTTGGTTTTTGATGTCTCTCAGTTTTCCTTAATGTATTTCTATTTGTAATGTGAGTGAAGTTTAAATATCAAATCTGCAGTCTTGTTGATCCATTAGGACTTGTTCTTCTTTTTTTTTTTATGAATTGCGCAAAAACTAATATATCGTCCACACATTTGCCTTTCACCAAACTAATATCTCCTGTAAAAAAAATCGAAATCATATATATATATATATATATATATATATATTATGTTAAAGCTTAAGATACAAAAAGACACTACCAACGTAACACGATCAGTTTGTACACATCATACTACTTCTGTTTTCTTCAACATTTCTCTTTTTTCTTTTAATTACTTTTGCTATTTTGGTAAGTGACATTGCAGAAATGATACGTCCTACACCTAATCGCCGCCGTCTTCCTTGTCGACGTTGACGTCATCAATATCATCATCTTTGTCATCGTCTGACCTGGTGACGTTGTGTTCCGTTCGTAAAGCCTTTAGCTGCCGCGGGGACCATGCCTTCCATGGCTCGACAAGCTTGTCAACGGGCCTTACCAACTCCAGAAATTTTAACAAAAGGTGCGGATAATAGGTCTCAAAACCGACGAAATATATACCGTTCGGCCTAATGACGTATTTACACAAATGCCCTCCGCACAACGTTGAAGTCATCGACAACGTCTCGATCTCGACATCCGCTGTCCCTTGGCTCGACAGGAATTGGCACCGGTGAATCACCAAGCCGGTTCCAAACGGCGGGACTTCGAAATCCCATGTAAATTCCGATTTGGGATACGATTCATGCCATCGGAGGGACTTCTCAGACGACTTGCACCGGTAGACAACCAACGGACGGTGTAAGCCGAACATTTCGTTCTTCATCATTAGCGTGAAAGACACGTCTCCAACTTCAATCGAGTTCCCTTGAAATATGATGACTTGCAATACAAGGCACCAAACTATGGCTTTATTGGCAAAACTATCTTCTCCTCTCATTTTCTCTTTCTTCTTCTTCTTCTTCTTCTTCTTCTTTCGTTATAAAAGTTTTCTACAATTCTGAAATCCTATTGGTTTTCTTTCTTGAGGACACTTTAATTTCCTTTTGGTTTTATATATTTAGTAAAGGAAAACGAAAAGTTATGGAAGGAAATTAGTTTTGTAGCTACTAACGAGATAACCAATTCCAAAATCCAGTGTATATTGTCAGATAATAAGAAAAGGGACCTTGTTATCTCCGAAAATGTAGTAATTAGTGATACCAATCGATCTGTCACACCACACAATATAAAGAAAACAACATTATTGTTATACCTTCTAACAATATTTTCCCATGATGCGTACATTTTCCCACGCGTTTGTTACAAAGCTTTCTTGGTACTCAAAATTCATTTTCTGTTACACCATCGTAGGTCAAATTGAAATTAGGGGAAAATGTAAAATCTAAATATCGTAGCACTGAAAATGACTAACATAATATCAAAAAAAAAAAAAAAATTAACCTCAACAAAATCAATACTATACCGCTATACGTGTATCCAAATTTTACGCTTAGCACCGTTAAATATGTTAGCAAAATAGTATGAGGGCATTTTGTTTCAAGAATTATTTAAAATAACCTTTTAAAATCGATATTGACTAGAATAACATCTTCGTACAACAGACTAACTAAAATAACCTTATAAAGTTGTGCAAAGACATCAAAATCCAAATTTTAGATATAATAACGAAAATGCCATTTTGATAAAAAATAATCAAAAATAATAAAATTGATAAAAGAAAGATTTTTGGAAAAAAAAAAGAAAAACAACAAAACCTAAAAAAAAAAGAATCAGCTCGCGAGGGGAAGAGAAGAGCATCGACGGTGCCCGATTTGAAGAAACCCAAAATCTCTGATTACGGCGGTGAAGAGCACCGACGGTGGAGCAAAGGTAGAGCTCCCGAGCTTCCCGGACCTGCGACGGCGGTGTCTACATCTTCTCTTACGGCGGCGTCTACATCTTCTCTTACGGCGGCGTCTACTTACGACAGACGGCGTCCATTTGAGGGCTGCTTTGTTTCACGGCTGCTTTGTTTCACGGCGAGTGAATAGTAAGATCCTTCACCGTTGATTTGTCTCCATTTGTAGATCTATGGTTTTTATTGATGGTAACCTTGGTTTCAGATTTGTAGATCTAGATTAATGTCGAAGTTTTTAACCGGAATTTTATTTTTATTTAGCAGAATTCCAGCGAGGACAAAGAGTAGAAGGCGACGGAATCGGGTGTCGTTAGAGAAAGTGCTTGATAAAGGTAGTCGGATTAATTTATTTGATGGTAGACTTTTAATCGGTAGACTTATTAGCTAGATTAATGTCGAAGTTTTTAACCGGAAATTTGTTTTTATTTAGCAGAATTCCAGCGAGGACAAGGAGTAGAAGGCGACGGAATCGGGTGTCGTTAGAGAAAGTGCTTGGTAAAGGTAATCAGATTAATTTATTTGATGGTAGACTTTTAATCGGTAGACTTATTAGCTTATTATTGGTCGAATTTGTTGTTTTGGTAGACTTATTGTCAAGTTTCTCAACGGACAATTTTTTTCCTTGCAGTTAACAGAGATCCGGTGAGGACAACAACAACGAGTAGGCGACAGAATCCGGTGACTATTGAGAAAGTGAACCGTGAAAAGGTAACTAGATTTTTATTTTTTCCGTTTTCAGTTATTGTAAACATGCTGGTTTGGTGGTAGACTTGTTTTGTGATGGTAAACGTGTTGGTAGACTTGATGGTTGTTTTGTGGTAGACTTAATTTCCAAGTGGTGGTAGACTTGTTTGGTAGACTTGTTTGTTTGCTTGGTGACATATTTTCTATGTGGTGGTAGACTTGTTTATACCGTTTTCAGTTATTGTAAACATGATGGTAAACTTGTTTTGCGATGGTAAACATGATGGTAAACTTGTTTTGTGCCGTTTGTAGTTATTGTAAACTTGTTTTGCGATGGTAAACATGATGGTAGACTTGTTTTGTGCCTGCCATTTTGAGTTATTGTAAACATGTTGTTTTAGTGGTAAACTTGTTTTGCGATGGTAAACATGATAATAGACTTGTTGTGTGATGGTAAACTTGTTGGTAGACTTGATGGTTGTTTGGTGGTAGACTTAATTTGGCTGTGGTAAACTTGATTGTGATATATGTGTTCACTTTTGCAGCTACTTGATGGCATCTTCAAGCGCGACGAAGCTGAAATACCCACCCCGATTGTTTCCCCCGGGGAAATCTCCTGTACAGAAGAAGAGTTTGAACAACTATTGTCATTTGACGGATTTTGGGATGTTGAAGGAGGCTGTTGGTGAGGAGGTCTACAATGACATAAGGAACAGTTCCCAAGTAGGAGTGGTATTGAGTCTTGCAGAGAAGAAGTACGTATGGGCAGCAAAAACGGTCCATAACATGGTAACAAACCAACTGGCTATTGATCGAAGTTACAGGATTTGGGCACTTATCAGTGGGCGTCCAGTGCGGTTTTCGCTTCACGAGTTTGAAGTGATAACCGGGATTAAATGTCAGCCCGTTGGGGATGAGCCGTGAGACATATATCACCATGAGTTCTGGGAAGAGCTTGGCGTGAATGCAAGTGTAGGGCCAAATTGGCATGAGTTGGTTGAGGTATTTGAAAGATGCAAAACTTAGTTGTATCAGAAGAAGAAGATGGTTGCGCTTCTGTTCATACTGCACGTTGGGATAATCGGTATTAATCGGAATAGTCGTCTTCCTTTGAACTGTGCGAAGAGAGTTATGGATGACGAAGCTTTTGAGAGTTATCCATGGGGGCGTGTCGGTTTTAAGGAGATGATTACGTCCATCAAAGTGGCATCTTTAGGAGGAAACAGCTACACCTTTCATGGATGTGTGCATGCGCTGCTTATATGGGTGTATGAGTCGGTTCCGATTTTGGGAGAAAAATTTGGCAAACTTGAGAACAATCCGCTCACTTTACCGTGTCCCCTACTTCGTTGGCGTTCGTCTAGGGAGAGATATATTCTTGAGAAAGTTTTGGAAGAAGTAAAAAGCAGATACGATGACAAAAAGGTATGTTTTCCATACAAATGTAGTATTTTGGTAGTTATAACATTAGTTATCGTCAAAATATGATATGAACTGTACTTATGATGGTAGATATGATTTATCACATATTAGATTTTCATTTCAGTTCACTTATGTGGCTAACTTGTTAGTATCACTTGTGGTAGATATTTTAGTATTAGACATATATAAATATATATACGTGGTGGTAGACATTTTAGTATTAGAGATATATAAATATATATGTGGTGGTAGACTTGTTAGTATTAGACATATATACATGGTGGTAGACTTGTTACTTGTGGTAGACTTGTTTTATGTATTCGTGCAAAATTGTTTAGCATTATGATTTTGAGTTATCTATCTTTGTCTGCAGGTTAGGGTGAGGCATCTAGTCAAGGTTCCTCGAGAGTATATATATCCGTTTTGGCCAGATGAGGAGTCAACGCCAGACGTGGATCCAAAGCTTCACAATATGCTAATTGATATTCTTGATGGATGTTTAGATGAGACAGTTTGGGAGGAGACAGTTGACAGCAATTCAAAGGAGAAGGAGAAGAGGAAGGATAAGAAAAGGGGAAGGAGAAGGAGAAGAGGGAGAAGAAGGGGATTAAGAAGAAGGAGGAGAAGAGTAGTGTTGAGGGAAGTGATAATGATTTTGTAAAAGTGCCTAAAAGGAAGAAGAAGCGACATGAAGAAAGTGCGTCATGTGAGAAGAAGAAAGAAAAGAAGAAAGTGATGGTGACGGAGGCGGAAAGTAGTGAGGATGAAGAGTTAGACATGCCGGTAGGTCAGTTTGTTGAGAAGGTAAAGAAGAGGATAACAACGCAGGAGAATAGAAGCGGGAGTGATGCGCTTTTACAGGCAATTAAGGTATTATCATCCAAAATTGACGCTATAGACCAGAGGGTGACTACATTTGCGGGTGGGGTTAAAGACAATGTTCAGATTCCGGAAGAGGTAGAACCTAAGGGAGCAAATCCGGCTGGAGATGCCGAATCCAAAGCAAATGAACCCGCGCTTACAAAGGATCGGGTACGCAAGTCTCTCTTCTAGGGTGTTGTGTTTTTATGCATTTTGAAACTAGTGATGGTAGACTTTTTGGACCAAAGTTTACAGATTTGTAGTATTTATTTCCTCTGTTTATTACGAACTATGGTCTTTCAGATGTTTTTTCTTGTATTTCATATTTGACAAGTTTGCTGAATCGGAATTTTGCTTAAAATAATGCTTCAAATTTTAAATAAGTTTAAATTTTTTATAACAAATCTACCATTGAAATGATAAGTCTAAACAATGTACTAATTGAGTTATGGTTCAACAGTCATGGACTGTGGAGATGCAGGATACGTCTGATCCTCAGTTTCCAAAAGCAACAGTGATTAGAAATCCGAAGATCAAAGTTAAGATCCTCCGTAAAGTGAAAGTAGAAGGCTGTAAGGGTGAGGCGAAACCGACAGAGGTTATTGATGATCAAGTATATGTGACGCCTCGACGAGAATTAAGATTCCACAGCTGGTTGATGAACCTGACGACCCGAAACTCCTAGCGTTGGAGAGGCTTATGGCACTTCCCACCGTCATTGACCAAGAATTTGGCAGAAAGCCAAGACCCCATGTCATTTCGCACACTCAAAACTCACCATTTGCAGGGAGTTCTTTTGTGCGTAGAATGATGGGTGTTGTATCTCATGGGCAGGCTCATTACAACCCATTTGAGGAGGTCGAACCGCAAAAGTTAAATTGCTTGCTCCAATATATCAAAAAAGATTTGTAAATGTTTTGATCTTTGTCTTGCATTTAATGGATATTATTCCTCTTCATTAAATTAGTAGATTGTTATTTAAGGACTTCCGTAGAGTAAGTGTTTTAAATTATTGTATTAGGGAAAACCCGTTCGACGAATCAATTGCAGGGGTTGATTTCTACCTCACGTTGATGACACCTAAAGAAATGTGGCCAACTCCAGAATATGGATGGTTGTCGGGCAAGGTAATTCTCGATATGAGTAGCTGTATAGTTGTTTGCTAAATAGATGTTTGATAAATGGTTGTTTACTAAATAGTTGTGGTAGACTTGTTCTGTAGGATAGCATATTGTTGTGGCAGACTTATTCTACTTAAGAATATTTGTAGTATGTAATAGTCGTGGTAGACTTGTTTTGAAATGTATTGTTGTTATGGTAGACTTGTTTTGAAATATTAAAATATTTGGTAGAATTATTCTTAATTTGTTTTCCTTATGCTTCTTTCAGCATATTAGCTCTGCATTCGATATGTTCAGATCTCGTTCTTACCGAGTTCCATCTCCGTATCAAAACGGGAGGGTTGCATTCCTAGACCCATTCATCTCATATATGTGGTGCAGAGATTATGAGACAAAGTTTGTAGGGAACGAGAAAAATTGGATATTCTCCGAAGCATATATCGACACTGCCAATGGGATTTTCAATGATTTTCCTTGTCCACCGAGGAAATGGGAGGAAGATATTGATGTATTATACATCGCCCACAACATTGACAATGCACATTGGGTGGCTCTAGAGGTGGAATTTTCAAAGAGGAAGATTCGAGTATTTGATAGTGTCCGTTGGTTATACGATGACAAGTACATTTGAATTTGATAGTGCCAATTCACATTGATTATAGTGTCCGTTTGAAATTTTTAAGAGTTCGATTCGAGTATTTGATAGTGTTCATTGGTTATATGATGACAGGTACATAGAAGAGTCAGTTAAGCCATATGCAAAGATGATTCCTCTTTTGTTGAAGCGGATTGCATCACCTGAGAAGCGGGCCAAAAAACGCGAGCAATCCTTTGTCACATACCGAGTGAAAACAGCTCCACCTAACACACAAACTGGTGATTTTGGTGTGTATACGGTGAAGTATTGCGAGTGTTTAGCTCTTCAGCACGGTTGGGATCCCCTCACAGATAGTAACATGGCAGGAATTAGGCTCAAACTGGCAGCTGAGATATTGGATGAAGCGGACGATGACTACAATTTGCAGCGGTCTGATCCTAACCCTAGAGGTGAATGGGATGACAGGTATCCACTTCAGACAGGTTCAGCCAAATGATGTTGTGCGGCGCTAATGATTTTTTTGGTACAGTAACATCTCAAAGGGTCACACTTGTTTTATTTGGTGGTAGATTGCACTGTTTTTGTATGTATGACCCTTTGTTTGTAGGTTTAATTGAGGTTTTTATTGTTTTATGTAACAATGTTATGGTAGACTTGTTCGTAAACAGCTATTGTTGTCGTAGACTTGTTCCAAATCAATGAAGATTATGGTAAACTTGTTCTTAATCGTTTAAGGTTATGGTAGACTTGTTGTAAATTATTTTACTTGTTCTAAATCACTTTAGGTTATGGTAGACTTGTTCTAAATCATTTTACTTATGGAAAATCATATGATAACAAAGTTATGCATGATATAGATTCATGGTGCCTAATGTCTGTTATTATTACAATCAACCCATATGAGAACAAAGTTAAGCAGTGCATAAACAAAGGTAACAGAAGGAAGGAAAGTAGTTTTAAACAAAAATTTAAGTAGTGCAAGTAGTCCTATTATGACCTACTTGATGACACTGAGAACATTTGTGTTGATTTCTATGACGTTTTTTTCCCATGGCGACCTCAAATGCTCCCTTAAACCGTGTTTTCTTTGGCCTTCCTGGAGGGTTTCACATCACAGGTGGGAGACACACTTTGGTGGCCACTTCATCAGGCACAGGCATTGCAATATCTCGTGGCATAATACAGTTCGAGTAGGCATTGCGCAAGTAGTTCGTATGATAGTAAGGATGCGAAAGGGTGATGGGTGTAAGGGAAGGGGGATTTTGAGACCTCTTCAATGCTTTAACCGCTGCAATGGCATGGACACAAGGGAGCTTATCCAAATTGAACCTGCGGCACGTACATGTTTTCTCTGTCAGGTTAACCACATGCAATGTTGTCCCATGCGTTACTTGTGTTAGATGATCATTTATCTCTTGGACTCCGAACTGCTTTGCATCTTCAACTCTAACTTGTTATGGACACATAGAATGATACATGAGTTAAATGATATTTTTTAGCATACAAAACAAAACTACCATGAAAACATACCGCAAAGCAAGTTTTCCACTCCAGTTGTGAGAGATGTTTGCATTAGACTAGCAACTCGGCGTCTTTTTGCAAACCATCTTGTTAAAAGCATCCTAATATCTCCGAGTAGGTGAACAATAGGCTTACTTCTACCACTAGACAACACTCTATTAAGCGATTCAGCTATGTTGCTAGTCGTGAAGTTATATATATCACCTAGGAAATGAGCACGACTCCACTTACACACATCAGTCTTTTGCAAATAATCATATAGTTGAGGATTCAAAGCCTGAATCTGCCCATAGTAGGCATTGAACTCTGCTATCGTATATGCTCTAGCAGCCTTTTTGACAAGATCGAATGTTTCTCCTCCTCTGAATCTCAACAAAATGTTCTTATACAAGTGATAAGTGCAAATACCACGGTTTGCTAGGCATCGAAAGAGAGACGATGGAAATCTGAAAATTATAAAAATACATTTGTAATTTTTGTTGTTGTTGCAATTTCCAGTATCACAAACTAATATGTAAAGCTTTATTCGAAAACAACGCACACTAAAGAAAAGATAAACAAACAAAAATATAAATAACTCCATCGATCATAATGTTCATCAGAAATTTCTTTACAAAACTCTCCTCCCTTTCAAAACCCCAATGATTCATATTCGCTTGATGGTTTAGCCTTATAGGCACTAACAATCATTGTGAACCACCTGAGCGACTTTGGCTACCGCGTCGTGGCCACGGTTTCCACTTAGCTTCGATGTAACTCCGCGGTATCAGTTTTGGATACCTCCCATCAAAATTCCATTCTTTACCATCGTACACAATCCCTTCCGGTGTAACAAAGTGAACCGCACATCCGTTTTTGTAATTACAAATCTCGGCATCGATCGCCGTCATACGGATATCGACATCCGCTGTACCGAGCACCGACCGGAAATGGCAGCGGTGAATCTCCTCCTCGAGTTTTTGGCCTCCTTCCAAGAGTACGCGGAAGGAATGGCCCAATGATGGCTTTTTGGCTCGTCTCCATCCGTATTCAAGGCCACTGTTTATAGCTCGACAGTGGTATACGATTTCCGAACGTTTCAAGCCTTGCATTTCATTACGTATGTTCAGCTCCGTCGTCACGAAATGTGACCTCTCGGCGTAGGAAACCACGGTGACGTCCAGAACAAGGAACCACGCTAGGGCTCTTGTAAACTTGTCGATGGTAAACGTCATCTTTGTTTTTCCTTGGCGTGATAATTTGTCTCGTTTCGTTAGCTTTGTTTTTTTTGGGAATTTTGGTTTGTTCTTCGTGCTTTAAAAATGTTTTAAAAACTGAAATTTGTTGGATATGCCACATAATTATTTGTTAGTATTCTTATGTGGACTAGTTTTGATATGACAAAAAGCCAGAAATAATAGTCCATAGGTTAAAATAACAGAAATGGTACATTAATTTCTAACCCTTAACCTTTTTTTAGTGGGAAAACTGAACTCAAGCCTGATTTTTTAAATGTGAACTAGTCTGCGTTCGTGCCAACTATTGCAATCCATCTACGTTGTAATAACCATATAACAACAGTAAACCGAATCACACAGGAATTAGTGAACTTATTCTGCGTTCGTTGCCAACTATTACAAGCCTAATTTCGTTTTTTTTTTAATTTCGTCTATATTTAGAGATAAGTTCACTGATTTTTGTTAATATGCTGTTTTTTTTTACCTACACTTTTTGGAAAACATAATTTGTAATGTTATTTTTAATTCTTAAAAATTTATCTTATTATTTGCATTTTTTGTGTGTAAATTATGTCTGTTGTCGTTTTTCTATCTATTACTCCAATCAATTTTAAAAACGGTTATCAATTAATATCCAATAAATAAAGAACATTTTTGTTTTGATTAAATAAATATCTCAAGATATGTATCATTAAAATTACGTCTCAACATTTGAAAAAATATTTGAGCATCATGTGGCTATTTAGTGGTCAATTTCCAATCAATTATCAATTTAAAATATTGGTTTAATTTATTGATTTCTAGTGATAGTGTTTTGAATGCATGGACCTATTAGATTATGCATTTAAAAGTTACAATGCACACATACATCATCATTATCAACAATATGTATAAATCACTTTAAGCCTTGGCACGGAGTGCTTTGGCATTGCGTGGATATGGTAGCCATGGATAAAGCTTCTTCTCAGGTTTGTAATAAACTCCTTAATTTCTAATTGCGTAACGACAGAGATAACTAGGGTAACACATAGCCGATGTGTCTGGATGAAGATTGACCTGAACATTGATATACCCGCGACTCGACCGGAGATGACACTGTACGAATTTGTACTTGATCCGACCGGTGTGTTCGAACTGAATCACAACGTACCGGTCTCCCGGTTTGCTCCTCTTCCAAACCTTGGGACCGTGAGCGCATACAAAGCCAGCGTTTCCTTTCTTGAGACCATATAGTTCGTTAGAGAAGACGATATTTGTGGTAATGCTTGATCGTATGCTATACTCCGATTTAGAATCTTTCTTTACGTACGCCTGAAAAGAGAAGACAACGATGGAGAAGTTGGAGATTTGCAGAAGAAGAAAGAGGAGGAGATTTGTAACTATGGTATTGGGATTCATCTTTTGAGTTATATATGTCTCAATACTTTCATTGATTTTTTCAACTTCAATATATATTATGGCTTTCTGTCTTTTACTAGTACTAAACTTGAAACGGATCTCCCTTATTTATTGTATATTCACTAACGGACTAATTTTTATGAAAATGTTGTTGTTCAATAAGTAACTTTTAAATGAATGACACGGCTTTACTTGTTCACACGTTTTTTTCTTATTATTGTGGTTCATCTGTGAGCGTGGTCTCCGAATTAATCTATTTCATCGACTCAAAAAATGAAAAAATCATGTCACTACAAATCTTTAGGTACAATATGATTAATTTTTTTTCTGAACTACACAATGTTTTTGTATCATCAATGATCTTTTCGAATGGAGAACAAAAAAGAAAAAAGATATGTATACACCCGTAATAAATCAATCAGACGAATCTCCCGGGCAACTTAGGTTGAGTGTGGTGGTGAGGCCATGGAGTCCAAGGATGAAGCTCGTTAGTATCTTTCATCAGAAGACCTTCTCGTTTGATCGCTAAAACGCATCTGTAGCCAGGACACCGTCGTCCGAGCGCAGGTGTTATCTCGATATTGAGATTGATATAACCCAAGTTCGACCGGAAATGGCACCGGTTTATCACCTTTGCGTTTGGGTTAATCCGGTAGAAGAAGAACTTGGCGAAGAAAACGTCTCCAGGAAGAGACCTAGTCCATCGTTGTCGGCCAAAGCTGCATTGGAAGCCTGCTTTTGGTTTCTTGATCCCTCTCATTTCGTTAACGGCTTCCAATATCACATTGGTTCCGTCTTTGAGCTCGAAATCGGAGCTGTAATATTCGCTGGGATGAATCGATTCGTAATCAGCGTAATGGTTTATCAGAGGGTTGTCGTCGTCATCGTCGCTGGTGACTTGTAACACAAGGCCTAGACATAATAGGGCTCCAAGAAACAACTTGTTTCCCATTTCCTCTTATGTTTAGGGTTCATCTCATTTTTGTTTTGTTTTTTATATACGAAAACTGATTCGTTAGATACCGAATCTGTTATGTGCTGTAACATTCTTTATTTGTCATATATTTGTTCAGGTGATCGATAAATATAGTAGTAACTTCTTCATCTCTTTCTGCATTGTTTTCTCGTAAAATTGAATCGATCGCATATGAAATAATGTGGTCTTATGTCCATTTCATCAAATCTCATTTCCTATTGAAATATAATCATTGACATCATAGTACTACTGATCAACAAATTGGATCGCAATCGAATAATATAACAGAGGAGTGTAGGCATTGTCTTCTTACCTATATTCGATCAAATAGCAAAATCATAGACTCAGCAAGAGTAGTCACAAAGATCAAGAACAGGACCACAAGAGATCTTGGCTCATCCAAGCATAGTCCGTTTCCTCCCTCGCTGCCTCACTGCATAATAACCAAAAAGAAGACTTTTTTTATACAATATTTGAAAACAGAGTTGGTTTTAAGAAGGGACTTGGAAGAGAGTTCGATAGTAGAACCTTGCGCCAGCTTGTTAAACGTGGCTGACCATTGCTTCGAGGACTTCCTATACGCTGTTAGTATACGATCCATCTACATTCCAAAAGCAAAATACGCCATTTGATACAGCATATAGACCCAGCAAGAGTAGTGAAATTATGATATGCATCACCCTTACCACATTCCCGCATGAAGAATGCATTGAGAGCAAGGCTCTTTCAAGTACATATAAGTCGACAGCTTTGTCTTCAGGCAAGGTCGATGTGAAACTCAAGCCGAAATCAATTAGTACCTGATTGAAGACATATCACGTGTTCATGAATCGTAACTTAACTAATCGAGTGAGCATATCAGTCCCTTTGATGACAAGACACTTACCAGCTGATTTGTTCCGCTTCTGACTAGCATGTTTGATGTGGTCAAGTCACCATGAGCCAAGCCACCATCATGGAGCTTAGCGATGGCCTCACCAATCTGAGCAGCAACATCATCCAACCGTTCCTGAACAATCCCATTGGCTCCAAACTCAAGGAAGACATCTTTAACAGTGACTCCCTCGATGTACTCAAGTGTCAAGGAGTGAAGCAGAGGATCCACTGCATAGAGGACTGGAGTACAAACCCCGAGCTTTCTCGCTTTTGTCATACACCTAGCCTCCTATTTTCAAAAGATGAACACTCGATTTCATACTTTTCCCTCGATATTCAAACAAGGAAACAAGAAGAGAGGTGATGCAGAAGAAGAAACCAACAGCATTCAATCGCTTGAGTGTGAGTTTCGAATCCAAAACCGGGTGTCTATATTTCTTGGAGAACCGTTCTTTCACAATGGATCTTCTTCCCGCAAATGTAGACTCGAACACCCTCTGAAACAAAACAATAAAGACTTAATCTTTTCATAAGCAACACACACATGTACATACGCTGATTCACACAGATACACTTACAGCTTCAGCTCCTTGTTTAATCAGATTGAGGGATTCGTTCCCAATTTGTTCCTCACAATCCATTCTAAATTTCTAAGAGAGTCTGCACAAACACCAAATCCAACGCAAAGGTAGATACTTTAGCAATTGTTTGAAGCTCTAGCAACAAGGCCGCACAAAACAGATACCAAGATCGCTATAATTTATTTGGTCTAAGAAAAATTTAAATCTAATCGAAAAAACCATATTTTGTCCTGAAATTAAAGCTCTTAATTGAAGCATTTCGGGAAACACAAACAGCACTAGCTCAACCATAGATTTAGACCAAAAGAGTGGTCGGAATTAGATTTGCCGGAGGATAGCCAAACGAGAACACCCGAAAATCCTAAAATCTGGTGACGAAAGGAAAAAAAGCAAAAAAAAAAAGAGAGAGACCAACTTCAGGGGAAAGAAGGACTAACCAATGGGTCAACGAAGAGCTATCTCAAGCAGGAATGGATCTGGTAATATTTGCCTGAAGACAAACTAGAGCGGCAATTACGTCGCCGGAGAGAAGAGAAACTCAGAGAAGTAAAACCCTTCGATGCGCTTGAGAAACTCCTTAACAATTGTGCTTAAGTCCTCCTAATTTTAAGCTATCCTCACATTTATCTCAAATTTCAAATTCAACACAAAGACTTCAATTTAGAGAAATTTGGAAAATAAAATTGTTTTCTATTAATTATCTTCTGGATTTTTGGAGAATAATTTCTACTCCCTCTGTTTCATAATATAAATTGTTTTATCCGATTTTAGATTCGAAACAGAAACATTGACTCTTAATATATGTGTATCTATCTAAAACAATTTATAATTTAAAACAGAAGAAATTTTTTTTTTTTCGTAGATATTTACTGTAAGGAATCATTTATTAAGAAAACGTTTAACAAGTTGCAGTATCGTAATAACTTCCTAAGCATGAATTGCAGCATTTGATCCATTTTTTACTTAGTTATAAAATTTTAGCAACATCATAAGTAATTGTGAAATTCTTTAAAACAATATAGGTTACCGAAACGCCAAATGCACTTTAACTTTGCAGTCGAATCAATTATTATAAAAAAATTTACAGGCTCCACTATATTTTCTCGATCTCGTTTCAAAAAGTTTCTTAAGAGATGAAGTATATTTCTTGCAAAATGTTTTCTATTATAATCCTGCAGAACAAATTGACGAGGTCGCTCTCCATCGATTTCTTCACGATGATGTCAAATCTAATCCATTTCATATCATTTCTAGATATCATGATCTCAGTTATTTTGTAAACAATTATTTCCCTTCTTTTTGCGTTGAATCCTCTGATGTTTCTTTTACCCGAATTGCACTCATATCGATTCTTGAGTTGGTTCTGGATATAGAGATTGAGCTCAATGATCGAGGATGACATATCTTATTCTTTGGCATTATTTGGCTCTGATCATCTCCTCCCTCTTCCACATTAAGAACCCTACATTTCTCTCCAAGTATAATTGGACGCACCAGAATCGATTTCTCTGCCTTCAGTTTCTTCTTCCTCACAGTTTTATCTTCCTCTCCGTCACGTTTCTTGGCCATCGACGTTGCTCTCGGCATTTGGATCGTCAGGCTCGCGCTCAGTTTCTTCCTAGTCGACCTTGAATTTTGTAACACCATGTTGTTACACGAATATGTTCCACGTAATGCTGCTTTTCTCGCTGGAGGCAACGGAAGCTCAGGGTTCGCCTCGCAATTATCGTCATCAGATGCATTGGTATCCTTGTTTTGCAAGTCATTACTTTCCTTGTTCTGTAAGTCATCGTTTGTTTGTTCTCTTTCTGTGGTATCCAAAGGAGATGACTGGTTCCCTGTCTCATTCTTTTCCGGTGACTTAGTTTTTTTCCGAAAGCAACAAAGGCCGGTGAATAAGGCGATGAAGGGAGCCATCTTGTTGGTACATACATAAGATTAGTATAATCATCAAAATTGTGTAAAAGTAAAGGAAAAATTGAGATTTCTGGAAGGCAGCCATGTTGATAGTCTTTACATTGCTGGAATTAAGGGGATTTTAGTTTCTCAATCAAGTATTAAGGTTTGTTTGTGAAAGTCTTGCTAATTATAGTTTCAAGTAGGAAAATAAACTGTGAGTAGCGATTTCTTGTTAGCTACGGGTTTTAATCAGTAAACATAATTATTTTGGGCATTTTCAGGTTCTTTTTAACCACCCAATGTAAGTTAATTGAACAGTTTAGGGTCCAATGTATGACCTAGCCTTTAAATAAAAAATAATAAAAATTTACTCCACCACAGAATCCAGATTTGCTATCGTAGAACACACAAAAAGTTCATAAAAATGATTCTCAAATGGATTTTATTTGTAATTTTTGCTCCAATACATTCTCATGAAATAGTTTTAGAGTAACATCACTAAATGAACATAGTTTAGGTTTTTTATTTACATAATCAGCGGATAACATTGTAATAAATACTGTTGTTTATTCAAATAATAAGCACCAGAAATTGCCACCGCATCATCTTTGTCAAATATTAATCCCCCAGTATCTACCAAAAACACATGAAATTTTAACAGTATCAAGTAATTTTAGATATTTTTTTCAGAGAGAAAAAAAAAGAAATTTTTAGAACTATCCCCTTTTTTTCACTCGATCTTATTATTTTCATTTCAAAATTATTTGGGTATTGCGTCCAAAGAAAGTACCATCTAACCAGAGGTTTTATTTTGTCGCCTTGTTCACTCTGGTTTTTGCTTCCTTTTTCCCGATTTGCTTTTATAACGGCTTCTGGGAAAAGTTGGATTTTGCAGATCGTTAATGGAGGAAATCCAGAGAAGTAGATTCAGGAAAATCTGTGTTTTTTGCGGAAGTCACTCTGGTCGCAGAGAAGTTTTCAGCGATTCTGCAATCGAACTTGGCAATGAACTGGTTTGCTCTCTTTTTTTTTATATTTTTGTTTATCAAATATCGTTGCTCTGTTGATAAAGATGCAAACTTTTCTGGCGAAACGAACGGAAAAATCACAACTTTTTGGGTGTTTCGACAGCCAAAATACGAACTTGTAAAATTTGCGTCTTCGTGTGATTGATTTCAGACATGGGTTTGAGTTTTTTGGTCCCCGTTTGTGCTGTGTCGTGACAGAAACTTACGAAGCGTTCTTGTATATGCTTTATTCCTACTTTGTTACTCTTTGAATAAAGTTCTGTCATTTGGAAACAAATCTACCTCAGAATGTATGTATGCAATTTGTTGATATGTAGTGAATCTGTTTGTGGCGTTGAAATAGGTGTTGTTCTGAATAAATGCATCAATAGATTTTATATTTCTCTAAAGATTTGGTGTGAAACTTTAAGGTGAAGAGAAAGATTGATTTGGTTTATGGCGGAGGAAGTGTTGGGCTGATGGGTCTGATATCTCGGAGAGTCTCAGAAGGTGGTTGTCATGTACTCGGGTTAGTTCAAGACTCTCTTCCACTTTCCTTCATTCTCTCATTAGCTGCAATTATAAAACTTCCATCTAAAGACCTTTCTGTTAATTGTAGGATCATTCCAAAAGCCTTGATGCCTATTGAGGTATGTTTACTCTATAGAAACCTTTTTCATTTTCTAAACTATTCCAAAAGCTCTGATTTTGGACTGGATGTCTTCATTTTTGTTTTTCGTTTACTAACTTCTGGATTGGATGGGTTTGAGCAGATCTCTGGTGAGACTGTTGGAGAAGTAAGGATTGTTGAAGACATGCACGAGCGCAAAGCTGCAATGGCCCAAGAAGCTGAGGCTTTCATTGCTCTTCCTGGCGAGTTTCTCTAATTTCGAGATAGCAATAAGTTTGCTTTTTTTGTTTTCTGCAACTTTTAATCAAAGATGATTTTGGCTTCTTGTTTCATCAGGAGGTTATGGAACAATGGAAGAACTTCTGGAGATGATAACATGGGCACAGCTTGGTATCCATAAGAAGACGGTATGTAACACCATTTCCTAACCCTTTGATTTAAAAGTAAAAACCATTGAGAAAACAGATACTATTGTTGATGATGATGTGGGATTGTAACGTTTCTGCAGGTTGGTATTTTGAATGTTGATGGTTACTATAACAGCTTGCTTGCTTTGTTCGACACTGGAGTTGAAGAAGGTTTTATCAAGCCAGGCGCTCGTAATATCGTTGTTTCTGCGCCATCCGCCAAAGAACTAATGGAGAAGATGGAGGTACCTACAAACACTTTAAGACTAGATCTAATTTCTTTTCTGAGTGGTTTCGTTTTTGTTTCAGTTTGTGTACTTTCTTGGCAGATGTATACTCCTTCACACAAGCACATTGCTTCTCACCAAAGCTGGAAAGTTGAACAACAAGTAGCTGAAGATTCTTGACATGGGTGATTTTGTGCATTTGAAACATCAATTGTGAAAGCTTTGTGTGTATGGTTTAAGGCCATTATTGGATCAGATTTTGGATCATACAGATGTCTTCTTCTTCTTCTTTTTTTTGGAATAAATCAGAATGATCTGTCATTTATTTTGGAGAGAAATTGTGACAGATTCTAAGCTTGAATAGCGACAGCTTACTCAACTCACATGGAAGCAATTAGAAACTGTCTCTTTTGAAAGCAACTTTGGCTATGAGAGGGCCCTCCTTCATCTCTGTCTCCTTATTTACCTCTTTGCAAAAGATTTAATACTCCTTTTCTGTCTTCACATTAATAATCTTCAAGAGAAAAACCAGATAAAATGTTCAAGTGAAGAAGTTTATATTCCCTACCAACTCCACCAGACATAGCTTTTATAAAAACAGAACAGGACTATTAGTTTCACTTGTCTTTTCACTTTTTGTGTCCTCTCCCATGACTCTATAAACCGGCCTTTTTTGGGTTTTACTGACCTCTTTTGTATCATTTCATGCCACTAACGAAAACGGAGACTTGGGCTGTGTACTTCTGAAGCCCAATAAAAGCCCAAAAACAATTTTTTTGCGCTTAGTCGTTAACCAAAAAAAAAAATAAAAAAAATGAAGACTTCTTGATTGGTGCTCTTTATCGGAGGACTAGTCTTTTAACTGTGACTAATCCAAAACAATAAATTAATCAAAACAGTAAAACAGAATATCATAAACGATAATTTGAAGCGATAACGTACCCCCCGAAAGAAAAGTACTCAAAACTAGCTAACTTTAAAACATAAAATATGTTTTGTTGTATCATTTTTTTAACCATTCTCTCTAACTTTTTTGTATTATCCAACAACAACTTTACCATTTCTTTTACCGTTTTGTCATTTTAGATCACCAATCGAACGAAAGTTAGAAGAAGAGAAAATGCATGGAAATGGGGAAGGAATAGTGGGAATACAAACCGGTGGATGATGAAAGGCACAGGTGGGGAAGTAGGGTTGGACGACGAACAAACCCCATCTCGACACGTGGCATGCTCGGCATTCTCCACATGCTGTCCTGCCGAAAGTGGAAAGATAATGTGAATATGTGATGGCCATCACTCGATTATAGAATATTGTGTGGTCACTCCTTTTCCTTTCATTATAATATTAGTATTATTATCTGAGGAGTATTTTTAAAAAGTAATTTGTTTATAATGTCATTACGCTCTTTTCTTTTGTTTTAAAAAAAAAATATATATATATATATATATATAATATGTAAACAATGCTGCTTTGATTTCAAAGAAATGGAGTTGGCTTCTCCCGTTGGTCAAGCAGGCTTCACTCCTTGCCTATAAGTCTGTAGTCTGAAATGGATGTTCTTGAAAAATCATTTTCGTCCTCTAAAACGGATACAGAGTACTCGTCTAAGTCATGCTCAAAAGATGAGAAACGAGACACATTCTAAAAAGAAAAGTAAAAACAATGAGAAGAATAAGTGCTCAGAAAGGAAAGTTGTGAAGAAAGCAAAATCATATGCGTGATTCCATAAATGTCTAATATTTATTTTATGTATATTGGGGGCATCGTTTCTGAAATATCCTTTGTATATTAAAGCAAAAGTTTGTTTTAAAAAGTTCATCTAGTCTTTAAGATGCATATCTATGCAGCCACGACGGCTTAGCATACACTGATACGTCCACACACACACACGTTACCATGTATGTTGGCACACACCTCAATGTTTTACAATTTAAATTTCTTTTGCTTATCTTCCAAGTTCACATACGATTTTAGTACTATATAAAAAAAACATCCATTGGCAGAAACTTATGAAATCCTCTGGAGGACAACAAATTAGGTACTTTGTAATTTTCAAACTCAGCAAATTTATTTCTTAATTATAAAGCTTAAGAGCACTTTAGTTTTGTTTATGCCAAAACACGTGTGTTACAATAAGAAATCAGAAATGTATCATACGAATTTTTGTTTTGTTGATGTCTGGGGCAATCATTCGAACAGCGAATCTTAATGTTTTTATTTGTCCAGTAAATAAGAAAAAATCATAAACAACCATAATTTTAGTATGATATCACCTCAAATGTCATTTATTTATTAGTTTGAAATACTTGTATTTGTATAGATCCATAAATATAGTTCTTTCATAATGTTCAAAAAAAATTAGCTTAAATGTATCAAACGAATTTTTGTTTTGTTGATCTGTGGGGCAATCATTCGAAGAGCGAATCTTAATATTTTTATTTGTTTAGTAAATAAATAAAAAAATCATAAACAACCATAATTTTAGTATGATATCACCTTAGATGTCATTTATCTATTAGTTTGATATACTTGTATTTGTATAGATCCATAAATATAGTTTTTTCATAATGTTCAAAAAAAAAACAATATATATAGTTCTTTCATAATGTTCAAAAAAACAATATATATATATAGTTCTTTCATAATTTTTCAGAAGTCATGTAAAAAAACTATAAATTATATATACTAATTTATCATTTTATAACAGTTAAAGGCATAAATTATATTTCCGTGAACATCGGCGAGCATATAATATGTGAATTGGCTACTGAAGATCGAACCAAGTTGGACTAGTTCGTTTAATGAGAAAAACGATTTGTTCATTCAGCCATTCTCAATATACCGCATAATGTCACAAGAACACAGTCATGGTGATTTCCGGAAACAATATATTTGCCATCGATCGGTTTGTGATGACAAATACAAATGTGTAGAATATGGACACTAACGATATACCGGGTTGTGATGCGCGCACAAAGGAATGCGATCGTACATATAACGTATATTCACATCGGCAAAACTGAGAAACAAGATGTATTAGTAATTCTGTTATACTTATATACCTGATTATCTCTAACCATATCCAAATTACATAAAATGAAACTCTTCATTATACTGTATATACAGATAAAACAGTGAAATAATCTGTAACTATTCATTAATAACTGTTTACTAAAAGACAGAATAATTCAGCCTGGCTAAAATATCTTGAAATATTGACTGCGTTCGTCGGCTACAAAGCAATCAATTGGGTTATCGTTTTGATCCCCACACACACAAAAAAGTAAAAGAATTAACGGAAAATAGAAATAAATATCCCAATATTAATGTGAAATAATATTATTATCTTTTTGATTCCATATTATCTCTGCTTCCAGATTATCTGTATCAAATAATTGAAGAAGAGAAAGGATATTTCCCTTATTTGTTAGGATCTCTCTCGATCCTTCTCTCTCCCCTCTGGCTATAAAATGCCACAACATGATCTCTATTTTTTTCTCACAGCTAAAGATTATTAAACACATATCATATAAGAGTTTAGAGCAATGTTCCTCCCTGAACATCGATGTACATACAATGATTTTTGTAGTACCATGTTGACGACGGCTAGGGTTTGTGGTTGAATTATCATAGATGCATGTGGTATTAAGTGAGATGAAATATTATCTGTATATATAGGGATGGTTTGAGTGATGAGGAATTGATGGTGACAGAAGAGAGTGAGCACACATGGTGGCTTTCTTGCATATTTGAAGGTTTCATGCTTGAAGCTATGTGTGCTCACTCTCTATCCGTCACCCCCTTCTTTCTGTTTCTCTCCCTCTCTCTCCCTTTTTCTACTTGTCGCACTACGTATTCTTTAGAGTTATCTAATTTGATATTCTAGATTTAGTTTTACAAACATAAATCAGCATATTAAAATGTTAATTGATATATCATCATAGATGCCATCATAAGTTAGATTTTATCAATTTTGAAATTATTTGCTTATCAAAATCTCTCTGTTTTTCTTGGTCGAGAATGATTGTATAGTCTGGAAAAAAAAAACAATTAATTTTGTTCTATTGTTTTGTCATTGGTAAACCTAAATCCGTACAATAAATTGAAATATATTAAACATCTTTGATAAGTGATTGAAATCTTTAGCATATCTTAATTTTTCGTTCTTCAGTATATACTCAACAGGTGTATTTGAAAGTTTAATCCGTAAGCCTTAATCGCGAGTAACGGTTTCATCACCTAACGCAGAGAAATCCGGCATCCGATTTGGTTTTCATCGAAGTTGTCCACGTCTGATTTGTTGAACATCCCCAAAGCCTTGTTTCGTTCTTATTATTGTTTTAAGCTTTTTTTTTTTTTCTTTCAATTTGCAGAGTCTATACTTGAAAAAGCGAAAACTCTTAAGGTTCAAAAAACCCTAGATTTTCCCCAAATTCTATCTCTATCGTGAGTTGTAATTTGTTGACTTTTCCACATGTGTCTTTTACCGTCAAAGCGACAGCGTTAAATTCGTCAAATAGTAACGAGTCCCAATGGTGGACCTATATTTTATTTTAACGGGTATGCAGATCATACATATATAATAATAATCCGTATTCGAAGTCGGTAATAGACTACAAACAAAATATACTAACGGATGCGAAATAAAATAGAAGGTATTAACAATTTATATATTTACCACAATCAATAAAGAAAGGTGGATTAATATCTGAGACTGTCCAAAAAGAATGATTACTTTATAGAGATAATATTCGGAAAAGACACAAGGAAGAACCTAGGTTTAATTAGTGGAACAAGTAAGAGAAATGCATTTCATCATAACCATGCATACAATATATTTTAAACTATTTTACTTAATAAGAAGAAGGTCTAGCCTTGTATCGTTCAAAAATTTATTGTATAACCGCTTACATTTTGCATGTTATAGGTTCATTATCTCTCACTATTGTCTCAATACTTGTCTGATAATCAACCTCAACCTCAACAACAATATATATGATCTTGCACTTTTAATGGTAATCTGTAGAAAAAACAAACTTTATGAGGAATATGAGAGAGGTACTCGATTCTGAGCCTTTGAATAAATTTCATATGAAGTTAAACACTTTATATTTTGACAATATTACAAACCATGTATTCGATTGAACAAAGATCTTTGTCATATATATCCACACGCTAGTTATGTCACCATATCAACTTAACTCAGCATCATTCCCAAAGTCTCTTAATCGAATAAGATGTGGGACTACATCCTGCCCAAGATCCGGTCTATCTCTTTTCCTCAGCTCCGCGCACTTCAACGAAAGAGTAGCAAAGGATTGAGCCTCTTCGAGAGGCCAATCTGTCACGGCCGGATCAAGAATCTCCTTGAAAGTTCCTCTACTGATTGCCCTCGAGACGTGGTGAGCAAGCCCCATGGGAGGTCTTGCGGTTATGATCTGGAGTAGCAATACCCCCAACGAGAATATATCTGATTTGGTGGTTAACCTTCCTGATTGTTGGTACTCAGGGTCTATGTAACAGAACGTTCCTGCCGCAGATGTCATGTGGTATTGCGTGACGTTGTTAGCTACTGATGCGGGGACTAACCGCGCTAAACCAACATCGCTGATCTTGCTCACGTAGTTTCTGTCTAAGAGTATATTGGCCGGTTTGAGGTCGCGGTGAACCAGAGGTTCTGGTTTAGCTTGATGAAGGAATGAGAGAGCAGTAGCAATCTCTGCCGCTATTTCGAAACGTTTCCTCCACGAAAGCGGCTGAGAGTTCCCTCTGCAAAAGAGTCTGTCCTCCAAGGTCCCATTTTCCATAAACTCATAAACCAAGCATCCATATTCTGGACATGCACCAAGTAGAAGGACCATGTTAGGATGCCTTATGCTGCTAAGAACCTCAACCTGTAAGATGAGAGTATATATATAAATCATGAGATTCAAAACTAAGCAATCTTGGATAACAAAATAAAAACAAGAACCCTTACTTCTTGTTGAAATTGCCTTTTGCCTTGAGCAGCATCAGGTCTCAAGACTTTAATGGCAACATGAGTGTGGTCAAGCTCGGCTTTGTAGACAGGTCCATATCCTCCTTCTCCAATTTTCCTATGGTTTGCAAACATCTCTGTGGCTTCTTCGATCTCTTCTATCGAGTATCTTCTGTAACGAACATCGTTATGGGACAAAGCACTCATTGCGCGGTCTTTGTCCTCTGCTTCACTTTTCGCTTTTATCTCTACTTGCTTCCTTCTCTGTCCTTCTAGCTCTGCCATTCTTTGTGCTTTCTCGGCTGCTTCTAAGGCCGTTTTGCATTTTGTCTTCTCCACTTCTGCAACTGCCAATGCTGCTTCTTCAGAAAGTCTGGCTTTCTCGAACTTAAGAGCTTCTTCTATTTTCCATTGATTCAGCTCGTTTGCCTAGAAAGCCATCAAAAAATTGGCTGTGAGTACCTTATGCAACAAGAAACTTCCCCAAAATTAAAAGTACGTATTTCCTCCATTATCTTTGATTAGATGTTTTAGAGACATTTTCTGTTTCAACTTATTTGAATTTTTCAAATTCCCAAACAAAATTTAGTTTGAATTTAATTGGTCAGTGATATTACGCAATGTTTTCTTATGATTATAGAAACGGGAAAAAATATTATTATTTATGTAAAAATTTCTTAATAGTACCTTTCTTTTTGCTGTAAGTGCTTCTTTACAAGCTGAGCTGTACATGTCCATAGTTTGCTTGAGTTCAAGCTTTAGCCTTCTCATTTCAGCTTCAATATCTTTCTGCGAACAAAGCAACAATCATGGACTTAATTAGAGCTTCTAATCTCAATTCTTAAACTCATCAGAAAGAAAATCGTACGAGAAAACGTACGGTTGTTTGGGGAATGGACTCCTCTGAAGAACTCGATGCACCATAAAAATCTAAATTATGAGAAGAGAGATCAACGGAACCCATCATGCCTAAACCGACGTCAGATTCATCGGAATATGAACTTTGTATTGTGGGATTCCTTTGGAACGCAACTTGAGTAAAGCCGTTGTTGAAATCGATCGACCCACCGTTCATAGGGTTTTTGTGCCTTTCTTGCGTTGCCTGGAAGGCACGATTCTGCGGATTCATCTCTGTAGGTTTTCTCCTTGCGCTACGTTGGCCCCTAAAATTGTATGAAAAATATCGATCCATGTTAAAGACAGTTGTTGGTTATATATCCTTAAAAAAATGTGTTAAAATCCTTTTTTTTTTACCTAGGCACAGGATCTTGCTCGCTATCGGATAAAGATTGGATTTGAAAGCCAGACGAAGGTACACGAGGAGGGGCAAGCGTATTGGTGATAGGTCTTTGAGCTGGTCGAGATGTCTGAACTTTACCTTTAGATATTACATAGACCGAGCAAAACTCAGGCGTCAATCTCAGTACGTTAGCTTGCACCTCATGGGATTTGCTGAACATAAAAGTCCTAGCAAAGGTGTTCTTCGAGGATGATCCCAACACAAGATTGTTAATCAGGTTGTTGTTAACATAATCCAAGATTGCTTTTGCCACGTCCGTATCCTCTAGAATCACCTCCGTCATAGAAATCTACTAAGAGTGCGTTAATACGTACTCGTTTATAAAAATGCACAAATTATAACGATATGGAAGAAGGATTATACCCCTTTTCGCGCACAATATCCTCGATATGGAATAAAAAGCTGATTTAGATCATCAGTGTTAAAGCTGGCTCCATTTCCTCCATCTGCAATTTACTCCAAAAAACCAAAAAAAAAAAAAATCATCCACATTGAAACACATGATTCTACTGACTCCAAACAAAAATTATAATTTAAGATTATATAAGAAAATGAGTGTAAGGTACCTACGGTTTGAGATTTTGAGACGAACATGGAGAAGAATGATGAATGGGTTGTGAATCGTATTAAGGAGATGGTCGACCGTCCAACGCACCGCGTAATGACTGTGTTTCTCTTTGTCAATGGCGATCACAGTCGAGTTAACCGGTGAATGGCTATCGTCTGACGAGTACGGTGGCGCCATATCGTCGATGGAGTACAACGCAAGGCAGGATTGTTTTCGGGTTCTTGCTTGTGGTTTAAGCCTCTCCTCTCAAATTCAACGGCTTGTGGAATACGAATAACTAACTATCCTAAAACTTAGCTGAGTAACGACGAGACATCAAGTATTAACCACTGATTTTCATCTCTCCTTTTCTCTCGGTAAAAAAAAAAGAAATTAAAAAAGTATTTTTAGATACGTATTGTTATATAATATATCTACTATAAATTTTCAATCACAGAAGAGTCAAGTTTCGTTTTCAAACAACAGAAAAATTGTTTTAAAAGTTGAAAATTTTATCTTAACTGAATAAATGACTTATAGTTTACATTATTAAGAGTTCTTTGTATTTTCATCAAATGACATGCATTATCACATAAAATATCTTTGTTACATCATTATATCACTAATTGTATTTCAAATTCCTCACTTAGAGCAGTCTTAGTTTCAACCTAACATGCTGTTTAAAATATAAAATTGTAGCAATCGATCTGAAACTACAAATTACAAAAAGGCATGCACCTGAATTGATGGCAACTGTGTGCTATCCTTGAATTCTGAAATACAAAAAGGCATGCCGTCTTCTTTGGTATTTCTTATATTAAAATTGGCTGTCTTGCCGTTTTTTTGCGACCGCAGAAAATAAAAACAACACACATTTGTCTCTCGCTTTAGCATCATCTCTCTCTGCTCTTCCTCCATGGTTACGTCACTGCATCACCCAACAACAACACTCTTTTTGGACCCACCAAATCAAGATGAAGAAGCCCTACCGGCGAAATCAAGCATTAAATTTACTCACGCTTTTCCCGTGAAGATCTTCAAAGTTTTCTATTTTTAGAATCCCGAGAAGATCTCTGATTGTTTCGTTTCCAAAACCCTTGGAAGGAATCCGGTAAGGACAACGAGAGACTAATCTGCTTCTGGGTTTAGATTCTTTGCTTCTAGTAGTAGCACAAAGCAAAGCAAACAGTTGAAATCTCTTTGGATTATATGCTCTTTCGTTTGAATCTGCAAGGCTTCTGCTGCTCCTGTTCTCACAAATTCGGATTTCATATGAGACTAAACCCGTTTCCAAGTTTTCGTTTTTGCGTTCTTAATCCTCATGTTAGATTCCTGTATTCAAAATTCGTAGACTTGTGGTTCTGTTTTCAATTCCAATGTACTAACTTTAATTCTAAATTTGTTTTGCTGTAAATTTTCAGCATTGCTCGATTTTATGAGTTGATCAGAGAGTGGAAGCAATGTCCTCTAGCGATAGAGAGGATTCGTCGGCAGATTCATACAATGGGCAGCTCTTGAGGGACATTAAGGAGGTAAGTAGAGCTCTTTACTTGAACAATGCACCTCAAAGACCACTGCTTTCGTCGCCTCCTCTCCGATCTAACTCTGTTTCGAGAACTCATGCCTCGGTTAGTAACGGTCAGGGAACCACAGACATTGGGTTGTTATTGCCAAATAAGAAGAAGAAATCGTTGGTCGGATGGAATTGGAAGAAACCCTTGAATGCCATAGCTCATTTTGGGAAGCGTAGGTTCGATGTTTGTTTTCTTCTCCATGTTCGTTCCATTGAAGGACTGCCTTCAAATTTGGATGGTACCAAATTAGTTGTGCAGTGGAAGAGGAAAGATGAAGTGATGTCCACTAAACCTTCCAAGGTTCTGCAAGGAACCGCCGAGTTTGAAGAGACCTTGACGCACAGATGTTCAGTATTCGGCAACAAGCATGGGCCACACCGTTCTGTAAAATACGAAGTGAAGCTTTTCTTGGTCTATGCCTCTCCTGTTGACGCTCCTTGGCTTACTTTAGGGAAGCATTGGGTTGATCTCACCAGGATCTTACCGTTGTCTCTAGAGGAGCTGGAAGGTACGAGAAGCACGAGAAAGTGGGAAACGAGCTTCAAGCTATCTGGCCTGGCAGATTCCGCGGTTTTGAATCTTAGTTTTGATTACTCGGTTGTCACCAGTTCAGTCTGTGATTCAAGTAGTGGAAATGTGATGCTGAAGCGGGTTGGTAGTGTTCCAAGCATGGACCATAGATCTTCACCGCTTGATGATGGAAAGGTCTCCAATCAACTCTCGTCGAGTCTGAGTCTTGATCTTTCCGAGTCAATAGATTTTCTCTATGAAAAACTTAGCGAGCAAAACCCACAAAGATCGACAGGAAGTGATATCCAGAATGAACACTTGGGGAACACTGAGGTAGATCTAGGCTTGGAGACTGATAACCAAGCAAATGACTCTGACGACACTGAATTTGCTTTCACTGGAAAACAAGTAGAGGTATATCAGCAAGGAATGTCCAGGCTGGAAGAAAGCACTGATCCAAAAACAGAGTCCTCGGAAATTGAAATTATTGATGTCCATGAGTTACTTAAAGATGAAGATGCAGCCTTTTCCGAAGAAACTCATTTTATTGATCACTTATCAGTGGCGGAGCTAATAAGTGGTGCAAGTAATATCTTGCCGGAACATTCAGTTTCCGGAGGACCCAAGTGTGCTTTCAGTAGCCAGTTTGTTTCCGAGTCATCTGAGATCAAATCTTCATCGGCCATGGATGATTCTACGGAGAAAGGATTTTTTTTGGAACTTAAGTCTGGTTACAAAGCTGCAAAAATATCAGCGAAGTCACTAAGCTTGGATGACATTACTGAATCTGTAGCTAATGATTTTCTAAACATGCTTGAACTTGAGGAATGCGCTTATGTTTATACCTCAGATGGTGAACCTACATCTCCTCGTGAACATCTGCTTCGAGAGTTTGAGAAGGAGGCTCTGGCTTCTGGAAACTATCTCTTAGATTTAGATGGAGGAGCAGAGTATGTGTCTGATATTAATGAGGAATCGAATGGTTTCTCGTTCTCTTCAAGTTCTTTGGGTGTTGCGGAAAACAAGCGTGAGGGGAAAACTCAGCTGTTAATAAACAGAAGGAACGCAAAGGTACTTGAAGACTTGGAAACTGATACTTTAAAGCGAGAGTGGGATTTAGATGACAACAGTTTTAACAACTCTCTATGTGTTTGCTCTGATGGGTTTGGAAGTCCAATAGAGCTTCCTGTTGACGACGGATTAGATTTGCCGCCACTTGAAGATAATATTGGTCCTTTTGTTTGGACAAAAGTGAGAGAGTGTATCCGGCCCATGAATCCATTCCTGTTCAGAGAGTGTAAGGATGCATCACATCTGATCATGCAAGTTTCAGTCCCGGTGGTGCTAGCGTCAGAGTTAGGTTCTGATGTCCTTGAAATACTCCAAAGTTTGGCAGCTTCTGGAATTGAAGGGCTTTGCTTTGAAGTTAATGCATTAATGCCTTTGGAAGATATAATGGGGAAGACAATGCATGAAGTTATCGAGGACGCAAGATTTGAGAGGTTCAGATACTTTCCTCCATGTTGATACATTATGCATTATATTTCTACTTTCCATTAGAGTTGTCATGATTTATTTTGTGTTTCATGAATTGCAGAATTGTTCATGATTGTTCTGACAAGAATGAAGGTTCCACGGTTCGAAAACCATCGTTTCCTTCAAAAGACAAATTTGGGGGCTTTGGGTCCAATATGTGTTCAGGTTACGTAACTCTTGAAGCTCTTACTTCCTCAGCTATTGATGAGATAGAACTTCTTTGTGTGGAAGGATTAAAGATTCAATGCAGCATGTCAGGCCAAGATCCACCATCAGTCATTGCACCAAAACCCATGGATCAGTCCGAGGCTTTAGAGTTATTTAGTTTTTCCTTAACGTTGGCTGAGTGGTTAAGGCTTGACCATGGAACGTCAGAAACCGGAGATCAACCCAGCAAGCAAATGGGAGAACAAAATTCAGCGGATCAAGCATCTAGTGGAAAGGGTCATACTTTCGGGAACAAGTTGACACTTGCTCTTCGAGTGTTGCTTAGAGATCCATTTCAAAATAATGAACCTGTTGGTGCATCTATGCTTGCTCTGCTCCAAGTCGAAAGGTCTTTGGTTTCCTCAGATCCACCTGTTTGTAGCTTGTTGGCTCAAGAAGAAAGAATAAAGGAATCTTTTGAAGATGATACACATTTGTGGAGAGTCACAGACATTGGTCTTGCGGGTTTGAAAACTGAGCCTGGTGCAGACCATCAAGAGTCTGGATCCCGCTGGTTACTTGCCAGTGGTACTTGTCAAGCTTCGGAGTCAAAGGCGATCATTGTATCAAACCCACAAGCAACCAGAAACCACTTGGACACATTGTGGAGTATAACGACCGATAGGCACAATCAAGAAGGTGATTTGAGTAGCTCTGCTTCCTTTGTTCCATTTACAAGAAATTCAGACGTGACATTTCCAAATGAAATAACAAAAAGATTGTGATGAGAAGCCACTGTGTTCGTTCATCAGCGGCTTGAGAGTTGGTCTGGTAAATTTTTTTGCTTATATTTGCAATAAGATTGCTAATTGCTGAAATGATATGAGATTCTCGGGGACTATACACTTCCACGGATTCTCACTTGTAACAAAAATAAGATGCTATATTCATAAAATATCATATATCTCTCAAAATCTGTGAACCTATCAAGAAGTATCAACCAATTAACATCGAATATAAGAAATTAGAAGCAGTATAATTATAAGAACCATCAGTCTCAAGAACAGATTCATAACCCTGAATAGCAGGGTTTCACTATCTTCTTCTCAGACTAGGTGTTCTTGCATTGGCAGCCAAAAGCTTAGGAGAAACCGAAAAGTTGATAAGTTCTTAAGAAACTTAGGCCATGCTTGAGGAGTGATTGTGGGAGCCCTCGTAAGTTGTTATCACAAAGCTTGAATCATCTCTATCTCTCTCAATCCTTTTCTTCACGGGACAGCCATCAACTGAACATTTGTAGTAGTTTCTGCAAATTACATGACAATCATTTCAATTAATTAGCCAGTGGTGCGTTTGTTTTCTCACATTTGGTATGCTTCTTCTATATTTAAGTAATTATGAAAAAGGCTAAATTTGAAAAGATGTAAGTAAGAATTGAGAAAATGTTGTTCCCTACCTGGGATTTGGGCTGTTCTTCACCATCTTCTTCCCATACTTTCTCCACTTGAACCCATCGTCAAGCACTTCCACCTCAGACCTAGTCTTGAATGCAACTCTCTCTCTAACTTTCTTCTTTTGTTGCTTAATTTGGTTTTCTTGCATTAGGGAAAAAAAAAAAAAAAAAAAAAAATTCAACACCTGTAAACTCCATTTTGACTCACCTAAAAAGTCTTTGGTTTCAAGTCCTAATGTCTAAGATCAGCATAAGCTACAATCAGGGACTAAAAGTCAGGTTTACTAACGCATAAGATTGATGAAATCCTCAAGGACACATGTCTAACGGAGGGTATATATATTGCGACAGATCTTTGTATCACAACAAAAGATTCATTATATATCATGATTTCATTTTCATTTGGTTTCCACAGAACTAAAGAGAAACTTACCGGAAGAAGCAGTGACTGTAGCAGCGGGAAGAGAAGCGTTGGTACTTGGAGATTCGTGATGACTGAAACTGCTAGAGGAACCGGAGAAGAAGGCAGAAGCATCATCACTGGTCTGGTAACCATAAGAATGGTTCATCCCGGAAACCGCAGAGACAAGATCATCGTCCATCCATTCATCTGACAAGTAAAGCTCCGGGAGCTCGAACCCTGAGCGAGTATCATCGCTGAAACTCGTCGCCAAGTTTGTAATATCTGCATCATTCATAACTATTTATGCATATAAAGAATGTGTGTGTGTGAGTGCCTATATGTGTTTCAACAAATCTTTCCCTTTTCCGGGACTAAGTTTCCAAGGAAGCTTCAAGGCAAGTGTTATATATATATATATAAAAAGTAAAAATGTGTGTACTTGTGTGTACAATTTCATTAGGAAACTTACATAGGAAGATGGTGGATCCTTCAAAATCTTTGGTCCTTTTCTTTTACAACGACTTGTGGTTGACTTGTGTCTTGGTCCACGACTATCTTTAAATTTATTTTTCTTTTTAAGTCTTTTTCACTAGTCTAGTCGTGCCAAGGGGGACTTAAGGCTTAAGTTACGCTACCACAAAATTACAAATGATCACCAACGAGAAAAACACCATTTATTTTTTCGCATTTTTCTCAATTATTATTTATAGTTATTTCATGCATTAAAAGACATCATTGACTGAAAACAAATGACAAAAATAAAGAACACTTTGAAAATTCTAGTCAAGAAAGACTTGGTTTCGTAGGGTTCTTCGTTCTCACTAGACCCTCGTACCGTAGTGACTTATGCAGTCTAAGGCGGATTCATATTCTTTTCTTCTTTTTTTGTACTAAGCGACAACAAAAACTGTTAGAAGTAAATAAGGATTAAAATATGGGATCATACACATATTTTTGGTTATCTAGAAACGATTCAAATCACAGCAATATTCCACTACACGGATCAAGATTTGTCTATATGAGATACGTAACTATGTTTGTGAGGATAAATCATCAAACAAAATAGATCCCCGCACCAACCCTAAAAAGTATTTTCTATATAACACACAAAGTTTAGAAAAAAGGTTTAGATTAACGACCCATAAGCCTCATTTTTCGTCTAAATTCAGATTACCACCATATTTTTTACAGACCTTTTGCATAAAAAAATGTGCTTCAAATGCCATAAGTAAATCACACTTCAAAACACTAATGTGAACAATCCAAGAGCTTGACTTCCTATTCCAAGAGCTTGGCTTCCGAGTAAAAGTATCAAATACACGTAATTTTACTTTTACTAAAAAGTTAGTAGTACCCTAAAATTTATAAAAAAACCTTTGCGAAATTGAATTTTGGTCCGGTTCAATAATAAACCAGGAACTCGAAACAGCGCGTTTAAAGAGCTAAGACGAAGAACAGAAGAAGGTCAGAAGGGGTTTTAGTTTTGTGAGGGTGAATTTGAGAGGCAGTATCATGGCGCGTCCCAAATCAAACGCGCCGCCGAAAGTCACACGGCAGCAACCGACTAAGCAAAAGTTTTCCGGCGCGGAGAGATCAGCTTTGTACGCCCGAAGGGAGGCGGCTAATGTTCTCCGGACAGTTCTCCGAGGTGACGCCGAGCGCCGAGCCGTTGCCTCCATTAAGTCACTCGTCTTCAGCCCTTCCGTCCGCAACAAACGCGCCACCTTCGCTCTCGTTTGCGAGACGCTCAAGCGTATGTCTACTTCCTTTCTTATTCTTTAATACCTCTGCTTCGTTCTTCAAAGAGCTAAAAAATCAGATTTTAGCTCAAGTAAAATATGTTATGTGGTTCGTATATGAAAGAAGCAATTTTTTTGTCTGTATGCAGATCTTAATGTGATAAAGGATGTTCTGGAAATCGCAAACGTATTGAATAGCAAATGGAAGGTATGTGTTCATATGCAATTGCTATTAATGCTGCTTTCACTTTACCTTCAATGCTTAAAGTTTTCTTTTTTGGTTTTTACTTCTTTTTGTTTGTAGAGGCAAGAGCCATTGGTCTACATTATCTGCTACGATATCCTTTTCAGCAAGGTATCAGCTCAACGACAATGAAGTCAATGACTAATCGCTGTTTCTCTATCAATGTTTTTGGTTTTCTCAATGGAGCGTGTAATTGCAGGAAACTCCATCAATGGGTGATGCTGAGAAGTTTCTCATGCGCCATAAAGATGCTCTGCTCTCAGGTTTAGCCACGCTTCTAGTGAGGAAGAAAGTTGAAAGCGTCGATGAGTTGTTGGGTCTTTCTCAGCTTAATGGTATTAGATACTCCCCAGTATAAACTTTGTTACCTATGCTATAACTTTGTCTTTTGAGTTCTATTCTGTATCTTGATTTTCAAAATTGGATGCAGGTCATGTAAAACCACGCTATGTTCGTGTAAATACACTCAAGATGGATGTAGATTCGGCAGTGCAGGAGCTGGAGAAACTGTATAAGGTACATTCAAAACTGAACTATTCTTTCTATGATGTCAAAATCTGCTCTTTGTTTCCAGATTTCATTTTTCTCTTTTTTTGTTTATTTTTCAATATGAAAACAGGTGCAGAAGGATGAGACGGTTCCTGACTTGTTGGTGATGCCTCCTGGCAGCGATTTGCATGCTCATCATTTGGTTATGAACGGGCGTATATTTTTGCAGGTAAAAACGGTGATTGATCTTTGTAAATTCTGTTTGATATATGGTTAACTTTACTGATATTTATTCCTTCGAATGATAGGGGAAGGCAAGTTCAATGGTAGCAGCAGCACTGCAGCCAGAAGCAGGATGGGAGGTAAAGCCAAAGTTCTCGCCCACATTTTTTTCATTTGGTGCTTGTTATGGTGATTGTGGTATACACTTAATGTATTTTGCTTCTTTTGGGAAGGTTCTTGATGCCTGCTCAGCTCCAGGAAACAAAACTGTTCATCTTGCTGCTCTTATGAAAGGTCAAGGAAAAATCATAGCATGCGAGCTAAATCAGGAACGAGTAAACCGTTTGGAACAGACTATTAAGCTGTCTGGTGCTACCAGTATCCTTCTCTTGCCTTTTTTCACGTATACCCTTTTTAGACTTCAACAACAATCAAGTGACTTGAATTACATGGAATTGAAGAGCAAATTTTACTGGATAAATGCTTATTTAGTCATGTTTGTCTATGATTGTTGATTCTTAACCCCAAGTTGTAGATATTGAAGTCTTCCATGGTGATTTTCTGGGCCTAAATCCGAAAGATCCTTCTTTTGCAAAGGTAAGCATTGCTTAGTCTGTGGTATGACTATCTATTTTAGGAGTATTTCTGGATTTTGGATCTTCTTTGGTTAGCTGCAATTAAATATATCGTCCAAATTCCAACTCTTCATTTTCTTTTGTTATTGATAGTCTACCGTGAAGAGTCGCTCTCTGAAAGGAACTATAGTACCCATCGGATATAATTGTATAGAGTCCTCTAGTATAAGCAGATGTAGTTATTTGAGCTATTGTTCGACATGCTTGCGTGTGGCTGATTATCGCAGGTTCGGGCTATATTGTTGGATCCTTCATGCTCTGGCTCTGGAACCATTACAGATCGTTTGGACCATCTCCTTCCTTCTCATGCAGCAGGTATTAACTGATTCCTCTGTGTATCTGTGTTATGTTACGTAGTGACTGAATCTTTAAGACACCCTTCCATGTAGATGACAAATATGACTCCATGAGGCTGCACAAGCTGGCCGTTTTCCAGAAGAAGGCTCTTGCCCATGCGCTTTCCTGTGAGTGTACATACTTGATCTCCCAAACATGTTCAATTAATAAACCATAAAACTGTATATTCAATTAGTACTCAACCCTATGCATATACACTGTAGTTCCACAGGTTGAAAGAGTAGTATACAGCACATGCTCCATCCACCAGATAGAAAACGAAGATGTGGTCTCATCTGTTTTACATCTGGCTTCATCCTTGGGCTTCAAACTCGACACCCCTTTTCCTCAGTGGCAACGTCGTGGTCTCCCTGTATTCGCAGGATGTAAGTATCTCCCTTACCGTTTGTTTTCACTCACAACTCACCTGATTGACTCTGTTTCTAACAAGTTGATCATGTTGGCTTTTTGGCTTGCAGCTGAACATTTACTCAGGATGGATCCGGTCGAGGACAAAGAAGGGTTCTTCATAGCTTTGTTCACTAAGACCAACACAATCGATAACTCAGAATCGTCTGAACTTCCCGAAAGAGAATGTAGACGAAGACGCAAACAAAGAACCAGACAGTCTCATCCATATCTTTGGCATAAAGTGTTGTTCAGAGCCTTGAATGGGAGCTTTCACGGGCGCAGGAGGAAACCCGTATAAAGTACCCAACTCAGAAGACCATGTTCCTATTCTCACGTAGTTGTTGTCAAATTTTGTTTCTGCCTTTGATCATTCATGTTGTCATTGAAATTTTGCAACAAAGGCATGATAGGGGACATAAAACAGAAACTTATTAAGCTTTTTTGGTTCACATTAAAATACAAAATATTGCATTCAGTTTACATTAACAAACCGAAAACACACAGACGTTTGAGCAAAACTTAATTGGATAGTAAGGATTTAGACTACTTATCATCTGAAATCACTTGACTTTCAATTGGAATCGTTTTATGTCAAAAGTCATATTTCTTTTGTAAGAGATGCTATTGAAGTCAGTAGTCTATAGTTTTTCTAGATATGTGTGTATATTATCTATACATCAACTTGTCGACAAAATTGAACATAACTGTTTCTTGAGAAATTACCTTATTTCTCGAAAAATAAATGAGAAACCCACAGGAAGCGGCAACAAAAGAAATGTGACTTTTGAATAGATAAATATTTTTTTTTGTAAGAAAGAAGAAGATTGACCCATAGAAAGATGAAACAAGTGGGCGATTCGCTCAAGCTGATGTAACCTTAAAAGCGGCGAGTTTCTCGAACGTAGGCCAACCATCGTTCACCACGTGTGTCCAATCATACTTATTCCCATGTCTCTCTCTGTCTCACCCTTTGAGTCCGTTAAAGGCCACTCCTTTGTGTTATCCAATACGACCCATCGTTTTTGGCTCAATCTATCTATTACTATTTTTTTTTTTTAATAGTTCATAGTTTTGAAAGCTAATAAGTCCACAGAGATTTTCTTCTTCTGCTGGTTTATATATATTCCATAACACTAGTGGATGAAGAAAGCTGCCATCTTTTATGGTAATTTACCAGAAAATCTCTCTTTATTAGCCCTCTTTCTCGATCATACACTCCATTCATCTCTTTCTTAGCTCTCAGTGATCTTCACTTACTATTTGAGGTCTTTACTCTTTAGGTCGCTTTTTAGCATTTTTAATAACGCTAGCCCAGTGAGAAGTTGAAGTTGGAATCTTGATTGGTTTTAGAGAAAGATAATTAAAAGATGAGTTTGGGTACTTTGATGAGAGAGGAGAGCAGAGGAAAAAGAGTATCTTCTCAGGTCCATATGCCCAAGGATATAGATTGGCAAATGCTTGATAAGTCAAGGTTCTTCTTCCTCGGCGCTGCTCTCTTCTCCGGTGTGTCCACCGCTCTTTACCCTATCGTAGTCCTCAAGACAAGGCAACAAGTCTCACCGACCCGTGTCTCCTGCGCCAATATCTCTCTGGCGATCGCTAGGCTCGAGGGTCTAAAAGGGTTTTACAAGGGCTTTGGAACATCTTTGCTAGGGACCATCCCGGCTCGTGCTCTCTATATGACAGCTCTAGAGATCACCAAGAGTAGTGTAGGTCAAGCAACTGTTAGGTTAGGATTGTCGGATACAACGGCTATGGCTGTGGCCAATGGTGCGGCCGGTTTGACCTCCGCCGTGGCTGCTCAGGTTGTCTGGACACCGATCGATGTCGTGAGCCAACGTCTTATGGTTCAAGGCGATCTCTCCTTGAGTAAGCATCTCCCCGGAGTGATCAATTCTTGCAGATACACAAATGGTTTCGATGCTTTCAGAAAGATTCTTTACACTGATGGACCAAGAGGTTTCTACAGAGGATTCGGGCTCTCGATCTTGACTTACGCGCCTTCAAACGCTGTATGGTGGGCGTCCTATTCTGTGGCTCAAAAATCGATTTGGTCTCGGTTCAAGCACCCATGTGTCCATAAGGAAGATGCTGGTCGTGGCACAATGGTGGTTCAAGCGTTGAGTGCAGCCACGGCAAGTGGTTGCTCGGCTTTAATAACTATGCCGGTAGACACAATCAAGACGCGGCTGCAGGTCTTAGACGTAGAAGAGAACGGGAGGAGACAAGCAATGACAGTGATGCAGACGGTGAAGAGCTTGATGAAGGAAGGAGGGTTTGGGGCTTGTTACAGAGGGTTAGGACCGAGGTGGGTCTCAATGTCGATGTCTGCAACAACGATGATCACAACCTACGAGTTTTTGAAGCGATTGGCCACAAAGAAGCAGAAATGATATATGATATAAAACCATGCATAGTATCAGTTTCTCCTTTCCTTGGTGTCAATAAAATGAAGAAAACGGAATGGCAAAAACTAACCGGAATCTTTGATTGAGTTTAAGAGATTGTTTTCCTCTCTAAATAAACAAACATGAAAGAGAAAGAAAAAAAAAACAGAGCAAGGATCAAATCAAACCCTAAACACGGAGTTGTTTCCTTCAGTCGCCATTGGTAACAATGATACCTAATTGTCTTTCCTAAGCCGGCGAAAAGAAAGAGGATAACTTGCGCCAAAGATTACCAAATCACATGCAGTCTTGCCGCCGACAAATCTGATCTAACCAAACAGTTAAGCTGTTCATCATATGCAAAAGCAAATACACAGAGGCGGCAATTAAAGGTGAATCTAGCACCGAGCCCTCTTGTTGCTGCAAGATGGGCACTTGTACTGCTTGATGTGCTCAGCCCTCGCCGGTGTTATCTTCACACACTTGCCATGGAACCAGTTCTCACAGAGGTCACAGCAGATCCAGAACTCATCGGTTGCATAGCTCTCACCACATGCCCCACACTGTGTTTCCCCTTGCTCATCGTCATCCTCCTCTTCCACACCTTCCCCTTCCTCATCCTCCTCTTCTTTGTGCTCTGGCTTTGTGAACTTGGGCGGCCTCGGCTCTGATCCTCGCTGTAAAACCAGAAAGAGGACAAGGATTTAGTTAGTTGGACAAAAAACAGTGCACCTAACCGCTCGTGCCATAAGAGAACATTCAACTTTATGCCAAGACGAAGAGTAAATGAGAGGAAGCTCACTCAGAACCAAGTTGACAAATTTGCGGACTCCATTAAGATACCATTTGGGACAGAAGAACTAGAGCAGAAAGAAAATCTTTTTACCTTGGAGTTTGATTTGGACCTGTTACTGCTGTTGTTGGAAACAGAGGATTTGTCCTTTGATTGTTTCTTTGAAGTGCCAGCCACAACCTCAAATATTGTTGGGAGGTCATTCACCATATTGAAAAGCCGTTTCCTGCAACAAGAGGTGGAACAACATCAACCACAGAGACCTGCATAAACCTTGAACCTAAGTCCTTAAAATATCACAGCAAGTAACAAAAACCAAATAAACCGTGAAGGAGTAGAAACAATGTGAGACTCGAAACAAGAAGATGAGAGTATAAAAAAAAAGGCTGGACGTGAGACAAGAGCATAACATACCTATCAGCTTTGTCAAATCCAAACCTGGCTCCGAAGAAGAAAGCAACTGAAAGAAGCCAAGCATCACTGTGGACAGCAACAAGAGACAACCAATCCTTTTCGGCCATCCCGTCTCTGGCGAAGTTGATACCCAAGACAGGCTCTGGGAGCTCAGGTGGAACCTCTTCAGCTGGCAAATTCACTTCCCAGTTCTCATTCGGGTGCCCATAGAGGCACAGGTTCTCCTTATCTATAATCACCAAAACCAAAAAAAAAAATGAGGACAATTAGGAAATAGCATTCAGATTACATTAACCTGCCAAAACCAAAAGAATCAAACAACCAATTACATGTGAACAAAGTCCAACAGTCTCTTTTAAGATTTGACCTAACTGGAAAAGATCATGCTTTATATTACATCGAGAAAACCAGCAGGTTACCCAAGTTGTCATTTTTCAAAACATCCATGATGTCACAAATCAAAAACCTGTTAATGGAAAGAGCACCAAAAACACTCAAGACAAATGACATAAAGCAAAGAGACAAGGAAAGCAACAGGACCGAAATATAATAACATGGTCAAGCTGATAGGTTCAGAGAATCTGAACTGTGAGGAGCAGAATCAAAACTGGTTCCTTGCTGACTTCTAATCATCAATTAAGAATGGAACTCAATGACCAAAACAAAGAACACACAGAAATAAACCAGAGAGTGATTCTAAGAGCAAGCAACGACCAAAACATAGAAGACACAGAACCAAAGCCAAGAACAAAGAGCACTATTATCTCTCCCAGATCCCTTAAGCTCCCAGAGATTTAGTACCCAAAGCCCCTAATCTCTTCTCCCTCCCCTGTATATTTATACAATTCAAACATCTCACAATCAAAAGCCTATCACAAGAACAATGCAGAACCCAGGAAAACTGAAGGTAAACCCCAATCGTGAAATCACAAAAAGAATTTCATACAAAGCAATATTTTTTTTTTGGAATTCACAAATCCACTTGAACCAAGTCAAACAAAAATCAACACTTTACTCCGCTATCGCACCCGATTCACTTCGCAGAATTCAGAGAAATCAAACAGATTCACAAACAGATAAGAGAAACCATGAACCCTAATGCTTCACTCAGCACTCAGCTTCAAACAAAGCACAAGGAAAATAATTCAGATACATAGAAGAAAAAAAAAACAGCGACTTTCGTCGGCGGAAACCAAACCCACAAACAAATCTCCGAAGGAACACTCACCGGGATCGCAAAGTCGGTAAAACTCCTGAACATCTGCGAAAAGGGAAATTGAAAAAAAATTGAGTATTCAGTGAAAATGGGGAGTAGAAGGAAAAACGTTGAAACCAATATTACCGGAGGTTAAAGCCTTAATCATGCCACTCCTACGGCCCTTAAAATCCCTAAAGACCTCCTCCACCGTACGTGGGTTGTACGCGCCAGGTCCGTCCATTAATCTTATAGAACAGCTTCTTCACCGAGACACAAGACACAGGAGAAGAGAAGTATTTGACTTGCCCTGAAAATTGTGTGCGAGAGAGAAGAAATGTGAAAAAGGGCGGACCCAAAAACAATTAAGCGGATTTAATAAGATGAGGAAGAGTCCGCAAATGAGAGAATCAGATGGGGATGCGAGCACCATAAGCGTTACCCTAGAAACCTCTTACATCTTGACGCGTGTCTATTTTAGATTGCTTAGTCGTTACCTGACCGCCGGCGATAACACCGGCACCTCCTGGTTATGTTATTCGAGTTAAAAAGTGTTTTGATGGCAATTTGTTTGTTTGTTTCATTTTTAATCTTTTGTGTTTGAAATGTTTTACCAGATTATCAAATTTTCTGTTCTTCAAAGCCAAATTTAATATACTATCAGAATAATACATTTGATTATTTTTTTGCACTAAGTTCACTTACTTCTTTAACTTCAATCTTTTTCGTGATATTTTTAGATAAAAAATTATCAAAATTTTTATATTTTCGCAGTAAAATCTGTTTGATGATAAAATAACTAAATAATGTGTTTTATTGTTTTTTTATCTTTTTCTTTTTACAAAGTAGTAAATATTCTATTTTAATTAGTAAAAAAATTTGTAAACATTATAAAATGTCTCTAGTCTCTATTTTTTACGCCAATTTTAGCTTGATAATGTTAAAACAATATCATCAATTGTTTATATAATTTTTCATTTTTTAACTTTTTTCCAATTTCTGTTTTTAGTTATAATAGTTTCGATATATAATATTATATAAATCTCATCTAAATTTTATGCATCAATAGTTTGATTAATTCTTCATTTTATTGTTTCAAATATCCTTTTCTTAATTTATGATGGTTTTAGTTAAAATAGTGTGAAGATCATATTCATATACTGCATTTAGCAATTTAAATCATATAAATCTCTTTTATTCATATATTGATAAATAATTTTTTGCCCAAAGTTTAAGAAAATTAAAAAAAAAAGACTATTTCCAAAACACATGTTAAGCTAATTTAAAAATAACTAACTGATGTTCTAAAAATTATTTTTGATTTATAGTTTTCTAAATTTAAATGCCAACAAATCTTTGAAAATGTTAGAGAGATACGAAAACAAAAAAAAAATATAATTAAAATGCATAAAGCTAATTTAACTACTTAACTCATGTATTTGGAATGGGTTTTTGCTTTCGGTTTATTTGAATACCTAAAAAAAATTCTATTCATAAACTGCATCTCCAAGAAATTAGTCTGGCCCTCTCATCAGTATGGGATTGTCTGAATTATCAGGAAAAAAAAAAAATCTCACATATTTGGAGTGTTGCTACCACTATTAGTTTATAACACTGAATACTGAAGGCGGCACTCACCACAAATGGGCTTTTAGCCTTTAATGGGTTTATCAATTGAAGTGGCCATTGTTTTGAAAAGGTTTTAAAGTCCTGGTAAGGCTTCTAAAATTGAAAAAGTAGTGGTGGGCATATATATTTAATATATGTACATTAACTGTTACTGACATATATTAGCTATTAGCTATTTAAATTAATTAAATAAAATATAAATTTCCTTTTCATGAAAATATATACTTCTTTGTTTGTTTGTTATTTTTATTTAAAATATAGAAACAAATATTTCTATATTATTGACAAAAAAAAGAATTACAACACCTGTCAACTAATCATTTAAAACATAGAAACAAATCTCTTCATATTGCTGACAAAAAAAGATTACAGAGGTTTCCAATTAATCATTTAAAAAATAGAAACAAATCTTTCCATAGTATTGACAAAATAATTTCAAAAAGCGGTCAATTAATCAATTAAATTTTGACACATGTAAACTATTTTAAATTTACATCTTTTTGCTAAGTTTAAATGAAAAAAATGACTTTAAATATTAATGCATTAATTGAACAATATATTTAAATATTTAGATAACTGTGTATGAATAATTTGCTCAATAGCGTTTTAACCCGCTGATGCTCGTTTCTGTGAACTCCCGTATCCATATTTATTGTGTAATAAAGAGATGAACTCTGCTCTGGTGATGATGAACATTTTGGTTGTGGTTTTGTACTTATGAGTGGAAGTTCTATTAGTCTTATAAAATCAAAAGTTATCTCTGCTCCGCGCTGAACTTAAACTTGTACTACTGGTGGTAATATTGTGATTAAATGTCTATAATTATCGAGGATGAGAGCTAAGGATTGGTCATCACTCTCACAAATCGAATCTCTCATGTCATAGTGTTATAACTCTCATTGAATACAGAGAAAGAAAAAAAACATCTAAAGGTCTGTTTTCTGGATTCAAACATCTAAAGGTCTGTTTTCTTGAAAGTTAAGAAGTGATAATCAAATCAAAGCTGAAAAGATAAGAGTTACATCCGTAATTCCTCAACCACACAACAATGTTGTTAGTTAGCTCGTCGACTTTGCTTTGTCTCTCATGATGCAAAGACCCCTTGAAGAGTGGAAACATGAGTTTGAGTCTGAGACTTGACGGGTACACGAGACACCACAGGCTTCAGCAATGCCTTAACTTCCTCTGGTAAGTCAAGCTGTTTCCTCACCTCGTTCGCCAATTCAATCACATACTCTTCCTCGTGTTCTGTTTTCACAACATTCACCAAACATCAAAATCATTACCCCCACACACGTTTGATTCATTATATGAGTGAGAAGCTCTCTTTCACTCACCAATGTCGTGCATTGCTTTCTCGAGCTTGAAAAGATACTCCCTGTTGTTCCCACAAGGTCCTGAAGCTGTAGCGATTTGCCTCGCCATTTCCTCCAATGGTGCAGGGCCCAAATAGTATTTGTTCGACACTTTGTCTGGAGTTGAAGTGAATCTACACAAAAGACATCAAACTGATTTCTCAACATTGAATCTTCTAATTAAGAAACATCAAGAGATAAATAAAGTAAAGATTTTAAAAAAAATCCAAACATACACTATAACTCCGGTCAAAATTGGCTTGGATGTGTCTGTTTCCTGCATCCAACAATGAATAGAAAACTAAATAAAACAAAGTTTCTAAATTTGGAAAATACAACAAAGAACATCAATAACAAGTTTCTTACAGTGTAAAACTCGACAAGGGTTTTTGAGTCGTATTCACACTCTCTCCGTTCCAAATACTGCAAAAAGAAACATGAGCCATCATCAATAATCAGATCCAGCAAAAGAAAAAAAAACAATCTGTGTAGAAACAATAAAAGGAATCTTCTTTTTACCTCCATGGCTAGCTTCTCCTTCTCGGGTCCTCCACGAACACAATAAGCAGCACCCCACTGACCAAATTTATCAACGGTTTCAACATCAGAATTTCAAAAGTTTCTATTTTTTTCTTATATGGAACAAAAACAAAAACAAAAATGTATTTTCTTACGCAGATAGCTCCGGTGGATTGCTCCAACGTGCAAGTTCGAGCAGGATGTTCAGGGGTGCCTCTATGATCTATACATGCTGCAGAAACAATATTTGGGAAAATATTTTTAGCAACATTGATTGGTTTCAGATTCTTTTGTGAAATGTTAAAAAAAGAAAAGTGTGTTGAGTTGTTACCAAGATCGAAGACGCGTTTGTAGTCTTTGATATAGCCAATGAGTTTCTCGTCAAAATCGAAACCCGGGTTCCAGATCAGAGATCCATATCCAAATACCCACAAAACCATCTTCAATCGCTCTTTTAGGAAGAAGAAGAAGAAGAAGAAGAAGAAGAAGCGAGGATTTAGAGAAATCAAATTCTGATATTAATTTTCCGGAAGAGAGAATCGTATATTAATAGTACCGAGGAAGAGTAGAAAAAGAGAGAGAGAGACACAAAAAAAAAAAAAGGAGAGATTTTTAGTTTTGTGGGAAGAGAATCGCGGGATGCTTGGGATGAATATAGACGGCTTTTTGAGGTTTATTCGTTTTCCGTACCTCTCCGCATTTAAAGCCGAACTCTCCCCAACTTCTTTTTTGTAGATACATTGAATCTAGACTAACTTTTAAAAATATTCTTAGCAAATACAGACAGAGTTTGAATTTGGCATTGGTCCAGCATAGCCCAAGCCCACGTATTTTATCCATTTTTGTCAAGTTAAAATATTGGATGGTGGAAATATCGAAACTCTCCGAATCTCTTTCCTTTATATGTTGTCTAGTGTCAAGTGTGTAGCTGTATAATGGATGACATGATTCCTCCAGAATTTGATTCTTTGAGATGCTTCTTGGCCAAATCAAAAGGATCTGGCTGCAATATTAGTTAGGTTTCGAGAGAGAATTGAATCGTTGGGGTGCCAAATCCATGGCTAAACTTTATTCGGTGTTGTGTTGCATCTCTTATCTACAGTATATGTGCAAGTTGGGCTGTACAAAGATTGAATTTATCTCTGATTACAAGGATTTTGTTCCAGACTTTATGGGGATGTATACTATATAGTTGGATGATACATCTTAAAAATAACAAAAGAAAACAAAATTCTAAATGTTCGTTTCATGTAATATACACACGTATGCGAAGAGAGTGTATTGGGAGCTTTCCAAGCTGTGGAAAAAAATGATATCTAAAGCCAAAATAAGACAGAAATTTGTGGGGATGTTGGAACGACTCAATATTAGTTTGGAGGCACGTTGAGCTGCGAGTTTCTTGGTGTTGGACCACTCGTTTTGGTTATGGTGCATATCCTTGTAATTATTATCATAATTACCTAGATAAATACTATACTTAATTACATCCACGTTATAAGTAGAACGATCTGCGTCTTTTGTTAATTTTTTATCCTTTCAATTTTGGGTCAATGTGGTAGATAGTTGTACGAAATTAGAGATAATTACCATACTATTTTGTCTAAAAAACATGGTGCTTTTCATTTAGAAGAAAAACTTAAAGTTTTGCTAATTAAAAGATCTCTAAACAAGTCACCTAACTAGCTCTCACCAATATAGTGCTCTTTAATTTTTTTCTGCGACGGTGCAAGTATTAAATATTGTCGTTAATATGAGTGAGAGAGAGGACAGCGATGTTACGAAAGATCTTACTAAACACATGTCACTGTTTACAATTAACTGTCTATTTCCATGCAACGCAAAGACAAATTTCCAACCTACCCTCTATTTTTATGTTTACGGCTTATTTTTATTTTTTTCACACAAACACAGAAGGAAAACAAATATTCATATGATTCACTAATTCGAATTATCATGTATAACCATGGTATAGTCTTTTAATTTGTAAGAAATAAGACTCAATATGTTGAAGAAAAAAATGATAAGAATGATGAAGAGGAGGTCCCCATAATAATAATAATTGAATTTCACTGTGCTTGTATTTATATAAAACATCAATATGGTCAAGAAAAAAAAATGAAGTGCCCCCATCATTAAATGAAGACATTATTGGCTATGATTAAAAAGGTAGAAGTAAATATTTTAGTTTGTAGTAGTGTTCTCCTCCTATAAGATAAACAAAGCGTAGAGGAGCTTTGACTTTGACCACATTAGAATCTTTATCACGTACCCAACGCTACTTCTCAATGCAATGAAGCACATGCATCAATCCACTTAGAGTCGAACATATGTATATGTGATTAATGTGTTTGAGCTTCTACTCCACGTATACGATTAATTGTATTTGTACTACCATCATAAAATATTTTCAAAATACCCTAACGAAATCTATTGAAATATCATACCCAAAATAAATAAAAAATCCATTGAAATATGTGTATGTTCATGTTACTTAAATTAATCTCAGTTTATGGTATATAACTACACGATAGCACTATATATATATATATATATATATATATATATTAAAATCATTGTAATAAATCTGAATTGGAATCCAAACAAATTCATTTGACATACGAAAATCTGAATTTTTATTTGCTCAAGACACCAATTTTGTTTAGACGTGATTTTTTTTTCTTTTCATCTACTCTTTTCACCTATATTACTGTTTACAGTTACATTTTACATTTACATTGATCATTATACCGTTACATATCTAACTTGTTTTGTTGGCACCATTTGAAACGATGATTATATGTGTGGTGCTTTTTTCATTTACAAAATTTAAAAATTATAATTATAAACTAAAAAATAGAATTTACATACCTATTTCGATCGTTTTATAGATAAAGTGTTATTTTCTTAAAAGATATGGAAAAGTACATTATGTGCACCGAATAAGTAACATTACTTTCAATTACTTTTAACGTGTCCTAGGTTACATCACGTCTAAACCATCCTTATAACAATGACAAAAATAATTTGTATGGCTCAAAAATGTCATAAAAACATTTGTATCTCGTAACATTTTATAGTTCGTCAAATTATCCTTTACATGAATATTAAAGAGCCTTTGTTCACCTAAAGTCACAATAATAGTTGGATATAGTTATGATGTTACAAAAATAAAATAAAAATAGTTGGATATAGATATTTTCAGTTGAGCGATATTAAAATGGAGAAGGCATATAAATTTAATAATTAATGGAGAACACCGACAAAAACCAGAGAGAGAGAGAGAGCGACGATAAGGTACGAAGAAGCGAACCAGTTCGCAGGAGAGTACTGATGAGTACTCAATAATCCAATTCTTCAATTATTTTTAAAATATAAACCCCACCGTCGTTTTCTTGTTTCCCTCAATTATTCACAACGTCTCTATTCTCTAATTTATTTATCCCTATATTAATCATATCAAACAGATCACAGGATCGAAACGAAGAAAACGATGTTCTTTGGATGCATTTGTTTTAGCTACTACCATGAAATTTATACAAGACCATACTAAACGCGTAATGAAAATCAGTTTGGATTTTGGATCCATTGTGATCAAAAGTATGAAATTTATACAAGAAACGTTGGTGTTGTTACTTGTTATATGTTGATCAAAGAAAGGAATTGAAATCAAGATGAATCTTCAAATGATCCACCTACTACAATGTCTTATTCTGAGTGAAGTTAATTAAACAGGGACTACTTATATAACATCCGTATAATATTACCAATATAACGTCGTTAATAAGATCGGATGTTTGGATCACACTGGCAATTCTAAGACAAAAGAGAAGATCAAGATTTCGATCAAATTTTAAAATGACTAAAAAGACACACACAAAAAAACATAAACCATATATGGATGGATCCAAAGTTATATTGCTAGATCTCGAGACTACTAACCAAATTATTCTTCTGCAACATTGAGTTCTTGCAATGAGCAATAGCTCCTTGAATAGCACTCTGCAACTCTTCCATCGAAGAAGACGTACTGTTGTTGCTGCTGCTGCAGCTACCTCCTCCTTGCCCCGGGAAGCCGCCACGTGTCAGTACGCCGGAGTGACTCGGGGATGACCTCATCGACGATGGACAGCTCGCCGCGCATCGCCCTCGTTTTGTGTATTTCATTAGGTTTCCTGAGAAAGAGATCGATATCCCGCCGCCGGAGACAGCGGTTGGAATGGCGGTGACGGTGGAGGAGGAGGCGGCGGAGGTTCCACGGATGCTGCCGCAATCTTTGAGAGATGGCTCTGTTTTTAAAGCGGTGACGGTGGTGCTCTGTTTCTGAGATAACTTGTCGTATAAAGGTTTGACTTTTTTCATGTATTTGCGAATAACGTCTTTCGCTGTGGAGCTCATTCTCTTTACCGACGACGGCGGAGCGGCGGTCGATGCGGCGGGGGCGGTTTTGGGATCTTTCTTGAAAACAGAGGAGAATCTAGAGAGAGAGAAACCACCACCGGAAGATTTGCAATTAGGATTCTTCTTTGGGGGTTTAAAGAAGAAATCTTCTTCGTCTGTTACGGAGCTAGGACGGGAAGAGTCACAGCAATCGAGCGGCGGAGGATGGAGGAGAGGGAAAGAGGCGGTGGAATCAGTGGACGAAGAAGATTCGGTGGAGTCACGTGCGGCGGATGTTGCGGATGAAGAAGAAGTGTAGTCGGAGGAGGAAGAAGAACAGAGTGTGCGGACGAGAGAGAGACGAGGGGAAAGCTGAAGAGGGAGAAGCTGGCCTTTGTAGAAGAGCTCATCGGCGGGACAAAGCGAAGAAGAGGCTTTTCGAGGCGAGATCGAGATGTTAAATTCGAATTCCGATGAAGATGACGACGGAGATGAGTGAGATTGCGGTTGTGAGTGACGTGGACGTGGTTGACGTCTCATCGCGTTCTTTACTTCTTATCTCTCTCTATCTCTCCACTCTCTCTCTCTGGTTTGTATGTTTCTCTGCTTTGTCTTTTTAATTTGATTTCTATGTAAATAATAGAATTTAACGTTTTAGATTATTATTATAAAGATTTTATTTATTAGTATTAAAGAGGCTACTGCAATGCAGGTGATAATATCATGAGAGAAGCCCACGATGATCGCCAGATTGAAGCTGTAGTGACTGTAGTCACATGCAATGCAATTAAATAGTGTTAAATGGAGCGTAGGATTAGAGAGTTGTCTAATGACGTTTAGTTTTTAATTATAATAATCAGTTTTCAAGTAGGAGTGAGGAGTGAGTAAAGCTACTTGTGACCTGTGGTCCGATCTCTCTTCATCCCGGAAATTATGCACTCTACTGACTTGGTTAATTGACTAGTTGGATTAATAAATGATCTTTTATTTGTTTAAAAACAAATTAAAATAGTGAAAATACAGTTTGCTTACGAGAGAAACTTGCTAATTGAGTAACGTTACTACATTGTTCAATGTGCATTTTATCGTGGAGAAGTAAAAAAAAAAACTGTATACAGCAGTATTAAATAATGATACTTTTAAGAACACTGATGTTTTTTTTGTTTTTGTTTTTAATTTAGATGATGATGGATCAGTAAGTAATTAGGTATTTATATGAAAACGTCGTCGTCGCGAATGTGAATTGTCGGGAAAATATAGCAAGAAGTTTAGGAATTAGGAATAGTGAATTTATCACGTGACGCTAACGCCAAGGGCGGGCGTTTGCTCGTCCCATCTCCGATCTTGGATATTAGTATTACTAATAGATTCTCTATAATTTATATTCTCAATTAATTTCATAATTACGCCGTTTATATTGTTGGTCGAATCAATTTCTTGAATGTAAAGCAACTACTACTTGATTATAATACTATATCAGAGAGTCATGGTGGTGGTGGTGTGTTTGAGCCATGTTTTGTCCACGTGTCGTATTGTCGTAGTCTATTTTTAGTAGCCGGAAACTCTTCCTAACAACATTTTTCGTTTTTGAGCTTTGGGGGCTTCCATTGATTAGGTTATTTTAGTTTCAAAGCCCATTTATCTTAACGAGTTACCCAACTCAATCAAGTAGAACTTTTTTTTTTGAACCCACCAAAAAGGCAAAAAAAAAAGTGTTCAATGTTTTCTGAATGGTCATCTCACATTTACATATATATGATCCCACAATGGATTCGCAGTCGAGACATACAAACGCCAATTTGGTATCTTACCACAACTGATGGTAACAGCCCGTTACTTTCATAATTTGCTCAAGACACCAATTTTGTTTTATAGTCGTGGTACTGGTAATACCAAGCCATTTTCCCACCAAAACGCAATGATGTTGCTGATATATGAATGTAGAATATTTCTTTGTTTTTAAATCATGATAATATGAAATTGCTAAACAATTTTTATTTGGTCACACGGATATAAGTCTTGCTTTTGACCCATTTGAATATTCGGAGAGAGGGTCTATCCATAGATACTATACTTTCTTATGGAATTAGTCTGGATCATTCTATAAATCTGAGATGTATCTTGAATTATATAAAAAAAAACCATGATAATATAAAACATGCGAAGATTCATACAAATATCGACTGAGATTTTTTTTTTTTTTAGAGATTCTTAGATTCATAATCTAAACTAACCTTTCAATATATTATGCATTTTTGTCCTGTTTGCTCTTAACATCTTATTATGGATGGAAGTTGTCATATGGGAATGTACTAACCCAAGCAAATTGGATCATCAAATGTATACTAGTATCAGATTCTTCTCTTCATATGTGTAACTGTAGAGACTTTTTTTGTTTTAGTCAAAGAAACGTTAGAGACTCAGAAATAACTTTTTCGTCTAACTCCATAGTCAAACGCTAACTTAACTTGTTTTCAAAATACCTTGTTTAAGTTGAGACTTAGAGTCTGAGAGTTTGCAAAGGCGGTAAAGTTGGTGTGAGAAGCTTTCAATGAAAAAACAACTCCAACATGTAAGGTAAGTAGGAGATAACTTTGCGTGCATATCAGCACAATTTGTTAAGGTTAAGTTGATGAGTGTCCTATAGTATGGTTAAAATTTGAGGTCAAGTTTCTATTCATTGGATTGGTATGGTCTTTACACTCTTAGTATAAGTTAAGCTCAAGGACCATTATGAAAAGGGATGATAGATGCACACAAAAAAAGGTGTGGTTGAATATATTGCAGATAAAAAGACCACAAGCAAAGTGATACTTTGAAGAAGCAATAGCAAGAAGCTTGCTGCGTCTGATCCCACTCCCAATAAAGTTTTGTCAAATTGTTTTTGTGGGATTGATAAAAGCATGAAGGCGAAGGAAAGCACTTTTAAGTCTAAGGTCACAAAGTTCATTCCAAATTGTATTCTTCATTGCTGTTTGCATATGTATTCTAGAGTTATAGAGGTGCTCTGTTGATGTTGTGTATGCAAAGATAGTTGACTGCCACATGAACCATGTGACCTTGTTCTTTGTTTATTTTCATATATGTAATATACAAATATTACAAAAATAAATCATTTATCCTGCATATCATTGTCATTTTCCTAATTCCGGTTAATAAAATCATTGTCATTTTGGCTTTGATTATTCAAGAACATTTCACCCCTTAGTAAGTAAATTTTTTTTTTTAACTCACCCTTTCTAGTAAAGTAGTAATTGAAAAGGAAAGGTAGAAATACTCATAAAACAGAACAGACCTCATCAGAAACAGAATTTAATCAGAAGCTAGAAAATTGGGTGAAGCAAACCCACAGATGAATCTAAAGCTAAGATAGTGCAGTTTAAAAAATCAGGAGCTTTTGTTTTCGATTCGATCACCATGTTATCGAATCATCTACAGAACGGGATCGAATCCGATAATCTGATCTGGTCTCGTGTCCCTGAATCCGATGATGCTTCCACCGACGGTGTTGGCCTACTCAGCTCTCCCCGTGACGGCGGCGGAGGTGTTGATAGTCTCGACTATGAAGTCATCGAGAATTACGCTTACAGAGAAGAACAGGTACTGCTCTTATCTCTCTCTTTCTCTCAGTCCCTTCCCCTTTTTTTCCTCTCTGATGATTTTTGACTCCTCTCGGCAGGCGCATCGAGGTAAGCTTTACGTCGGCTACTACGTTGCCGTCAAATGGTTCTTCTCTTTACTCATCGGGATCGGTACTACTTCTTTACCTCCTTTTCTCTGTCTCTCTCTCTTCTTTCCCGAATCAGATCCCTAATTTTTTGTTTGATTCGTCTTAAGGAACTGGATTGGCTGCTGTTTTCATCAATCTCTCAGTTGAGAATTTCGCTGGATGGAAGTTTGCTCTCACTTTTGCCATCATTCAAAAGTCTTATTTTGCTGGGTTTATAGTTTACCTTGTCATCAATCTAGTCTTAGTGTTTTCTTCCGCGTATATCATTACCCAATTCGCTCCTGCTGCGGCTGGCTCTGGCATTCCTGAGATTAAGGGTTATCTCAATGGTACACCAATCTTCTTACTCTCTCCCTTTTCGTTTTTGTTTTGGCTGAGTGGTTGTAGTCCTCAGTCTTCTTTGACTTTGATATTTATGCATTGGACTGTGTAGGAATTGATATCCCTGGCACCTTGCTCTTCCGAACCCTCATCGGAAAGGTGCGTTAACTTTTCCGGAATGTTATGTTATCGTGGAAGTTTCCTTTTTTATTCTGTTTTTGAAGACACTTTTTTTATAGTTTGCTCTCTTATAGATATTTGGAAGCATTGGTTCTGTTGGGGGTGGCTTAGCCTTGGGGAAAGAAGGTCCCTTAGTACATACAGGTGCCTGTATTGCATCATTGCTTGGTCAGGTGAGCGTCTGTGTTCTCTGTTATTCAAGGCGTAGAGATGAAGTCTGAATGTTGCTTTTCTTTGTACCTTTGTCCTCCATCATTCACCATGAAACTTAAATTATACCTTCCCTTTGCTCTGTTGCATCAGGGTGGATCCACGAAGTATCATTTTAATTCTAGATGGCCGCAACTTTTCAAGAGTGACAGAGATCGTCGTGATCTTGTAAGTTCCTAGATGATTCTTGTGAAGAATGCTATCTGGTTACTTTTTGTTTTAGATTAGGTTCAATCTCTGGAGAGATCTTATTCCTTCACTTTTGCGATGCCTTGAAAGGTCACTTGTGGATGTGCAGCTGGAGTTGCTGCTGCTTTTAGAGCTCCAGTTGGCGGAGTGTTATTTGCATTAGAGGAGGTTACATCATGGTAAGCTCCTTCCCTCATCCTATGTCCAGTGCATATATCTTTAGGATGTCTTACCTAGTGGAAGTCTGGGATGCTTTGCCGTCTGTCCATTTTATTTAATTTGCATGTGTTACTGAAGGTGGAGAAGTCAACTTATGTGGCGTGTCTTTTTCACGTCCGCTATCGTGGCTGTTGTGGTGCGTACTGCCATGGGATGGTGCAAGAGTGGAATATGTGGACACTTTGGTGGAGGTGGTTTCATTATATGGGATGTATCAGAGTAAGGTTCTAGCTTCAGTGGTCTTTTATATTGTGCAAAATTATTAGTGCTAGATCTTACTTGTAACTTTTCTTTCCCTCATTTAGTGGTCAAGATGACTACTACTTCAAGGAGCTACTGCCAATGGCCGTAATTGGAGTTATCGGAGGCCTACTTGGTAAGGATTCTTCTTTTCCTCTACTCTTGATTCCATTTATATCTCTGACTGATTCATTTCTCATGACATTTTCCTCCAGGGGCATTATTTAACCAACTTACACTCTATATGACATCTTGGCGTCGTAATTCTTTACACAAGAAAGGAAATCGAGTGAAGGTATCTTTGATGGACGATTTACAGGATTTATTTTGTTATGCTTATCTTCCAGAAGATTGATTGTCTCGTTGCTGTATTTATAAAAAACTGCGCAAAATTGGAATTTGCAGATATATGAAGCATGCATCATCTCTTGTATAACTTCAGCAATCTCATTTGGGCTGCCACTCTTAAGGAAATGCAGTCCATGCCCTGAATCAGTTCCTGATTCTGGAATTGAATGCCCACGGCCTCCAGGAATGTATGGGAATTACGTAAATGTAAGACACTGTTATCCATAAGTGTGTATCTTTGAGATCTGTTGTATATTCTTGACAACGCCGATATTTAGACACCATTTAACTGTTTTTAAGATGGCAAAAATGTGCAGCCATAAACTTATGAATTTTGTTAACTACACCTAGTGCATTTAACACTCTGGTTAGATGCTTATGTGGAATTCCTTTGCTGGTGTTTTCTAGAACAACCTGAATAACCTGTCCCCTATACTTTAATGACATTCATAGCCTCTGGGTGAGCTTTATGACTTTCCTGACATTTTTCCTGCATTCTTGCGTCAACCATTGCAGTTCTTCTGCAAAACGGACAACGAATACAATGATCTCGCTACAATTTTCTTCAATACTCAGGTCTTTTCTTCTAAAATAATTTCAGTTTTCTTCTTTCAGTTTCTACGTTGCTTTATTTATAAGCCCGGCTGGCTCAACTGAATTGCTTTGCTTTTCTTATTAACAACAGGATGATGCTATAAGGAATTTGTTCAGCGCAAAAACTATGCGAGAGTTCAGTGCTCAGAGTCTACTAACCTTTTTGGTAGGAAATTCTTCAACTTTGATCGAATCATGCGCATGTTAGCAATAGGATAAGGGTCATGCTGATTTGACTATTAACATCGTTCCATCTCTTTATCTCTAGGAATATCTTTCTATTTGTTGATTCCTCTGATTCATCGTCCTTTTTTTTTGTTTTAAATGATGTTTAGGCTATGTTTTATACATTAGCAGTGGTGACCTTTGGCACTGCTGTTCCCGCTGGCCAGTTTGTTCCTGGAATAATGATAGGATCAACTTATGGGCGCCTTGTAGGCATGTTTGTTGTCAGGTTTTACAAGAAGCTCAACATTGAGGAGGGAACGTGAGTCTCCATGTGTAGTGCTTTGTTGATCTTACCAGTTCTTTTTTTCCATTTTGTTGAGTGAACTTTGGGCTTCTTTTGCTTTACAACATTTGATACAAAAAGTTTTTGAACCTTAGTTATGCTTTGCTGGGAGCTGCTTCGTTTCTTGGAGGCTCGATGCGGATGACTGTATCTTTATGTGTTATCATGGTTGAAATCACAAATAACCTGAAACTTCTACCTCTTATAATGTTGGTTCTTCTCATCTCAAAGGTACGAGTTACCAACCATAAACATTTATCTTGATTCTTGTGGGAATACGCTTGTTCTTAATCTCTCCTGTTTTTAGGCCGTCGGTGATGCTTTCAATGAGGGATTGTATGAGGTACAAGCACGCCTGAAGGGCATTCCGTTGCTGGAATCGAGACCGAAGTATCATTTGCGTCAAATGGTTGCAAAGGAAGCATGTCAAAGTCAGAAGGTTGTTATCATTTCTCCCTCAGTACAAACAAAGAGCTATGTTCCATCGCTCTTGACACTGCTTCTTCTATTATGCTTAATCAAAACTTTTTTTCCTGTCAATGAAGGTAATCTCTTTACCTCGAGTAATCAGGGTTGCAGATGTTGCTTCAATTTTGCGCAGCAATAAACACAATGGATTTCCCGTAAGCATTGCTTTTCCCTCACAGGTTTGACTCGTGACTGATTAGTCCTCTGTTCTGATGTTTTAACTTTTTTGGCACTTTACCAGGTAATCGACCACACGAGAAGTGGGGAAACACTTGTCATCGGGTTAGTTCTGCGGAGGTACGTGATTGTTCATTTGTCCACCTACTGCGAAAGGAGTTATTTTGAAAGTAGTGTATAATTCTGAATGTTTGTTCACCATGCAGTCACTTGCTTGTTCTCCTTCAATCGAAGGTAGATTTCCAACATAGTCCTTTGCCTTGTGATCCAAGTGCCAGACCTATCAGGTAAACTGATGTTCTGCACTCTTCTTTTTCACTCTCTTTAGAAAGAGTCATACTGATAAATAAGTTGATTCTTCAATATCCAGGCACAGTTTTAGCGAGTTTGCTAAACCTGTTTCATCCAAAGGGTTGTGCATAGAGGATATACATCTAACCTCAGATGATTTAGAGATGTATATAGATCTTGCTCCGTTTTTAAATCCATCTCCATACGTTGTTTCTGAAGACATGTCGTTGACAAAGGTGAGTAAAAAGCTCTGGCTATGTTTTATGGGCACACCAATATTCATCATTATTGGTTCGAGAATATGATCCGTTTGAATCAGGTATACAACCTTTTCCGGCAACTTGGATTGAGACATCTATTCGTTGTTCCCCGTCCTTCCCGTGTGATAGGCTTGATCACAAGAAAGGATTTGCTAATTGAGGTACCCATTCTTTTACATCAGTAGAGAGAGAGTTATATACACAATGTTCCATCAACAAAATCCGAGACATGATTAACATCGGCGATGTTTGCTGGTCCGTTATGCAGGAAAACGGGGAATCATCAGCTGTGGAACTCCAACAGTCAACTAGTGTAAGGTCTCTAGCTTGCTATTCTTGTGTCTAATCAGTAAAATCACAAAAGCCTTGGGAGTCTCTCAAGTCTGGCGTTATGATCCTTTAGTATAAACCCTCGTATCAAGGATCTAGAGTGTAATCTAATAATGTCTTTTGCCCATAATCAAGTACCTTATTATTTGCCCATTATTTTGACTGCAGAGGTCGGTACAGTGAGACAGCAACACGGACGGACGCTGCACGTCCGCTTCTAGACGATCTTTTAGGCTAGAAAAACAGTCAAACATATACAATACAAGCAGTTCAAGTTTCAAAAGATTCGGGCCAATTCTCCCTCCATACTACGAAACGACATGCCTTTCCCCCGTTTTGAATTTGGTAGCTTTGCCCCAAAACAGGTCTGGAGGATAATAGTGATCATATCTTGAGATGGGGTTGTGTCGTTCGTTAACGGTCTCATTGGCTGTTGACAGAGGATAGAAAGATATATATAGAGTTTAATTGTTGTAATTGTGCAATCTTTGATTATTTCCTGGTCATTGTAAAATAATCCAGCCTTTTGATATATTACCTAATTAAGTTTAAACCATATCGAGAAAAAAACCAATAAATAATTTCATTTGTTATAGCTTTTTGAGATTTTCACTGTTACTAATCGGATTTAAAGGTCACTGTCTTTTTAGAGAGAACTAAAATTATGAGCCTTTTGTTGTTCTGTTGCAAGAAAGTTTTAATTTTTGTTTTCTTCTTTTTAATGAAAGTGGTAAACATGAACATCGAAGAAAGTTTTCATAATCTTTAGGAAATCAAAGATTATACAAAGGTTGAATGAATATATCCGTAGTTTTTTTTTGAAAAATGAAAGCAATATCTCTATTCAGCATCATAGTAGTCAATAGCTATAGAAAAGCTATACTATAATTAACTTTGTATATGTTGATTATTTTTGTTCTTAGTGTTTTTCCTCGTGTACAGAAGCAATATATTCCGCATACATAAAGAAAAGAAAAAATAAATTCTCCACGAAAATTGTGCTTTGGATTAACCAAATCCAGACGTAATAAATTCGTTGTCATATATGTATGTAAGAAAAAGTTAAAAAATCTTACCAGAAACAGTTTCAAAAGAAAACCCGAAAGTGGATATAACTGAATTTATGACAGTGAATGCTGACTGTAAAAACACCAAAAAGGAGTCGGAAAAGGGATAACTGATCCAAAATTATTGACCATAATCAATATATATTCTTCTTCTTAATTGTCAACAGATATTCCATTTTAAGACATCATCCATATCTTTTTTTTCGGTTTCTCCATATAAATATATGAACCTTTCTTTGTCTCCGTTTCAAAAGTAAAAGATCTCTGTCTCTGCTTCTCTCCTCGCTATCCTTTACAAGATAGAGAGCAGCACAAGCACAGACAAAAGACATACACTAACATTTTGAGAGACCTAAGAGTTAAACAAATGGCTGTGGTTGTAACGAGTAGCGGTAATTCCCCAGCTTTCGAGGGGAAGATGACCGTTTATGTCTTCATCTGTGTCGTTATCGCGGCTGTAGGCGGCTTGATCTTTGGCTACGACATTGGAATATCTGGTTTGATTCTCTTCTCTGTCAATATCTTTTCTTCTTTTTTTCGCTTTTATTATGGGTCAAGAATCTGAATCCAGCTTCTTTGGTGATTAGAAATGTTCCTTTTGGATCCAGAAATGTGCATATACCTTATTTGGATGCTCATTATTATCAAAACATTCATATTCATATAACTTGTATATACACCTTAGATCGAACCCCCGAGATCAACATTAGAGAGTGAATCAAGCCATAATATAGACAATCTTGGTTCCTTCACTAGCTCATGTGGCCGGTCCAATGAATTATGAGATTTTTGTATTTACTATTCAAAATCTCAAACAGGTGGAGTAACGGCGATGGACGATTTCTTGAAGGAATTTTTTCCGGCTGTGTACGAGAGGAAGAAGCATGCGCACGAGAACAACTACTGCAAGTACGACAACCAGTACTTGCAACTCTTCACCTCCTCTCTCTACCTCGCGGCTCTCGTGGCCAGCTTCTTCGCCTCCGCCACGTGCTCTAAGCTCGGCCGCAAACCCACTATGCAGTTCGCTTCCATCTTCTTCTTGATCGGCGTTGGCCTCGCCGCAGGAGCTCAAAACATGTTTATGCTGATCATCGGCAGAATCTTGCTCGGATTTGGCGTTGGCTTTGGTAATCAGGTACTTATTGAATATACAAGTATACTTGGTTTGGTTCAGTTTTTATGGGATCTTGAATTTTTTAGGTTTTCTTCAAAGACTTAAAACGTTATGGTAATATTTTGCAGGCGGTACCGCTTTTCTTATCAGAGATTGCTCCGGCGAAGCTTCGTGGAGGTCTCAACATTGTTTTCCAACTAATGGTTACAATCGGAATCCTAATCGCCAACTTGGTCAACTACTTCACCTCCTCGATTCACCCTTACGGATGGAGACTCGCCCTCGGTGGCGCGGGGGTTCCCGCCCTCATCCTCCTTTTCGGATCGCTTCTCATCTGCGAAACACCAACGAGTCTCATCGAGCGGAACAAAACCAAGGAAGGTAAAGACACGCTCAAGAAGATAAGAGGCCTCGAAGATGTTGATGCGGAGTACGAGTCAATCGTCCACGCTTGCGATATCGCGAGAGGGGTCAAGGATCCTTACAGGAAACTGATGAAACCGGAAAGCCGACCGCCTCTTGTGATCGGATTGTTGCTCCAGATGTTCCAGCAGTTCACTGGAATCAACGCGATTATGTTCTACGCCCCTGTTTTGTTCCAGACCGTTGGGTTTGGAAACGATGCCGCTCTGCTTTCCGCCGTTGTCACCGGATCCATCAACGTTCTCAGTACGTTTGTCGGGATTTACCTCGTCGACAAAACCGGTCGGAGGTTTCTCTTGCTCCAGTCTGCCGTTCACATGCTCATTTGCCAGGTCAGTTTTGTTTTCAATCTTTTTCTTATATCCCAAGTAATATAGCATTGGTTAGGTTATAGTTTCTTGTCTCGCAAGCAATACTCCTGAACTAACAATTTTCTCAATTTTCTCAAAACAGTTGGTCATCGGAATCATCCTAGCCAAGGACCTAGGCGTAACGGGTACGCTAGGGCGAACACAAGCCCTAGTGGTGGTGATCTTCGTGTGTCTTTACGTGATGGGCTTCGCTTGGTCATGGGGCCCACTAGGGTGGTTAATCCCTAGCGAGACCTTTCCCTTGGAGACTCGAACCGAAGGGTTCGCATTGGCGGTATCGTGCAACATGTTCTTCACGTTCGTGATCGCACAGGCGTTCCTATCGATGCTTTGCGGGATGAAGTCAGGGATCTTCTTCTTCTTCAGTGCTTGGATCGTTGTGATGGGATTTTTCGCATTGTTCTTCGTGCCGGAGACGAAAGGAGTATCGATCGATAACATGAGAGATAGTGTGTGGAAGCTGCATTGGTACTGGAAGAGGTTTATGCGTCAGGAGGATGAGCATGACGTGGAGAGGAGAACTGCTTGAGCTCTTTGATCAATCACACAATTTTTCTCTCTTTTTTTTTTTTTTTAATTTATTTCTGTCTCATACGGGAAACATGTATTAAACACAAAACGAAAACAGCCCAGAAAGTCTGGAGGCCCAAGTCTGTTCAAACAGAAAATCGAATATTGGCCCACAAAGAAGAGAAGCCCACGGGAAATCAGAATTGTGGGAAAATGCATCCTCCAACGACATCAGATTACAATCTCCTCAAACGCATATTACGATATGTTAAGGGAACAATCACCATGGGAATCAACTTCTGTCAAAACTCTGATTTCACTCTCCGCACCTATAGTGATAGTGATTGGGCTAGATGCAAAGAGACTCGTCGTTCTACTGGTGGCTTCTGCACTTTTCTGGGTACAAATATCATCTCATGGAGCTCAAAGAAACAGCCTACAGTTTCCAAAAGCTCAACTGAAGCTGAATATAGAGCAATGTCTGAGTGTGCGTCTGAGATTACTTGGATCTGTCACCTCCTTAAAGAGCTCGGTATTGCTGTGCTTACTACGCCAGAGATGTTCTGTGATAATCTGTCGGCTTACTGCAAATCCCACGTTTCACTCAAGAACCAAACATTTTGAGACAGATCATCATTATATCCGAGAAAGAGTTGCCCTTAGTTCAGTGATTGTTAAGCACATACCCGCACATCAACAAATCGCAGATATCTTTACAAAGTCATTGCTGATTGCAACTTTTCATTCTCTTCGGTTCAAACTCGGTGTTGACGTTCCTCCCACACAGAGTTTGAGGGAGGCTATTAAACACAAAACGAAAACAGCCCAGAAAGTCTGGAGGCCCAAGTCTGTTCAAACAGAAAATCGAATATTGGCCCACAAAGAAGAGAAGCCCACGGGAAATCAGAATTGTGGGAAAATGCATCCTCCAACGACATCAGATTACAATCTCCTCAAACGCATATTACGATATGTTAAGGGAACAATCACCATGGGAATCAACTTCTGTCAAAACTCTGATTTCACTCTCCGCACCTATAGTGATAGTGATTGGGCTAGATGCAAAGAGACTCGTCGTTCTACTGGTGGCTTCTGCACTTTTCTGGGTACAAATATCATCTCATGGAGCTCAAAGAAACAGCCTACAGTTTCCAAAAGCTCAACTGAAGCTGAATATAGAGCAATGTCTGAGTGTGCGTCTGAGATTACTTGGATCTGTCACCTCCTTAAAGAGCTCGGTATTGCTGTGCTTACTACGCCAGAGATGTTCTGTGATAATCTGTCGGCTTACTGCAAATCCCACGTTTCACTCAAGAACCAAACATTTTGAGACAGATCATCATTATATCCGAGAAAGAGTTGCCCTTAGTTCAGTGATTGTTAAGCACATACCCGCACATCAACAAATCGCAGATATCTTTACAAAGTCATTGCTGATTGCAACTTTTCATTCTCTTCGGTTCAAACTCGGTGTTGACGTTCCTCCCACACAGAGTTTGAGGGAGGCTATTAAACACAAAACGAAAACTGCCCAGAAAGTCTGGAGGCCCAAGTCTGTTCAAACAGAAAATCGAATATTGGCCCACAAAGAAGAGAAGTCCACGGGAAATCAGAATTGTGGGAAAACAACACAACGGCCATGTACTCTGCAACAAGACAAAATCAAAGGAGAAAAGCACGAGACTGAAAAAGACGGTCGTACGGAAATCAAGTTTTCAATCCCAACCACAAACCGATTTGATACTTTAACAGAGGGTCAGATTGAAGACATCTGTAGGCAACCTTAGGGTTTTCGTTTTGTGTATAAAAGCTCAGCTTTGTAACTCTGAAACTCTTAAGAAGTAGAAATATCAAAAAGAAAATATTCAGTCACCTTCTTCGTTATATCAATGTGTTAAGATTCCTTTCAACATGATTCAAGAAACCAACTTGTTAATATGCTTCTTCAGGCTTGGTGTCTTAACAAAAAAAAAGAAAAGAAAACTCCATGATTTTACAAATTTATGTGTGTTTAATCCACTTGATACGAAAACAAATTAAATATGTGGTGGTGTCCGAAACTGTTACAAAATTATCAACGGTTGATCCTTGTCGTTATCATAGTATCCCAATTTCTAATATTAGAGCTTTATCTTTTTATCTCCTCAAAAAAACAATTGAATGTTGAGATGTACTTTGCAGGAATGCATGTGGCACAGTTGATAGACGTAGAAATTGATAGAGCCATTGTAATTGATGCATCTATTAAAGGTAACTGCAAAATCAGCTTTAAGTCGACACATATGATGATATGACATAAGTGAATGTAAACACAAGAACGACGAAGACAAATACGTTTACTTTTTCAACCACTCCGACATGTATGGGGTTGTGATATGCATGTGATATATATATATATATAACTTTGGAGAAAATGTGTGAACCGGGCTGGGTCATATGTTCAAAATACCTTTGTATTTCTTTCCCTTTTGCATTTTTATTTATTTATAAAAACAACATTTAATCAAGAATGTGACTATTAGATGATAGCGTTATATGATATCAAAAATACTATTATGGGAGTAGTATCTTATCAAAAATGTTAACATTTCAAAAGAATGCAAATTCTTCCGCAAGTGAACACAAGCACAAACGGTTTGTTTGAAACAATTGACATCTTCATTTGATACCATACGGTTCAAGTATCATTCCCAGTTTCCCACCACTATTATTAGATTTTGCGAATATATTTATCAGAATATACAGTTATTTGACGAAAAATAAATAAAAATAAAATATTTCACAAAACCCCACAAGAGTTCCATTTTATTGATAACTTGGAAGAACTATGCCATAACAAGCATCAACAAGCAGAGACTATCAAGTGGGGACGATGTTGGTAAAACCCTAATCTCCTGATTAATTATACATTAACCAGAACCAACTACTTCAATACAGAATTCACCATATACATATAGTAGACCCTCATGAAATATATATAGACATTAGTTAAGGTACTAACCAGACAAGAAAATCGTCAGAGTGATAGAACTTATCTTCCGAGGTGGAGAAACGAGATATCTTGCAGGTGAAAACGTTGTCCGGAGGGTTTGGTAAAAATGTGACTTTCTCTTGTTGTTCAGCCGGTTTAACGACGAAGATCTCAGCAGCAAAAGAAGACGTGTCTGGCACGATGTAACCTTCATTTGGGTTGCAGAATGTTGAAAGAGGAATCAATTGTCCGTATCCCCACTCTTTCTTTGCCTGGTCGTATCGTTTCACCGCTTCATCTGCAACCCACAATTGCACAATTTTTTTACTATATCTTATGTTTATTGTATACTTGCGTTTAATTACTAGGCCGAACACACAGACTGATTACGATAACATAGACGTGTAGTTAGTTTTCCTTTAAGAAATACACCTACCAGTTACTGTTAAGTACTTGCGCTGGTTGGGATTGTGGACAAAGAGTTTGAGATTAACATTGACTTCCCAACCCTTGAGAAGAGATTCTGTATCTTCTATCCTCACGTAAAGTGAAATATGATTATTTCCTCCATCGTTTTTATCACCGGTCAGTACAAAATTGTAGGAATATAATTACTATAATTGGATACACTGATAATTCATAAAAAAATTACATAAATCGATAAACATAATATAAAATAATATCAATTAAACAAGAATTTAAGAAAATAAATTGCAAGGTCGAGACATATAGTGATCTTTTTTCTTAATTCTGTAAACTCTCCATAATTTGATGGTTACATGAGGTTCTGAATTACAATATACAACTGTATTATTCTTATTTATATCACACTTAATTCATAAGTTTTTGAATCTTTTCTATATTGTACTCTTGTAAAAATTAAATAAAATAATCTAAAAAAAGGTGAAAGATTGTATGTGTGCATGAGAATTGAGATTTTTTAAATCTCTATTTAAAACATTCAACCAAAATGTTTTTGATATAATGAGAACCAATTTCATTATGCTATAAATAGTTTATAAGAGCATTTTCATCCGTGAGAATCTCACCAAAAAAAGTTCTTAACAATAAATACTATTATTTTATTATAATTTATTATGTGTAATTAAATTTTAATATTTTAAAAAATTTGATCGAGTTAAAATAAGATACATTAGTTTTATAGTATCTAAACTTATGAGAATCGATTTTTCATTAAGAACTTTTGAGAACTTTTCTACTGTTTTCTTTTTTTTCTTTTTGATTCTTTTCTTTCTTTTTTTAATTGTTAGATATTTTGATGAAAAATTATCAATGAAGATGTTTTAATTAAGTGGGTATCTTATAATTAATTAAAAAATAATGATAAAGTATACAAAAAAGAAAAAAAATTTAAAAAAATAAGAAAAATAAGAAAAATGAGAGATGATATCTCTTTTAAAATATCTATAGAAACGATTCTCATCATAAAAGCCATTTATCATGATATTATTTGTTCAGGTTTTAGAAACGATTCTCAACGTAAAAGCCATTTATCATGATATTATTTGTTTTATTGCTCTAAAGATTTTGTTTTGGGGTGTTACGAGAAATTAAGGATGTGAGTGTACAAGTTTATTTTTTTCTATTTTTCTTTTAAGTTTACTCTCATTATCTCTTCACTTTGATAAAGGGTTATATTACTCTGTTTTTTTTTTACTTAGTTGATGAAAGAAAGATGAAATGAAAAGTAATATACTACAATTATTCAAAGCCCAAATGTGCTTTTTTTTCCTTTTGAAATACATCAGATCCGCCTATTAGCCCAATTATCCCTATTAAAAGGGTGATAAAACTCGATTATGTAAGGTGATACCGGTTTTAGACCGCATTATACTTCTCTCTCTTCTATACATTTGCAAAAGGTCCTTTGGGTATTTTTGATTACTTGTGTGGCAGTAATGCAAATATCGACACAAGAACATGTCTCAATGATAGTGATTTTTTTTTTTTTTCGGGATTACAATGATAGTGATATAACCTTTGACATTGATTAATCTCGCGTAAAACGTGTAGCTAAAAAATGATTTTGTTTGAACATTTTCCACCCACTACTTGCATCGAGATCTCCCACTGTCCCACATATCCATAGAACTGTCCAGATCGTATCTGATCCTTTACATATTCAAAGTAAAACAAACAAAAATAATACTGAAAACCGTCTTTGTTTCGATCATTTCATCCTTAAAGCGTCTTATGAAAAATATTAAACTAAAAACTTGAGATCCTTTGATTGCTTTCTTCTTCAATTCTCTCTACCTGTCACCGGAGAATCAAATCTCCTCGTTTGTTGTAAAACACTGCCTCATCATTTTATATAACTTTCAACTCTTTTTTTAAAAATGTATATTTTTGTTCTTCCACGACGAATCCACCACTTTTCGTTATTTTATACAACTAATTGTAACTAAACTCAACAAAGTACCCTAATGCGTCTGCCTATATAAACGTAAACGTAAAGCCTCTCCAAAACCGAAAACAAGATCACAAAAAAATGGATGCTCAAAAATGGAGTTTAAGTTTCATATCTCTAGCTTTTCTATTCATCACTTCCTCTTCGGCTGAGCTCCTTATTCAACAGGTCCTTTTTCTTTTCTTTTTGTTAAGCACTTTTCCGATTAAAACTAGTTTTTTCTTTTTAAAACAATGAAATACAAATCCAGGTCACAGAGGGCAGAGGAATAGAGCACAACAGTTCTTACAGTCTCGAGGCGAATCTTGGTATTATTTGTTGTTTGAAATCGTTGTTCTTTGGATTTTTCTTGGTGGAAAACGTTAACCCATTTCTTGATTTTCTTGGAAAATTCGTTATTAACAGGACTGACAAGAGTGTTAAGAGATGAGCGACCATCGAGTAAGATAGTGACAATAACAAGCTTCTCCGTGATTAAGGAGAGAACCGAACCCTACGAATCCTCTGTTTTTGAGGCTGCTGGTTACAAATGGTATAGATCTTACACTATATCCACTTTTTTTTTTAAAGACCTTATTTATTGAGTTTAAATTGATGAAAACAAAATCAGGAGATTGGTTTTGTACGTGAACGGTAATACTAAGGACGGTAAAGGTCCTCATGTTTCACTTTACGTGAGGATCGAAGAGACATGGTCTCTTCCAAGTGGCTGGGAAGTCAATGTTGACCTCAAACTCTTTGTATACAATGCCAAGCAACGCAAGTACTTGACTGTTACAGGTACTTTTGAAATGTAGATGCTTTTTTTATTACTAAATACATTCTGTTTTGCTAGATTTATTAGCCAAGATCTTTTATAGCCACTGCTGCTTTTACTTGGCAACAGTAGATTTTAGTATATTTAAATATTACAATATGTTTTTCTCCATAAAACCGAGTCGATTGTGATTTGCAGATGGACAAGTGAGGCGATTCAACGATGCGAGGAAAGAGTTTGGATTTGCACAACTGATTCCTAAATCAACATTCTACAACACGAACGAAGGTTACATTGTGCAGGACACTGCTTCCTTTGGTGCTGAGATCCTCATCGTTAAACCGGCACAGCAACAAGAGAAAGTCACATTCATATCAAATCCTCCAAACAATGTTTTCACTTGGAAGATACTTCGTTTCTCCACCTTGGAAGATAGATTTTACTATTCCGATGATTTCCTCGTTGGTGACCGATACTGGTTAGTACTTAGTTTATAATCATATTATATATATATATATATATATATTTGCATGTAACCGAATCTTGTAGACCGAAACTCAAAGCTTGAAACTGTTAATGTGAATTCCACGCTAACGGTTTTTGATTAATGTGGTATAATCAGGAGATTAGGGTTTAACCCGAAAGGGGATGGAGGAGGAAGACCACATGCACTTCCACTCTACCTATACGCTCAAGGCTTTAAGCCAAACGCAGTCGCTACAAACACTTGGGGAGCGGTTAATCTGCGTTTGAAGAATCAAAGAAGCTCCAACCACAAACAATTATATTGTAAGGAAACTAACCAAAAGGGGACAAAAAAAAAATAGTAGTGAATGAAATTAATAATTAAAAATCAATTAAATTGATTATCTTTTTTGTTTTTTTTTTGTTTTTTGTGGGGGTATGAAATGCAGCTGCAGCTTGGTACCCGATTCGAAGCGGTTATGGTGTGGGAGTGAACAATATCATATTGTTTTCAGAATTAAGAGATGCATCGAAAGGGTATTTGGTGAATGATGCCATTGTCTTTGAAGCTCAAATGGTTAAGGTGTCTGTGACCAACATCGTTTCCGTTTAAAGATCTCTCTACTTCTTTATCGTCTATCAAACGTACAACTTTATGAATAAAAAGATACGTTTGTAATAAGATGAAGTTGTGTTGATGCTTGTGATGTAATCGCCAGTTCTGTTCCTCGAGTTTCCTTTTTTTTCTGTTATGTTAATAATGAAATGACATTCTCTTGGTTTTAACTTTTTACACATTTAAACAACCAAAAGTTACAAAAAGAATCTATATATAATAACAATCTGAATAAATGCCAATTACACTTCGAAAAGTTGTGTCTTTTTAAAATTTGTGGTTGCGTCTTTTCATTACCAATGGTTGTGTCTTTTTGTTAACTATAATTTGTGTCTTTTCAAAACTATTTATATCGGTCAAAATCACAGAAAAAGTTTATATGGGTGTAACTTTTATTTTCTTACTATTTATTAGATTTAACTTTTATTTTTTTACTATAATGAATTTATTATTATAATAAGTTGTGAAATAGTGAAAGCTTTTTATGTCAGCGTTCTTTTATATGATATAAAATCTAATAATTCAAGGGTTGTGTTTTCTTTCTACTAAGCCAAATATTTTTTTAAAATTTTTTTAATGTATGTTTTATATATCTATAATAATTATTTGAGTCTGATTTTTACTTTTTTACTATGATGATGACCGGTGACAAGACTGGTAACTATCCGAATAAATATCACTTGCAAAACATAAATATATGAATAAATGCCACTTACCCTTTACAATGTTGTGTCGTTTCAAAATTTGTGGTTGCGTCTTTTCATTATAAATGTTGCTTCTTTTCATTATAAATGATTGCTTCTTTTCATTATAAATAATTGCATTTTTTTCATCACAACTGTTATTTGTGTCTTATCAAAACTATTTATATCGTTCAAAATCATATAAAAAAATTATTTAGGTCTAACTTTTATTTTTTTTACTATAGTGAATATATTATTACAATAAACTTTGAAATAATGAAAGTTTTTAATTAAGGTCAACATTCTTTTTTATAACATCAAATCTAATAATTCAAGGGTTGTGTTTAGAAAGACTATTTGCATTTTGATAAGTTGTGTAGTTTCAAAATTTGTGGGTGCATACTTTCAATATAAATATTTGTATTTTTCATTATAAATGATTGTATTTTTACATTATTAATGGTTGGATTTTTTTCATCACAGATAATTTGGATCTATTGGAATTATTTATCTAATTCAAATCACATAAAAAACCACTCCACCTATAATAATAATTCAAATAAATGTCACTTGCATTTTAAAAGTTGTGTCGTTTCAAAATTTATGGTTGCGTATTTGCACTATAAATGGTTGCGTTTTTCCATCACAACTGTTATTTGTGTCTTTTCAAAACTATTTATACTGCTTAAAACCACAGAAAAAAAAATCAATTGGGTCTAACTTTTACTTTCTTACTATAGTGGATTTATTATTAAAAGATTGCTTATATATTTAATTTTTGCTTTACACTTTTTTTGTGAATACGAATTTTATAATAATTATAAAATAGTTTAAAAATTACATATATATATTATATTTTCAGATTATATATTTTCATATTTAAAAATTTGTGTATCTTATTATTTCTTATTTTTTCTATTAATAATTAGTAGTAATCATTTTTTATCTTAATTAGTTTGTACATTTTCTTTTAGAACTTATTGTTAATAATTAAAATATATTTAATTTTTTATCTTAATCATTATAAATTATTTTAGATGTTTATATTTTTTATTATTAATTTTTATTTTATGTTTTTACTTATAATTATTTTAAATAAATTTTAATTTATTTTTTAATATACCGTAAATTAACCCGCAAAGCGGGATCCTTTTTCCTAGTTAGTAACAATAATGTAGCAAAATTAAATAAATTTCTCTCCTCATTTGATCCTTAAATTGTCGTATGAAGCTTCTTTGATTCTTTAATGCTTTCTTCAATTCTCTACCGGTCACCAGAGATAATCTTTTCTTTTGTAAAAGCCTCATCATTCTTTCCTTCTTTAATAATACAACTCTTTTTTTTTAAAAAAAAAGATATTTTATTTTTCCATGACGAATACACCACTTTCAGTACTGTATTTTATACAACTACTTGTAGCTAAAGTCAATGAGTACCCTAATGGCTAATGCGTCTGTCTGTTTATATAAACGTAAAGCCTTTCTAAAACCAAAAACCAGATCTAAAAAAATGGATGGTCGCAAATGGAGTTTGGGTTTCATATCTCTCGCTTTTCTCTTCATCGCTTCCTCTTCAGCTGAGTTCCTTATTCAACAGGTTTTATTTCTTTCCATTTTATTTTTTTGAAGCACTTTTTATTGGCTTTTTAATTTAAACTAATATTTTAACAATGAAATACAAATCCAGGTCACAGAGCACAACCGTTCTTACAGTCTCGAGGCGAATCTTGGTATTATTTGCTGTCTGCTATCGTTTTCTTTTGATTTTTTCTTATCAAAGACTGAAACCCATTTCTTGATTTTCTTGGAAAATTTCAGGACTGACAAGAGTGTTAAGAGATGAGCGACCATCGAGTAAGATAGTGACAATAACAAGCTTCTCCGTGATTAAGGAGAGAACCGAACCCTACGAATCCTCTGTTTTTGAGGCTGCTGGTTACAAATGGTATAGATCTTACACTCTATCCATTTTATAAAAAAAATTAATACAATTATCTTTTTTTTTGTGTATTTATAGAGTTTAAATTGATGAAAATAAAATTCAGGAGATTGGTTTTGTACGTGAACGGTAATACTAACGACGGTGGAAGTGGTCATATTTCACTTTACGTGAGGATCGAAGAGACATGGTCTCTTCCAAGTGGCTGGGAAGTCAATGTTGATCTCAAACTCTTTGTATACAATCCGAAGCAACGCAAATACTTGACTGTTACAGGTAAACTCTTAAGAGAAACCAGTAGATTTGAACTTTTTTACAATCAGATGTAACCGAATCTGATGTGATTTGGATATTTTTGTATAACTTTGGATTGCAGATGGAGCAGTGAAGCGATTCAACGATGCTAAGAAAGAGTGGGGATTCGGACAATTGATTCCTCTTTCAACGTTCTACAACACGAACGAAGGTTACATTGAGCAGGACACTGGTTCTTTTGGTGCTGAGATCCTCATCGTTAAACCGGCACAGCAACAAGAGAAAGTCACATTCATATCAAATCCTCCAGACAATGTTTTCACTTGGAAGATCCTTCGTTTCTCCACTTTGGAAGATAGATTTTACTATTCTGATGATTTTCTCGTTGGTGATCGATACTGGTTAGTACTTTAGTTTATAATCATATTTTACATATTTTTGATAACCGGATATTTTAGGCCTACGTCAAAATTAATGAAACTGTTATGTAAATTCCCCACTAATGCTTTTTTGGTTAATGGTGTAATCAGGAGATTAGGATTTAACCCGAAAGGGGATGGAGGAGGAAGACCACATGCACTCCCTATCTTCCTATTTGCTCAAGGCTTTAGACCAAACGCAGTCGCTACAAACACTTGGGGAGCGGTTAATCTGCGGTTGAAGAATCAACGAAGCACCAACCACAGACAAATATATTGTAAGAAAAACATTCCAATCAAAATACATGTTTATCTCCAGGAGAATAACGAATTAGTGAATGAAATTAATAGTTAATATAAAATGTTTTTTTTTTCAGCTGCAGCTTGGTACCCTATTCGAAGCGGTTATGGTGTGGGAGTGAACAATATCATATTGTTAGCAGATTTAAAGGATGCATCGAAAGGGTATTTGGTGAATGATGCCATTATCTTTGAAGCTGAAATGGTTAAGATCTCTGTGACCAACATCGTTGCCGCTTAAAGATCTCTCTACTTCTTTATCATCAATCAAACGTACAACCTTATGAATAAAGAGACGTTTGATGAGTTTCTAATAAGATGAAGTTGCTGATGCTTGTGATGTAATCATCATTTCTGTTCTTCGAGTTTCCTTTTTTCTGTTTTGTTATCAATGAAATGAGACTCTCTTTGTTTTTAAACTTCTTTCAAAAAGATGTTGAGGAAAGTTGGAGTGTTTAACTTGGGATGAAACTTTTTGTTTTTTTGGAGAAACGTATTTAGGTAGAAATGATAAAAAAAAAAATACTATAAATAAGTTATTGACGAAATGCTGAAAACAAAACTAGTTTTTTTTATATAACTAATTTCCCATTTAAAAAAAAATACTATGCTGACGAAATCGTTAATACAAACTCTGTTTTTTATTGTTGATGGGAGCGTCTCTACATTTTGAATCAATTAAAGAAATTAAAAAGAACAATAGAGTGAAAAGAAGAAATCATAACAAAAAACTTATATGCAATAACTCCAATGTTGTATATATAATTCTAATTAAGAAGCAAAATTTGCGAAGACCGAAGAGACAAGGAGAGCCACCACAGCTGCAGTCGCACTCGGGAGAGAAGCGGCATGGCTAGGAGATGGACCGGGGACTCCGGCTGCAGGAATCGTAGTAGTCGACGGAGGTGAAGAGGAAGAGGAGGAAACCGGTGGATCAGAGAGCGGCGAGGATGAGACGGGGTGAATGACGTTGAGGTCGAGCTTCTGACCGGCGAGGCAATGGCCTGGAACGCCGCAGAAGAAGAAATGGTGGCCGTGGTTGGTGAGTGTGATTGAGTCGTTGCCGGTGGTGAATGTGGAGATTGGCTTTGAGCTGTTGCAGCTTCGGTACATTGCGTGCGTCACTCTCATCACATTGTGGAATTGTGGGTTGTATTCGAACACTGTCAAAATCAAAGACCGTTTTACTCACATTTTCATGAAAGTAACAACATTTTATTTTTATATACGTGCATGCCATGAAAAAACAGAGCATATATTAGATATATATATATATATATATATACTTTTTGTCTGACTATCTAGATTCAAAACAGTTTAAACAAAAGATTAATTACTCACAAACAATAGTGAAAATGTTAATAAATCAACCAGGAATTTGAAATGCCTGACTTACAAGTTAAAAAAAATTCACAATTTCACATCATGGTCCGAAAAATCATAGTATTTTGTTTTTCCCCCAAAAACTCAAATCATATATTTTTCCCAAATCAAACATAAGTGCTCTCATTTCTTATCCAGTTCTGAACTTATAACAATCATTTATACTTTAAACAGATGCGAAAAGTTGTAAACAAATTTTCTGTATATATCCCTAATTATTTTATATTTATAACCCAAAAGAGTCATAATGATTAGGGCGTGAGTGGGTACTATTACTTTCCACCAAAAGCTTACGCATTTAAGAATTAAGATTGCTGGAGGAAGGCCCACTTTCACTTTCCCACACAAGTAAACCGAAGGCAGTCAATATCTGTGCTATATCTTGTTGTTAATGTAGAATGTGTAAGAGATTAAGGAACTCACAGACAGTATCACCAATGTGGAAAGTTTTGGTAGAGGCCCATAGCTTGTAATCTACGTTTGCTATGGTTGTCCAGCCTGCTGAGTCTCCGACTTTATACACCGCCGCTTCACTCAGCCGTAGCATCACCACCATACACACCAAAGCCACCACTATCCTCGCCGCCATCGACCAACTCTCTCTATCTCTGCTTCTTCTTCTTCTTGTTTGGTCTAGATGACTAGATCCCCCACAAGGTTCTTCTCTTTTATTTCTTTTCCTCTTTCTTGTTTTTTGTGTATGTATATATATAAGAGGTATCAGGTATGAATGTGAGTGGTGTATATGTATGAGGAGCATAGGAGGCCACTTTATCTTTTTTGGTTAGTTGGCTAATTTGGAGAAAGGAGTGACTAAAAAGCAAAATACTGACAAAGATTGCTTACTTTACTGGTTTCCCTTTTATTGTTTTTGGATTTTAATATCTAATACTCACTTGAAAACTTGGAAGACATTATACACACGTGTGTATAAATTTGGCTGAAGCCGATAAGAAAAAAATAGAGAAATGAAAGTCTGTTTCCTTCTTTTAAAATTGAATACATTATTTTCACACAAACTATTTTGTGGTCACACACGACTTTAAGATAACCCCACTCATGACCAAAAGTTATGGAGTATATAATTTGAAACTTATGAATCTTGACATGGTATCAAGAGGCCAAGCGACACCAATCCATTTAACCCCAAACTAATTCAAAAATGAGATTTTATTGAGATGAATGACTTAGATATTGGATAGAAGAACCATCACTTTGAGGAATGGTGTTAAACATCTCACGTCAAGTATACGTTGGAATCTAAGGCCAATTCATTTATTAACAATTGGTTTTGAGTTGAACACTTATTTGTCTCTCTTTAAGTCACCAATTTTTTTTTTTTTTTAAATTATATTCGTTATAAGTTGTAAAGTGTTCGCATGGTTTAAAGTTTGGAAGGCTTGTAAGGAAAGAATGTTAAGTTGGTTGGTATGCTAATTTTGAATCATCTTTAATATTATTTGTATACTTCACAGTTACTCTTCCTCCTACACCTTGGTGAAGATATTTCTTTATAAATTTAAATTATAACTATGATAATTATTTGTTGTTGTCAACTTAGCAATTTGATCATTCAGCAGCGACTGTAACTTACAAAACTAGTGTTGTGTCCGACAAAGAACCCATGCAATGCCGGCCTTTCAAGAGAATCTAACGGATGTCCATGATAGGCCCATAACAAACCCAACTTCTCTCCATTTAACATGGTGTAGACACTCAAACAATGCAACTTCGACGGACCTTGAAATATACACATTGCCATTCTCTTGTAGACAAAACAGAGCATTTGTCGGATGAGATTAAGTTACATACTGTCGGGAACCACAACAAAGGAAAAAGAAAAGGAGACTTTACCTATACACAAACGCATAACGAAATTAAGTAGAATGTATAAAAAACTGTAATTGCCTTTCATCTATATGTTGCTCTCTCTCTCTTCTGCTTCTACTTTTTAGAGCCGTGTTGAAGGATCAAAGCCGTTAGATTTCCCGTTACTCTTCTTGCCGTTCACATCACCGTTCACGTACACTTGATCATTGTGATCATCCATGAATCTAGCCCAGAGCCAGTGCTTCTTCCACACCCTCTCCGTCATCTCCTCGATAGGCACGTTCTTAGTCTCCGGGAGGAGGAACATCACGAACACAGACATGACGAGCACCCACGAAGAGAAGAAGATGAATATCCCGTACTTGAAATGGCACAGCATCGAGAGGAAAGCCTGAGCGATTACGAAAGTGAAGAGGAGGTTGACGCAGACCGTCACACTCTGTCCCGCGGAACGCGTCTCCAGAGGGAAAGTCTCACTCGGGATCAGCCACCCGAGCGGTCCCCATGACCAGGCGAAAGCGGCGACGTAGGTGCAGATCATCACCACGATTAGGATCGCAAAGCTTTTATGGAGATTCTCAGAGTGGTCTTTCACTTTGAGGCCGAGGACGATGGCGATCACCACCTGAGAGAAGAACATTTGTACACCAGCTTCCAGGAGGAGAACCCTTCGGCCGACTTTATCGACGGAGTAGATCGAGACTAACGTGGAGAGGACGTTGACTGCGCCGGTGACCACTGCAGAGTAGAGAGCAGCGTCACTGCCAAATCCTAAGGTGCTGAAAAGTACAGGAGCGTAGAACATAATCGCGTTGATTCCAGTGCATTGCTGAAAGATCTGCATTTTTTTCATGTAATCATCACAACAAACAAAGATTAGGGAATTTCAAAACACAATCTACTTCGTATGCTTTGAAATTGGATGCCAAGGAATCAAAATTTCCCGAAACTGAGCAGAAAATTTAGCATTTGGCTTCAAAATTTAGGGTTTCTGTATCCCAAATGGTCTTCGCTTCAATTTCAGCTCAAATCGACTACAAATTAAACTTTCCAGATCGGAGATAACTTCTTCCAATCACCGATTTGAGTAAAAGAGGGAAGTAGTGATACTGACCTGCAAAGCGACGGCGATGACGAGCTGAGGGCGATTCCTGCGTTGAAGGAGGTTTCTGAAAGGGTGTTTGACTTCTTTGGCGAGGCGGCTAGCTTCGAGGAGGTCGGCGAACTCAGGCTCGACATTATCGGTGCCTCGAATCCGACGAAGGACGGCTTTGCCTTCATCGAGACGACCTCTTTCGACGAGACTGTTGGGTGTCTCCGTCACCAATAAAGCTCCCACCGTCAGGAGAAGTGCCGGGATTCCGGCCAATCCTAGCGACAACCTCCATCCCCATCCTCCTTGGATCCTGCAAAACATTTTATTTATTTAGTGGGCCCGTATTAACTCCAGTATGGGCTTAAACTGATACATTAATTAAGCCCATTAACTCGATGTCAGCGACAGATCATCGTGGGCATTAAAAGTCAACTCAGAGAAAAAATGTTAGGGCCATGACGTGAAAAAAAAATGGGATAGGGCTACGTTCCGTGTCACCTAAAGACGTAGGCATGTGGATAAAATTTGCCGAAATTGCGGAAGACTTATTAATCTAGTCTAAAAAGTTAAAATGTAAATGAATATGGAGAAACTTGTTTTTTTTTGTATTTTTGTAAAGAAGATGATATTACTTACATACCACGTACGAACAGCGAAAAGTTTGACAAATTTAAAATGATAAGAAAAAAGAAACTGGAATACTTTAGATATATAGTACATGTAACAAAATCTTTTTCTACAACAAAGGTTGTGTGAAAGAGATTCATGTGGATAATTTTCAACGGTTCCATTTTAAAAACAAAATTAAGTCATTGTATTATGAGTTTATGACCACCATATACTAATTTGTTTTGGACTTTTTTGTTTCTTTTTCGTTGAAAAAATCTCAAACCCTAAGGTTTATTTCCCACACATTTTAATTTCATTTTACCAAATTAAATATAGAAAGAAAAAAAAAAGAAGATATGAGGAAGAGAGATATTTACTTGGCGGTTCCATAGTTGACAAGATTGGCGAAGAGGATACCAATAGTGACGTTAAGCTGAAACAGGATATTAAGACCACCTCGGATCCTAGTAGGTGCAATCTCCGACAAGAACAACGGCACGGCTTGATTGGCGAACCCGACTCCACAACCAAGCAATATCCGGCCTGCAATAAGCATGGCTAAGTTTTGAGCCGCCGCGTTGAGGATCACACCGATGATGAAGAAAACGCCGGCAATGAGCATGGTTGGCCTCCGTCCGAGCGTTCTCGTCGTGTATGAAGCGAAGAACGTTGCCGTTAGACCGGCTAAGTATAGAGATGATGTGAAGAGTTGTAGTCCTTGGTTGTCGTATTTGCAGTAGTTGCTGTTTTTGTCGGCGCCGGCGTCTATTCGCCGCTGAACCACCGGAAAAAACTTTCTGAGAAAGTCCGGCATCGCTGTCACTCCGCCTACATAGCCATATTGATGGTGGAAATTATTTATCTATATAGATATACTTCGTATTTTTTACCGTTTAATCTCATTTAAAAATCTTAAGATATAATCATGATGTTTGGACTCAGAAAATATTTTACTAATTGTAGGCGATAAAAACAGCGAATCACTTATTTTGAAACCAAAAGAGAAAAAAAACTAAAATCTATGACATTAAATTGTCACTATACTATTAAAAGTTAAAACAAGGATGGACTAGTGGACAAACTGCTGTAAGCTTAGGCTTTAGATTATTTTGTTACTTCCACTAATTATTAACATTGAACTAGAGAGTGAAATTTCATTTAGATCAAGTATTTTCTACGTGACCTCTATATTTTAGGTGAACTGTTTCAACCAAAGAAGTTGTTTTGGTAGGTGAGAAGAACATAACCAAGTCTTGTTTCAAAATCATTACTTGAGAAAACTTGAACTAACTAAAACTTTTGATGTATCCTTAAAATCAAAATAATTTCTACTTTGTGTATGAGATTATATGATATAAAAGGAATATTATTATATTCATACCGGAGACACCAACGTCGTAGCCGAACATGAGGCCACCGGTAGCAGCCATGATGCAAGAAATGATGACTATAGGAGTTATCTTTGCCTCAAACTCCACTCCGTTCGCCGGAGCTGTCGCGAATCCGCCTCCAGCCATTCTGAAGATCTGTTCAGTTACTAAAATTAAAAAGCTATTTTCTCTTAACGAGTTAAAAAGGAACACTTGATTAGAGAGACCATTGGGGTGTTTACTTCTTTAAATAGAAGAAGGAGGCAGTGAAGCATAAAGAGAAAATGTCTGCAGCCAATGCGATGCTTACACGTCTCTTTTACGTTCACATGCTCCTGAGTCATCAAAGTCATTGGTCAACAAACGTTTCTTCTGCTTTATGTGGCGTCTCCTTAGTCCTTAGTTGAATATACAATATGCCCTATCACCATAAGTCGCAAACAACTCGCAAGTCTTCTCTTTCTTGTTATTATATTATCCTCGAATATTATATATTTGTCGTTACAAGATTCTACTCTCTTAATAGAGAGATTGTTACAATTTTTATATCGCTCTAAACGTGTTGTAAAATCTTGCTAACGAATCAAAAATATCTCATACCTTGCTTTTAGAACATGAACGACATGTTCGAACCGTTAACGTCATGGGTAGGTCATACAAATTTGCTGTCATGTAACATGTGAATATCATCTTACTAATTGTCACTTCTGTATTGTTTAATTTCTGGATGTTATATGGTGGTGTTAAGAGCCTACGGGACCAGATCGATTCAGTCTCTTGACCGGTCTAAAACTATTTAGGCCAATTTTATTCCGGTTCGTATAGTCGATTGATTACATAATCAAATCAGGAAGCGGTGCAATTAATTAGTTAGCTGAAGACTAAGGGAATAAACCTGCGCGTTCGAATGCGGGTAATCTAAACCAGATTCTTTATTTGATTTGTTTGTTTTTTATGGGTTTCTTCTCACTTACTGTCACGTTATTTGTATATCTTACTCCAAATTGTCACTTTTGTATAATATATATGGCTCCAATATCTTTAAAACCCAACAGCCATATGTGCGATCACTACTACTCAATTATTAAATAATTATTTGCGCGTCGGAATGCAGTTATGCAGCAAATCAAATCTTCAATTAATTTTTAGTGGATCTTAGAAATAAATAAATAAAATGTTGCTGATTTTCGATCCAATTTTTTTTTTTTAATTTTGATATTTTCTTCATTTGTGGCTGTCGGTACTCGGTAGGCGATATTTGGAGTACCTTTACTTAATTGACTTAATTAAGGTAGAACAACACATGCAAAATCAAAATTGAATATTAATTGTGTATACTATATTTTTGAAATATTGTACCACGGATATAGTGTGTTTAGACGAGTAAGTAATTTATATCCACTTGACTTACAGGTAAAATTATTTACGTAACAAAAATCCTGCTTGGACCAGAAGTGTATCTTACTTTTCAAACTACATTATCCTGTTAAGAGCTGGAGGAGTCAATTCTAATTTGACAAACATCAAATGAAAGAAACAAATAATAAAACGTGACGATGATATAGAAAAAAAATAAGAAAAGAATATGCTAAACAATGAAAATGCTTGTACACGTCTTAATATTATTATCCTGTTTACGGTTTACCATAAACTAAAACAAAATTGTATATATATCAATATATGTAATAACAAAAAATATCTGAAATGTTTATTGTTATCCTGAATAACTCGAAACAAACTGATCCGAATCGACGGCCCATTATACAATGAAAGGCAGTTAATGGTGTTCAGACTGAGATACATTGGGCTAAACGTCAACTGAAAATTGTATCGACAGTATTTGATATTACAAATAAAAAACAAGTCAAATCTTATAAAGTCTTCGTAGCAGAAATTTCAAAAGGTCATAAACAACAAGCACTCTAAAAACCAAGTGACTAAGAAAATTCAAAAAAGCTTACATTCAGAAGAAGCCAACAACAAAAAAATAAAAATACCCCACCATCAAAAATCTTATCTCACTAAAGTCATTGCAAAATTAGAAGACATGTCAAAGGAAACATTAAAAGCCAAATAAAAAAAGAAAAGGAAAAAAGCGCAGCCAGAAAGAAACTAAACCGAGGAAATAGTAAAACAAGTGAGAACAAAGATTGGGTTTCTAAGACCGAAGAGTTTTCTCATCTCTTAGTCAGGAAGAATCTGCTCGTTGTCAGCATCTCCTTCTGTCTCAATGGTAGGCTTTGAAGGTCCAGCTCCAGGAGCTTGCTTCTTCTTGATACCACTCACTATATCATCGATCCTTAGAAGCATACACGCAGCTTCTATTGCCGTCTTGAATGTTTGTGCCTTCACATTGTACGCATCCCATATCTGCAATATTTTTTAAAAGTCATAATCCCTCTCTGAGTAACACTGGTTTCGTGTGTAGTAAAAATCACACACCAAGGGGGACCAAAAATTCAACCCTCACCTTGCTCTCTTTCATATCAGCTATGGCACCAGTGTTCCCATCAATCCCGGTCCATGCATTTTCACCATTCGCGTGCTGCAACAATACCAAACGATTCGATTGAAGCAGTGAGAAAAGAGTTGGTATTTACTAAAACTATGGCAAAGAAAAGGCGGTCTGGGTTCATGGAGCAGGTCATTACCTTCCCTTGCAATGCAGTCATAATACGGATCACATTAACACCACAGTTTTGAGCCAGGGTACGTGGAATAGCCTCGAAAGCTATAGCAGCTGCTTCATAAGGCCACTGTTTCAATAAGATGTAGGAAACAAAAACAAAATCATTGGTATAACTTTGAAACCAAATCAGTAATCCACACATTGTAATCAAAGCAAATCCAACCTTTTCTATGCCTTCAATTGTTGCACTCTTCTGTTTCAACGTGGCAGAGACAGTTAATTCTGTGGCTCCTCCACCAGGAACGAGCTTTGGGTTTTTGATAATGTTTCTCGCAACAGACATGGCATCCTGTAGGAACAATAATGTCTCAGGCATACATATATGACAACGAATCACTGAGAAGTACTGTTTGTAAATAACACTAACGAACCTGTAAATTTCTTTCCACTTCATTGAGGAGGTCTTTACTTGGTCCTCTTAAGAGTACAGTACATGCTTTGGGTTCTTTGCAGTCAACTATGAAAGCAAAGAAGTCATCTCCAATTTTCTTGACCTCAAACAATCCAGCACCAGTACCGATATCAGACTCCTGTAGCTCATCGGGCCTGTTGACAATCACTGCTCCACAAGCTTTGGCAATTCTGTTGTTGTCAGTCTTTCTCAACCTTCGGATTGCGCTAACACCAGCTTTACTGAAATAGTGACAAGCCAAGTCACTAAGCCCCTTCTCCGTGATAACTAAGTCAGGTTTGAACTTCAGTATTTGCACGCAAATGTTCTCAATGTATTCTTCTTCGAGCTTCAACAGCACTTCCCAGTCCTCTTCTCTAACCAACTCAGCATTGGTTTGATTTTCACCTTTCTTGTACTCGAGAGGGCAGTCAAGAAGAATAATGCGTGGGTTGACAATCTTTCTTTTCATTTTACCAGGAGCAACAACATCTTTGTTAAACATAACTCCTTTAAGAACCTTCGAGTCATCCAACTGACCACCAGGAACCTTCTCAACCTTGATGTACTTTTTAATGTCCACCTCCCTCAAACCTTGCCCAAGATCAACACCAACAGTAGTAGTGGCATCAATAGCCAAATCCTAATAGAGCACACAGAAAAAGCATGCAAAATCATGTGAGTACAGTACTATGTAAAAAATCATTCACGCTATTGAGAAAAATGTGTCAAAACGAATGTCAAATAACCAGGTGATGCAGAAGAAAGAAGCTACAGTAATTAAGCTACTTACAGCAATCAAATCGCCAAATTGGCTAGTGAACTTTGTCCCGATGCAGCTCTTGACTAGTCCTAGTACTGTTGCGCCTGCAATATCCACATTCTCCCATCAGTATAAACATGAGCGAAAACACAATATTAGCAACCAATATATCTGCATATTGACCTCAAATGAACAAATAGAAAATATAAATGCTACTTACGGTCATTGACATCAATTGTCATGGCAATTTTGTCAAGAACAGCAATAGAATCTTCAAGAGCCTTAACGTAAGCTACAGAGAAGAAAGCACTGTTTAGAATGAAAACGACAAGTTACATGAGAACAATAAGCAATACATAGCGCAACTTTACCTCGGCAGATGACTGTGGGATGGTAACTCTTCTCAATAAAGGCTTCTGCAACGTGAAGCATTTCACCAGCTGTTGGCAAATAAAAAAGAAGAGTCACAGTGAGTAAAAAAAACCATTGGAAGAGAACACGTACTTGAAAAGAGGACAATCCAAAAACACTATAACACCCTAACAACGTTTTCCTTAATAAACTCATCCATGATCAGCTAATAGACAAAAATGCTCATTCAAGCGAAGCTATTCGCAGACTGATTATTTCCAAGAAAGATGGCAATACCTAGAACGATAACTGATGTCGTCCCATCACCAACTTCTTCGTCTTGTGTACGGCTCAGCTCAATCATAGACTGCAATTACCGAAATTTCTTCTTTAAGGAAAAAAATGAACAACATGAAGACAACAAGATCAATCGAGAAAAGGCAGAAGTAAACACCTTAGCTGCAGGATGAGCAACATCAAGTTCACGAAGAATAGCATTCCCATCATTGGTAACAACAATCCCTGTAAAGACGCAAGAAAACGAAGAGGCCAAGACAAACAGAACACACAATTATTTAGGGTTTATATAAAGCTAGCACAGAAAGTGAAGTACAATAACTTCAACAAGAAAACAGCACATGAGAACGATATTTCCAGAGCTAAAAACACTAAACCTAAAACCTACCCTAGGGGAGATCTACTGCAACACACAGAGAAGAGCAAGAGCAAGAGAGAAAGGTTAGAAAACTACCTCCTCCAGCATCAAGAAGCATCTTCAACATAGAGCGAGGACCCAATGTCGTACGGATGATATCAGCCACAGCCTGTGAAAGAGAAGCCAAAACTGAGACGACGCCATGATCGGAACAAAATACAGTTGCGAGAGAGAAGCAGCATCATATAAAAAAAAAAATCCATGAGAGAAATTACCTTGGAAGCCTTGATATTATCATGCTGAACCTTACTTCCAGATTCACGCTTCAACGAATCGTCTGAAACATTTCACAAGGATTTAATGTTACCAACTTCGAACACTGAGCTAGATTGAAACAGCAAATAAGACATTGAGATTCGACGATATGAGATCTGGAGGAAGATTGAGGAACTCACTGAGAACAAGAACCGGTGCGTGCATATTTGCGATCTAAGCGTTCACAGTGAAGAGAGAAGCTGAGAGACGGCGAGTCGCGGCAGAGTTAACTCATAGGGCGGCAACTGAAAAATTCTCTGATTCTCTCAATTCTCTCCCTGTCGCTTTTTTTAGAAGCCCAACGCATAAAGCCCATTAATTTAGCTATGAGTTAAAGCCCATAAAGTTAATTAGCTTATTAGTAGATTCATAAAGTCAATCAAATGATTTTCTGCTATTTGTACGCAATAGAAGTGTTTTACATGAAAGAAAAAAAAAAACTTAATTATTATTAAATACGAGCATTGCTGTTTGTACTTGATAAAATGCTATTTATATGTACATCAATTTAGAAAAAGAAAATATTAAAGACGAATCGCATTCCTAGGATGATTATGGAGATCTATCTTTACGTACTTTTTACGAAAAGAATGGTTTAATACGTAATTTTTTTTTATTATTCTTTTTTTTTATCATCCCATAAGAGAGATTAATAAATCTATGAAATGTTGTATATTTTCTTATTTCGTATGTAGAAGATATTTTGTGGACAGGTTTTGGCAATTTCCCAGAGGGAAAAGCAAACTCCTTATAATTGATTGTTAATGGTTTTTTGAGACTTGGAGACTGACACAAAATCTCTTATCGTACACACAACCCCTCCAATGGAGAGCATTGGCAGCCATTGTTGCGGCTCTCCTTTCTCCTTCATCACACGAAACTCCTCGCTTCCCAGGCTCGTTAACTTCACTCGCAGAGTTCGTCTTGGCCGCGAATCGGAGCGACCCAGAAACTCCCCTTCTCGTCTCACTTGTGCTGCTTCTTCCTCAGCTTCTTCCACCATGTATGACTTATTCCAATTTTTTTTTTGCTTACTCTGTTCGTTTCCGTCGAAATCGGCTGTCAATTTTTTGAATTCCGAATTTGATCTGAGCCAGAGAGGAACATCGGAAGAAGAAGGATGGGTCGGGAACGAAGGTGAAGCTGAATGTGAGGCTCAATCATCAAGTTAAGTTCGGCGAGCATGTGGCTATGTTCGGATCAGCCAAAGAGATTGGATCCTGGAAGAAGAAATCGCCTCTTACGTGGACTGAGAATGGATGGGTCTGTGATCTGGAGCTTAGCGGAGGCCAGGCTTTGGAGTATAAGTTCGTCATCGTCCAGAGAGACGGCTCACTCTCATGGGAATCCGGCGGCAATCGCGTCCTCAGGCTTCCCAATTCCGGGAGTTTCTCCGTCGTCTGCCACTGGGATGCGACAAGGGAAACCCTTGATATCCCTCAGGAGGTCGCCAGTGATGCCGGTGATGGGCACGGCGACAGTGATAACTACCACGACGCCGGTGACGATAGAGTAATGGGAAATGAAAATGGTGCGCAGCTTCAGAAAAGCACATTGGGTGGGCAATGGCAAGGCAAAGACGCTTCCTTTATGCGCTCCAATGAGCATGGCAACAGAGAAGTCGGCAGAAGTTGGGACACTAGTGGTCTCGAAGGCCCAGCTCTCAAGATGGTTGAAGGTGATCGCAACTCTAGGAACTGGTGGAGAAAGGTACCTTTTTTGAATTTGATGCGTGCTTTCCTCATTATTGTTTTCATTTGAATCTGGCCAATAATGAAACATCTCTTATTGTTTAATGCGTTCAAGCTTGAAATGGTACGTGAGGTTATAGTTGGGAGTCTTGAGAGGGAGGAACGGCTCAAGGCGCTCATTTACTCTGCAGTTTATTTAAAGGTTTCTCTTTTCTTCTTCTTTATAGCCTAATCTTTCTTCTCTCATATATATACATATATCTGGGAGTTCACCTTGTTTATCTTCCGTTTTGTTTGTTTTGGCATTTTTATGCAGTGGATAAACACAGGTCAGATTCCATGTTTTGAAGATGGAGGGCATCACCGTCCAAACCGGCATGCTGAGATTTCCAGGCTTATATTCCGTGAGTTGGAGCACATTTGCAGCAAGAAAGACGCTACAGCAGAGGTGACACATATTCTCACCGTCCATTAATCGCTTTCAAGTTCTCTGCTTTCACAGCTTCTCTTCTCAAGAAACCTGTAGCTGTTGTTGACTTAGTAGCTTCTCTAAGTTGGATATGCTTTTTTTTTCGTAGGAAGTGCTTGTTGCTCGGAAAATCCATCCGTGTTTGCCTTCTTTCAAAGCAGAGTTTACTGCATCCGTCCCTCTTACTCGAATTAGGGACATTGCCCATCGCAATGATATTCCTCATGATCTCAAGGTAATACTCTTTTTAGCTGTTTTCTCATTACACCTGTTACTTTCGTAGTATTCATATAATCCATCTTTGTTACAGCAAGAAATCAAGCATACCATACAAAATAAGCTTCACCGGAATGCGGGTCCAGAAGATCTAATTGCCACCGAAGCAATGCTCGAAAGAATCACTGAGACCCCAGGAAAATACAGTGGAGATTTTGTGGAGCAATTCAGAATATTCCATAATGAGCTAAAGGACTTCTTTAATGCTGGAAGGTACTATATTTCTGAAGCCAAACCTATTCTTCCATCATATGCGTGCTATATGATGGCCTCATGTGCTGTGTAATTCATTAGCTCGTGTATCTTGTTGCAGCCTCACCGAACAACTTGATTCTATGAAAATTTCTATGGACGAGAGTGGCCTTTCTGCCCTCGATTTGTTTTTCGAATGTAAAAGGGTAAGCTCTCACTTTTCGTTTTCTTGTGACTCGGTGCTGTATACTCCATATGATTATTTTTTTCTGAAAAGAAGTATGCAATATTTATTGGGTTTTCTTGGTTGATCTTCTGAAGTAGTGTGCCCACAATGTTGGGGTACAATTATTAGCCAACATAAAGATGCAATTCAAATGGACAATAACCCATCCTTGGTTGCGTTCTTCATTTTAAGAAAAGGAAAGAAACTGAATCCTTAAGGGGATGATCTTTTAGTAAAGCCACAAAAGGAGAAATGTCTGTGACATGTTGATATGTGTCCATACACTCACATCATTTGATATATTGCGCCTATCAAATACAATCATTGCAAAGTTTGTTCTTGTAGTCTCTTCATGAGTCTAACTGCGAAATTCATATTTCCAGCGCCTTGACGCATCGGGAGAATCAACCAATGTTTTGGAGTTGATTAAAACCATGCATTCTCTGGCTTCTCTAAGGGAAACAATTATTAAGGAACTTAATAGCGGCTTGCGAAATGATGCTCCTGATGCTGCCATTGCAATGCGCCAGAAGGTGAGCTTTTTTTTTAGACAATTCACCAGTAACATGTAGCAGTTTATTTATTTATATAGTTTGCTCCTTTGATTAGTGGCGCCTTTGTGAGATTGGCCTCGAGGACTACTTTTTTGTTCTACTAAGCAGGTGCGCATAAGCTTTTTTTATTTCTCCTTTGTAAGTTATTTATCTCCTGCTTTATTTCTCCGCCTCACGTCTTACCAATGATTTGAGTAGATTCCTCAATGCACTTGAAACTATGGGAGGAGCTGTTCAACTGGCAAAATATGTGGAATCAAGTAATGTTGCCTCGTGGAATGATCCTCTAGATGCTTTGGTCTTGGGTGTTCATCAAGTAGGTCTATCTGGTTGGAAGCAAGAAGAATGTTTAGCCATTGGAAATGAACTCCTTGCTTGGCGAGAGAGAGACCTACTTGAAAAAGAAGGTTATTTCTTTCTTACTTATGTCAACTCGTAACTCTGACGTGTAAGGCTTGTTTGAGGTTGTAAAGAATTTGCTAGGTATAATTATAAGCTGAAAATGCTCCTTATTTTCTTTTTTCATGAAGGTGAAGAGAATGGAAAAACCATTTGGGCCATGAGGCTGAAAGCAACTCTCGATCGAGCACGGAGATTAACAGCAGAATATTCGGATTTACTTCTTCAAATATTTCCTCCTAATGTAGAGGTACAATTTATCCCATGCCTACATTCAGAAGTTAGTTATGCAAGTTCTATTATAGGTCTAATTCGTTTTACTATAATTTTTTCTACCACCACGAAAAGGACATATGAGACCAAATTATCACCCTGCTGGTAATCTAAATAAAACGTGCTTATCATTTCAGATATTAGGAAGAGCTCTAGGGATTCCAGAGAACAGTGTAAAGACCTATACAGAAGCAGAGATTCGTGCTGGGTAAGTCAGGCCTTTACTTCCTAGTACTTAGCTTAAGTCGTTCAATCAACCTCATGAAATCATTTGAGAATGTTTTCAAATTCTTTTCTTGCTTGTTTTTTTTCAAATTTCGTTCAGATTCTGTATTTTCCTCTAATCGTACCCGTGGTTCTGCTGACAGCATAATTTTTCAAATCTCAAAGCTCTGCACTGTTCTTCTAAAAGCTGTAAGAAATTCACTTGGTTCTGAGGGTTGGGACGTCATTGTGCCTGGAACGACTTCTGGGACATTAGTTCAGGTACGTGGTGATAGCAAATGAATACATAGCTGAAATCTAGAATTTAGTACTTTGAGATATATTTTTGTTTCTTAGAAGGAACTATCATTTCATAGCTCAGTTATCAACTCATAATGTCTGGTTTCAGTGCTATAGGAATTTCTAGTTTTATATTCTCATGAATTTGTCATGTTATTCGCCAATTGCTCGCTATACAGGCTACAAATGAAAGAACTTTTATCTCTTTTTTGGGGGGTCTGTTTTGTTTAGACTGGGTGTCAATGCACCATATGCTAGGTTGTTTTGCAGTGATGAAAGCTATGCCTTAGGCTTTGTAACTTTGATGAGAACTCACATTTGCAAATTTTTCTCTGGCTTTTGTAACTGCAGGTCGAGAGCATTGTGCCAGGATCATTACCAAAGACTGGTGGTGGTCCTATTATTCTATTGGTCAACAAAGCTGATGGCGATGAAGAGGTTTTTGAACTACATTCAACCTTACCGTGATTCATAATGACATCATACTAAAGATTAACTTATAACATGCTTTGACAGGTAAGTGCTGCTAATGGGAACATAGCCGGAGTCATGCTTCTCCAGGAATTGCCTCACTTGTCTCA